AGCTGTGTTTATTGTGATTATTATTCGAAAGCAAACATATCCTGTCGACCTTCGCACGCCTGTGCATTTCGGCAGAATAATATTATGCAGATGGAAGCAGATGGAAGCAGATGGGCGAGATAAGTGTACGTACTCGACGCGAGGTTCCAATATTGGTGACATTTCGTCACGGGACGGGGTCCTGTTGACGCGTCCTAATCTTGTCTCTTGATGGAGACACAATGGCAATGCCAATAATCACGTCAACAATCGCCCCACCGCCCACAAGGCACTCATCAGCCAATACTAGGCATCTTTTAAGCCTCTTATTCCTCTGTCCGCATCATGGCAGCGGGTCGAGCAAGCCCGACAGCTACACTGCTACAAGGTACAATGCACGTACATGTACATGTATAATTATAGCATCGGCCTCTCCACTAGTGTTGCCCCTACTACTAGTACTACTACTAGTTCTAGTACATGATACAATATACACAACAGAACAACAAGGACAATCAAGGCTTGTTTGCTGCTACTTTAAGTTTCATGCTCACGCAATCATCAGGCAACATGAAGATCGGGTGCCGACCATGCCCGTATATATATTATATGCCACCAATACAATACACATGTATGTGAAGTGCTCTACAAGCCTGCGCTGCACTGGTTGATCTCCACCATCTCTTTCAAGATGTGCACAAACACAAAAGACGAAAGCTCTTCAGCTGCGGTCTCCCGGAGTGGTAGTGCTCGACAACCTCCTTGACCTTAGCGCAGGCAACCCATTGGGTTTGTTTTCCCGCTCCTACTTAAGTGGACACTTCTTCCGCACACGGAGATCTGTACATGTATTCGTTAAAATTAATAAACTGGTCACTACTGGTGTCAGCGGATTGCGGCCAATGGAAATGGAATTAATACTCGCTCAGGTGCATGGTGGCACAGCGAAGGTCATGGAGCCCTGGTGTAGTGTCACCCAATGGCGACAACAGGTGTAATATACGTATCCACTCACCTTTCACGCTGAGGAGATAGCAGGGTATCTCAGTCGCGCGCCTCCAGACATCTGTTGTGTCCGGCATTGGGAGAATTGGCGCAGACCCAGGAGGCGAAAGTACCACACATAACGTAATCAAACGCGAAGTGATATTCCCAAATCGCTGATCGTCAACCTTCAAGAACTCGATCACCGCGTGAGGGGAAGTTACGTACCTTGGCTTGGAGGTGTGTGACAACGGGAACAAACATACAAGTAACAAAATTATCGAAGATCCAGTACCAATGGGTTCCTTCTTGGTAACCGACGAAGCGGCTTTGATAAATCGCCAAGTCCACCGATCATTGATAACTACATTGCACATGGCTAAAGTATCTCAGGTTACAGTGAATAGTGGACAGCTGCAGAAGGGTCCATTTCCAAGGTCCAGAACGGAACAGTTTCCTGATGGCAAGTCCTTGTTGATCGGAAGAAGGTGTCTTTTGGCTAGTCTCCAAGCCCAAAGAGGTCATGCGACAGTAGAAGAAACCTGACACATGTTGCGGTAGATTTGACGCGATGGAGAGCAGGAGTAAACATCATGAGGAGGATCCGACTTGAACATGTTGCTTCTTGGGAATCCAGGAAGAGCCCGCGGGCTGCAGCACGTCTCGATTACAGGTAGGTACATGTAGTGCCCTAAGCCACGGTGAAAGACAAAGTACTTTCACAGCTACTGTGAACATTCACTACAACATACATGCACGTGTACAGTGCTGCCAACTGAAATCCGACCCCCTAAGCGGTGCGCCGCTCACATCGCATAGAATGTGAACCCACTGCTCAGGGGGTCGGATTTCAGTTGGCAGCACTGTACCTTGATACATGTACATGTACATGCACCTCAATATGCCCTGATGAGTTCTGTAAAAAAAACAACAAAAAAATGAGTTCTGTCCACAGATTGAGTATATACATGTACCTTAGATAGAACGAAATTGTCCCTTTGCATTGGATACAAAGTACTTTTTGGGAACCCCAGGCTACCGGGCCTACATGTGTAGGTACCGGGTGCTAGTATCCTTTTCCAGCCATGAACCTTGGATATAAACATGGTAGAGCACATTGGGTATACAATACTGAGGTGTACGTCCCTTGGGGTACATTATAAAAAAAATTATCCTTCTTCGATCAAACTACGTTGTATATAAACGGCTGGAATTATGCTGGCAAACTACACACAAGACCGCCCTGTGCTATTCGCATTCTTTCACAACTAAACTGGCTTGCAAGTGTTGTGCGAGAAAGACAAGAAAAAAGTCCACATTCGTCACTAAGATTTGCCTGTAGTAGGTTTTGGTGTGCTTCCACGTGCATACGAGTCAACACTTTACTCCCGTTTCTATGCTGTGTTTTGCTACCACTAAATCTGCCTTCTGCTGCATGTGATGCGTATAAATATGCCCTACTTTGTTCAAAGGGTATTGTGCTGGCTAGTTTCTTCTTCTCCCTGTGTCCACGCGCAGAGAAGGCAGCGAACGTGTTAGTGGAAATGTGAAATGTTGCTTTTTTCTTCTTTTTTTTAAATGTTGCTTGGTGGGAGCCTGGCGCTTGTGTTACTCCCTAGCCTCAAACCCAAGTCACAGTAACTGTTGATTGTCACGTGACATTGTACATTGTACCTACAGTGCTGGCAACTGAAATCCGACCCCTGGGCGGTGTGCTCACATGGCAAAGACCGGCATGGCATGGCATTGTAACACTACAAGATAGAGGCCGGTAGAGAGTGAACACACCGCTCAGGGGCCGGATTTCAGTTGCCACCCATTGTACGTGCATGGCAGTAGCTTGGCTATAACAGTATAAGCAAGCATGCCTGCGACACCTAAACGAGGTGCTGTCAACATGATCATTGGCCATCAACTGGTCTACCATTGATATGCACGCCTAACCTGTAGCCCATTTTCCCTAGCTCCTGTTTTCAATTCCTTTGTACTGAATAGTGCTGGTATCTATACAATTAATGATAATTATAATAATTAAGCGGATGGCTGCTATTTCTATGTGAGAGGTACGACTGTCTTCGGCAAGAATTAGCATACCTGTAAGTACTCATACATATACATGCCAGCCTCTGAAAACCTGAGATCGGGACAATGGCATGCCAATGTATGAAAATGATTGTATAATTGTAATAATACAAATGGAGCTGTGAGGCATGCTACTATTGCACGTTTGGGTGCCTATTACCCCCCCCCCCCCACCCCTCGATATCGGGACGGTCCCGGCCAAATCGGGATGTTGGCCAGGTATGGGTACTCGTACTGAAACTCAAATTACTGGTACAGAACCTGGTTTAAGCGACCACCCCACGGTGCAAGGAAAAGCGGTCGTTAAAGCCAGGTGGCCTTTAGAACCAGCTCCCATAGTGTCTGTGTAGAACTGTCCGTGTATGGAAAACGGTCGTTAACGAGCAAGTGGTTCGCTAAAACGAGAGGTCGCTTACTCCAGGTTTTACTGTTATGTTGTCTGATTATCACGACCACCCTTTTAAAGGTACAGTCGCTAAGTTACCGAAGTGAAAGAGAATAAACTACCACCCAGCCATTCTTACTGATGCGGCTGCGGGTCCTGTGCGGGAAAATGATGGCTGTGAGCAGCAATCCTGTTCAGGCCATCCACCGTCACAGTGTGTGCGTGGCCTTTTTTTTTTAAGGATATTCATGATATTTATGAAAGAAAACAAAACTTAACAAGAAAGTAAGCAGCAGCACTCGACCCTTGAAAATTCTGCGTCCACTTCACCACCACCACCACCACCACCAACGTTGCGCTCTAAGGCCGACCACGTTCATTCCCCACAACAGCAACAAGAGGAGGCTCCTTCCGTACTGAACAAATTTTTTGAATTCCTTCAGAAAGCTGTTTCGGTGAATTAGACTTCATCGGAGAAAGTTACTGTAGTTGAACAGTACCCAAGGAGCCTCTTGTTGCTGTTGTGTGGAATGAACTTCGTCGGCCGCAGAGCGCAACGGCGGTGGTGAAGTGGACGCAGAATGAAAATACTTCACCATCTAAGTACGGTCTCTGGACTGAACGACTAAAAAAGAACATCAATTCTCAGTCACATCTCTCTGGACTATTACCCAGACCTCCCAGTTAGGTGCACCTCGGTCTACGGGCACCCCGTGTGTGAGTTTAGTGGAAAATTAATACTACTGTCGTCACTAGTGGACATGGAAATCCAGTCTCAGCGTGTACAGATCGTTGCATGCAGTGCACATGTTAAAGGGGAAGTATACCCTAAAATCAAATTTTCACCAGTTGTAGTAATCTGGGTGCTGAGTCGAATGGTCTTGGTCCGAGGAAGCTGCGACGCTCCCTTCCTACTTGAATCCCAATCGAACTCGCGAACTTCCACCGAAACTGGGTGACTGCGCCCTACTAGATGGGGATTTGTATGCAAAATGTCACTAAAAGCGCCATTTCGTTCTTATAAAAGCACGGATGACCGCGATTGGCCCATATGTTGTAGTCTTTTGGACGCTGAGTCGACTGGTTTTGGTCCGAAAAGGCTGCGATGCAGCGTTCCTCCTTTATTCCCAATCGAACATGGTTGAACAAGCGGTCACGTGCTCCTGCGTACACCAGTCACCTGGTCACCGTGCCTGCAGGGTACTAGAAGTGCTAGAAGAGTGTTCTTTTCGTACCCTAATGACATACATACACCACGGACACTAGGCAACGTTTTTCGGACATTTCTAGTGAAGTCAAATGGAATTGCTCAATGGCTTACCCCCAACAAAACTCTCCAACGTCTTCATCTCTTCCAGGAAACTAGCGAAATTTGGTGGAGGTTCGTTGTCATGCACAATAGAGAGGTTTTGCATTCCGAATTTCGGAATGATTTTCGACTGTGCTTTTCCGAAAAAAGCGCGTTCCGAAAAACGGTATTTTCAGTGTTTTGCATTCCGAAAATCTGATTCGACTTCGTTTCCAAGGATTGCCATGCAAAACAAAATGGAGAGCGTCGAAGGGGTTGAGCAGGATCAAATCCATGTGCGCAGGTCAAACTGAATTTGGGTGCGGTTCGAAGACGAGGACGGACTGATGGTGGACCAAGTGATCCAACAGCTGAAGACGAGGTTGGCGAACTACTGTCTTGTACTGTTAGTAGGCTCCAGGGCAAAGGAAGATAGAGTGTGATGAAGTGTGAGAAGATTAGTCAACATGGCGAGATCAGCGAGAGCAGCAAAACCAGCAAAAATCAAAACTACATACGTGGAAATTTTTTCAAATAATCGAGAGCAGCAGAAAGCAAAAATACAAACATGAAAAATACACTTTTTTGTATTCAAATATGCACTCCCAAACATGAAAGAGCCGAAAATCTATTTTCGGAAAACCATGCACTTTCGCCACCACACTTCCGAAAGTTCGACTACTTTTTCGACTGCTGCCGCCACATTCCGAAAATAATTCCGAAATTCGGAATGCAAAACCTCTCTAGTATCACAAAATATGTGAAATGACTCAGCTGTACCACATCTTAGCATATCCAGCAAGAGCTCGTGTTTTTCTGGGTCTTCTATAGCCCGCAGCTCCATCAGCTGAGCTTCAGAAATCAGTTCCTTAGAAAAGCATGCTGTACGAATTGTCCTGCAGCTGAGCGCTTCTTGCAGGTGGGGCATCCAGTGAGAGAACTCCTTGCTTTTCCAAGGACTATCCATGGTAGGTTGCTCCTGTAGTAACCCACACAGCGACACAGAAACACTGTAAAGGCTAGGAGCTAGCTCTATTAGTACCTGTAGTAACCCACACAGCGGCACAGAAACACTGTAAAGGCTAGTGTAAAGGCTAGTGTAAAGGCTAGTGTAAAGGCTAGTGTAAAGGCTAGTGTAAAGGCTAGTGTAAAGGCTAGTGTAAAGGCTAGTGTAAAGGCTAGTGTAAAGGCTAGTGTAAAGGCTAGTGTAAAGGCTAGTGTAAAGGCTAGTGTAAAGGCTAGTGTAAAGGCTAGTGTAAAGGCTAGTGTAAAGGCTAGTGTAAAGGCTAGTGTAAAGGCTAGTGTAAAGGCTAGTGTAAAGGCTAGTGTAAAGGCTAGTGTAAAGGCTAGTGTAAAGGCTAGTGTAAAGGCTAGTGTAAAGGCTAGTGTAAAGGCTAGGAGCTAGCTCTACTAGTACCAGTAGTCTCTACTCCTGGGTGTATGCTGGGAAAAGCTTAAATGGCAACTGACCAAAAGTCGGCAAAGAAAACACAAGAATAGAAAAGAATCCAGATATTAACCAGGGGTGTCGGAAGATATTTTACTGTGGTACGGTCAGCCATCTGAAGTACAATTTACTCGTGAGGGAGGGGTTGCTGAGCGAAAGGTTTTGGAAGTTTGTGCCCAGATGAGTATATTTTATTCCCGTAGCTATGCAGAAGACGTTACTTCAGTAACGTCTGGCGCTAGCCAGGGTCCACACAGCTTTAATTTGGTGTTTGTTTGTGTGTTTGTGTCACGCCTGGCGCTATCCCGTATCTGTCCCGTACCGTACTGTACCGTCAAACACAGCTGGCCGCAATATTCAAATAGGGCTTTCAAACGCAAGATCATAACGTGAAGCAACTTAGAAGAATGAGTATGAATGCGAAGTATGAATGCATGTAGGGCGATAGTGCGGGTTCGAATCCCAGGTAATGCCTGAAAAAAATAGGAGAATCGAAAAATTTATAACATCCCTTTTCTTTTTTTGCCGTCATGAAGGCGGTAGATGGTGTCGTATTACCCTCGACCGTACCTGTCCCGTACCTGTCCCGTACCTATCCCGTACCGTACCGTACAATCAAAGGCTGGCCACAATGCATATTCAAATAGGGCTTTCAAATACAAGATCATAACGTGATGCAACTTGGAAGAATTAGTATGTATGCGAAGTGTATCGGGGGATGCATGCAGGGCGATAGTGCGGGTTCGAATCCCAGGTTATGTCTAAAAACAAAAAGTAGAAACTTATAAGAATTTATAACATCCCTATGCTTTTTTGTCGAGGTCATCAAGGCAAAAAAGCATAGCGTAGGGCCCTGAGCTTCCAAGCTCTCTCGTTGATTCACGGGGTACCTAGGGCAAAAAGTGGTACGGTCAATACCGTAGTGACCGTACCGTGTCCGACGCCCCTGAATACCCATAGGCCCAAGATGAAAGAAAGCTTCAGTTTCCACGGCGACCTAGAGAACAAAAAGAACTGTGCCTAAAGGTACTTGTACGCGCATATGGTTGCAAGATACCTACCTTTGCCGTAGTCATGGTTGCTTTGACAACCAAGGACGTCAATGCTGGCAGTCACCACCACCCTGCAACAATCATAAGTCCGGCAAACACAACTATGGAATACGTGGAGAATGCTGTCTGTTAATGCGTGCTCTGTCCTGTATCTCTCTCTCTCTCTCTCTCTCTCTCTCTCTCTCTCTCTCTCTCTCTCTCTCTCTCTATCTCTCTCTCTCTCTCTCTCTCTCTCTCTCGCTCTTTCTGTCTCTCTCTTTCTCTCCAGGGGCGTGCTTGGCGACCGGGGTTTTGAAAAGTCACCAATGTATTGCGGAAAGCCTGACCTCGCGGGAGCATATCCACAGATGAGGTGCTGAAGCTGTTCTTTCGAATCCTGTCCAGATACGTCAACTACAACAATTTTAGTGTGACAATTGTTCTTAGCTATATCCATGCAATGTGTGTTTGTCTCGGCCTGCCTGGCACAGTGCCGTCGACGAATTGGTTTTTAAGTGCGCGAGTTCGATTGGGATTCAAGTAGGAAGGGAGCGTCTCAGCTTTCTCGGACCAAGACCATTCGACTCAGCACCCCGAAGACTACAACTGGTGAAATTTTTATTTTTGCCTTAACTTCCCCTTTAAACATTTGTAAAGTTTCCATCCTTTATTTTGAAAAAGTTGATATGATGCTGTACGCGCTCGTACTCGTACTCGTACTGTGTTCATTCTTGATGACATACAATCTTTGTAACAGTAATAATGACGTCACATAATATACAAATATCTGATGATGTCACCGGTACAACCTTTTGAAAATTGCTGTTGTCTGGAAGTGGTGCACCCTCCTGGAAGGGGAGCCGAGCACGCTCCTGCTCTCTCCCTGTCTCTGTCTCTCTGTCTCTCGGTACAACCTTTTGAAAATTGCTGTTGTCTGGAAGTGGTGCACCCTCCTGGAAGGGGAGCCGAGCACGCCCCTGCTCTCTCCCTGTCTCTGTCTCTCTCTCTCCATAAATTTATGGCACTGTATCTCTCCTTAGTTATTCGCCCCATTGCCATCAAATATATTTGTGCGCTTTGGCGAGTGAATCAATATAAAACCAATATCAACAATGTGAATCTCCTCCAAGGTTGTTAGAGTCTTTCTCCAACCAACTCGTTATTCAAGAATCCAGGTTTCAACACATGCTCTCAGGCCTTCCTTCTTCCCTTTTTGTTTCTCTAAATTCACGCTTATACTTCGAGTACAATCATGGTGCAGGTACTTTCATATGTACAGTACAACATTTTGGATGTCCAGTAGAGTACACGCATATGATACCATGACTCTATGAGGTACAATCAGAGCCATGTTCCTGGGTGTGTGGCCAATAGTGTCCCGATCAGGAATGTTCAATTTCACGGGAAACTCCACTACAAACACACACACATACACACACACATACACAGGCACGCGCACGCGCAGGCGCAAGCGCGCGAGCAGGCGCAGGCGCAAGCGCACGCGCCCGCACCCGCGCCTACGCCCGGCACGCCCCCCCCCCCCACAGCTCGCACTAAATACCTTTTAAAAATTTCCAGGATGCAATTGCAGCTCCAGACAGGAGGAAGAAGAACACCGTGGAATATAACGGCAACGATGCCCAAACTCTTGGGAAACAGCTGAAGTCTTCCTGAAGATGTTAACATTGAATAGCCATCGATTACCAGCGTGGCTTGGTGACTTTCAGATCCGCCGGAACCGGTTGGTCCGGTTGTCACCGGACCAACTCTGGCTCAGGTCACCCCCTGGGATTCGTCTAAAACCGGGGAGAAGAAATTCTGGGTACATGTACATGTATTATCAAGAGTACATGAAAACCAGAGTGTGCAGCTTGGGGCCTTTTCTGCTATGGGTGTCTGTCACGGCGGAATTCCGTGATTACATATTATTTTGCGCAGATCTGAGGCGGGATCTGAGTGCGTACAACTGAACTGCAGTTGTGCAGAAAGAGACCTGCTTGAATCCTGCTTGTACGTGCTACATCACGAAAATGATGTAATCACGGAATTCCGCCGTAACAGCAACCCATCCGAGGTGCACACTCTGGGTTTCATGTACTGTAAATATACAAATTTTCGGCAGCTATTTAATTTCGGCTATATTCGGATAAGCGCCTTGATCCAAGAGGGTGGTGGCGTTCCTGCGGATGCGAAAAACTGGGCCTTTGGCCGAGTCTCACGCGAACCGTGAAATTTTTTTAATTTTTTAATTTTTTTTAAATCGGCACCGACCCAAAACGCCTAAATTAAAACGCCGATGAAATTGTTCACAGCATCTGTCGCACTATACCATGCCCTCTACCCACGTCGAAAATAAATCGCCGCCGAGATGTCAAAAATCGTGAAGTGCCGAAATTTTGCAGCGCCGAAATTTTGTATAATATTGTTTACAGTACATATGTACATGCACCCATAGTAGGCCATACATTGTACTTTGATATCCATGCAAAATTATTCCCTGTAGTGGGGTCTGAAAACTTGTGAAAGGGCCAAATTCTGCTATTTCTGACCAGAATTTTCAAAAAGGTCCGGGGCAGATCCCCGGACACCCTCGAACCGGACCAACTTCGCCTGCTTTCCGGCGGGCCTGACTTTAGAACTGTTTTGAGACTTAGAACGAAGCGATTTCTCACATTATATTTGATGGAATTGTTATGAAATGATGTGTTGTTTGCCTGTGTGATGGCATTCCCCAAACTGTCTCGTCTAGTCGCGTGCATGTGTGTTATGAGCATGCGCGATTTGTAGTCGACAGTCCTTTTGTCAGTCTTCTTGTTCGTCTCTGTCAGAGTAGTCTACCTTTCCGTAATGTCCAAATATATTATGTAAAACAAACCAGTCTTGTCCTTTGTGTCCTGCATCCCGGGGAACGGAATGGCTGAGATTCCGCAACAACGTGGTGCCGAAACCCGGGACGCAGAGGATGAGTTAGTTTGTAGTGAGTCTGTTCGTCGTCGTCGTCAACAACAAAGTAAAACTATTAAGTATGCGTGGGAATGGAGGAGGTCAGGAGAGGAGCTGGTGGGAGTGCAAGACGGTGGAAGAGGAGGCAGAGCAGGTGGTTGGACCGGCAGAAGCTGGGGACTGGAGCCTGGGACGGCAGGTACCGCATGGAGCGTGTGGCCGTGGCTCGCCAGAGGCCAGTGGATGAGTCTGGCATCACCGACTGTGTGTCGTCCTTTGTTGTTCGTCTTGTTGTTGTCTTGCTCGCTGTGTTGTCTGATCGTGTTTCTCTCACTGTTCAGTTCGTTGCTGTGTTGTTGAGTTTGGTTGTCGGTATGTTGCTCTTCTCGTCGTTCTGTTGTTCTGCATTAATTTGCGTTGTAGATTTATTTTGCGCTGCTGCGCGCATGTTGTTATTTGTTGGAGCTTTGGCTCTCGTGTTTTGGTTTGGCCCTGTGGTGCGGCTTGGTTGAGAGCGTCGGCTCTTGTGTCTTGGTTTGGCCCTGTGTCGTGGCCCAGTTTTGTTGTGCTACAATGTAAGCTGTTGGTTGGTTTTGGTTTTTCTGTTTTGCTGTGGCTCCTTTTGCTGTTGTGCATGTGGAACGTGGTGTCGGTTTATTATTTTGTGGAATGTCATCAAGGGGGCAGGTGTTGTGAAATGATGTGTTGTTTTCCTGTGTGATGGCATTCCCCGAACTGTCTCGTCTAGTCGCGTGCATGTGTGATATGAGCATGCGCGATTTTGTAGTCGACAGTCTTTTTGTCAGTCTTCTTGTTCGTCTCTGTCAGAGTAGTCTACCTTTCCGTAATGTCCAAATATATTATGTAAAACAAACCAGTCTTGTCCTTTGTGTCCTGCGTCCCAGGGAACGGAATGGCTGAGATTCCGCAACAGAATTGTTACCTGTCAAAGGTGTGTGCGAACAGGCCAGCTGACTGGTTATGCATGAGAATGCATTGATTTTGCGTGGTTCACGTGCAGAAAACCAAGTGTTACTTAGTTGCCACGATCCAAGTGCAGCTAACAGCCATGGGAGGTCTGCTCCCCGTGTGTGATGTAGTGGTGATCTGTGAGCTGCCAAACCGGCGTGTTCTTCCAAGATTTAAACTGCTGGGCCGGCGTCTAACGCTATCATCCTTGCAGCGGATCATATCCTTCTTCAAAGCAATGGCAGATGCCCTGGTATGGTAGATCTAATATTTACATTATTATACCGTGATGACTGCACAGTATAGTGTAAAACATGTGCGAGTGACAAACCGGAAAACTAAACTAACTTACTTTCGGGGCCAGCTCGCTAGCGCCGCTGAGACCAATCCTTGCTAGTCAGCTCGGATGGGCAATCGACCTTCTACGAGTACGCTCGTGCCAGCATCGAGTTGAACATGGCCCACGCCCACCCGCGGGTCTGGAACCAACTCTCCTAGGCCTAGCTAGCCCTCTGGCACTGCCCCTGCTTTCAAAACTCCTTCCTTGCTCGGCAGACTGGTCGACTGAGATACATGTGTGCGTGTGCAGCTAGCTATCCTTGCATCGGAACCAACTGATACTCTCCTTGCTACTGCTACTGTACTAGTGCTAGCCCCTGCTTTCACCATAGACATTGTTCACGACTCCTTCCTTGCTCCAAACAAAAAATAATCTGGCACGAGTCGAGTGACCATGGTGACTGGTGACAGTCTAATAGTACGGCCGGCCCGCGCCCGTCGCTTTGCTAGCGCTTTGCGACTGTACAGTCAGTGTACATCATGTACTGCTATGCTGTTTCATGTGACATGTTTGACAATGTCAGACAAAATCAGGGAGTCGTAAAATACCGGGAAAATACCTGGTATTTTACGACTCCCTGGAAAAAATCCATACATTTTTACTTCACTCTAATAGATAGAACATCAAACGTTGAATAATTTCGTTTCTGTTTAGATCTCATCATCTGATCAGGTCCCTGCCACTGTTAGAACTAAAATTTGCTAGTACAGTCATACCTTTGTTCCATGTCTGGCTGGCAGCCTCGTTCGCTCAGGCAACTAACGTTACCTCGCCGCTAGAGAAAGGTCTACCGTAGCATGGTTTTCCTCGCAGCGATCGTGGTAAAACCTGATGAAGACAGGAAATTCGCTGTAGTCAGAGTGTAGACGCGATTATGTGGTATTGAATAGCGTCAATAGGTTCCAGGCTGTACAGCGATAGCGTGGAGAGTAACACGAAGGAGATAATATAGCTCTAGTGGAGTGTGGACTGTGGAGCAGACGATACGATAGAATGTCGCGAAATGGCACTTCGTCATGTTCTTGCGAAGGTTAGCGGACCACATAGCATTCATCTTATTCTATATTGTAGCATGCAGCTTTGAACGGATTTCGACGCTGAAAATATTTGGATCAGCATCCATGCCTTAGACCAGAGTATGTACACTCTTTGCGTATGGACTGTTCGCGAATCTCGCCTCAAGAGGCCAAAGTTTAGTCGAGGACAGTAAGACCATGTGTCCGTAAATACCGATTCTTTTTTTCTGAATTTGTTTACTATAACCTACCTGGAGACACCAATTTCATTAGGCCACATCAAGTTAATTCTATGTTTCACATCGGAAGGTTTCTGGGAAAGGCACGTGGGCGTGCGGAAAAAAAAGAGGAAAACAAAACCCCATTCTGTGTGCACTGAGTAGCCCTTTCCCAAAGGTGCTCGCCCTTTTTTCGCCCTTTTTGGCCCTTTTTGGAAAAGCCCATTTCTTTCGCCCTTTATTGCGTTTTTTGGTGAATATCGCCCTTTTTGAGCTTTTTTAGCTGAAAAAGTGCTTAAATCTGTTTGCTCATGCATGCGGTCACAGTTTCCGAGTGCTCGATCTGGATGCATGGATGGGTCTTGGCACGCTGCATTTTCGGCGGGGGGGGGGGGGGGGGGGCAACAAGTTGGTGAAGCTTGTACCTGGTGTACAGAATGCTGTAAAAAGTGGGTTTTTTGAACTTTACTTCCTGTTTTGCCTTTCGTGGACCCATAAATGGAAGAGCGCGTATTCATTTCTCAGCTTGGGTTCATATCTGAACATGTATCAGGGCTATCCTTCACTGAAAAAAGAGCACTTTTTGCCTGTTTTCACTGAAAAAAGAGCACTTTTTCAGCATTATTATTTTGAGGGACGCGAAAAGCACTGAGTGCGGGATTAAAAGAGCACCTTTGGGAAAGGGCTAGTACTGACTCTTGAGCCATGTTGCACACAGAATACAGTAAGATCGGGCGCCGAAGAACGCAGGGGCTCGAGCGCAGCCTAGGAAAGTTCTTTTAAATTTTTGATTCTAGCCAGACCGTTCTTATTCCCACGCGCGCGGCGAGTCGAGTGACGTCATGACGTTTGTCATGTACATGTAGTGCAATGTAGTAGAGTCTACTTCTAAACTAGTGGGTGTCATAAATGGGAATGACTGTACATGTAGCAGTTACTGTTTACACGTGTACATGACATGTACTCACCTCCCATACATGTACAATGTATACAATTTTAAAAGTGTTCTTAAATCTGATAACTCTAGCCCGGACTGTTCTTAAATTTTGCCGGTTTTCCAGCCTGGGTGTTCTTCGGCGAGGTGTTCTTCGGCGCCCGATCTTACTGTAGCACCACATGCACTAGACTTTGAATTATATCACAAACGACGGCTGGCAGACTGGGCTGGAGAGATATCAAAACAGGTTTCGTGGATGGCTCCTTCTGCTCTTCGACATGAGTCGAGTGGAATTCCTCTCCATCACAATCTGGATAATCTTGGAGTCCTTGACACCTGGAATCTCCGCTCGCTTGGTGAGCAGGCCCTACTTGGAAAAGTAGTATTTTTCATCGTAGAGAATGTTCGCCAGAACAGCCATCGATTGACTCCCCTGGGTGCTCCTTTTCTTGTCCACGATTGGAAAGGGTATGCGCGCGGTGAAGCGAAACATAGACATCACTTGGTGTTGCCTTATAGCATTGGAAAGGCAAAACTGCACACTCATATTTATATTGTGTACACATCAAGGTGTAGTATACAAAAAAAGAGTAAAGTTCGCACTTCCGCATAACCAGCGGCTATGCAGTTGTAGTTAGAAACACAACCAGCTTTGGAAGTTTCACACGTGCCAGGCCACCACCATGCCTGTGATAGCAGGGTGGCAGATGCAGCTCCTAACGGCGAGGGTGAACACACAGGAGTTACACAAAGAAAAACTAATGGCTTTTTGTTGTTACTCAGAGCATCAAGGCAAAGTAGGGGGCTACGTGTTCCAAGAACGGTTTCTCATGATCGTCATCAGTTCAAGTAGCATCACACTGCATTGGTGCGTAGGACAAATAACAGAGTGTAGAGAAAAAATTCAGACCTAGGTTCAGCATGCATGTGATGACTATGAATGACATGCAAAAGCCATCCTTCACATACCGGTATGCAGCCGTGCACCCCCCCCCCCCCCCCCCCTCTAAAATCGGGCCCAGCTATGCACCTGAATTATTTCGCATTGGCTGCGGTCGCGATTGCAATTGTCGTTGTGACGTTGTGTTGCGGCCGCTGCTGCCGCCCTTGTTCTTTTCTAATATTGCATGCAGCCATTCTGAACACGTCGATGTACAGCTGCATCGCCATGGTAGCGGTGGTGTACGTCGGCGCCGGCCTGTACGCTCTGTGGAAGCTGCGACGTCATCGCAAGGTGCTACTCTTACCACTGGTCTTCCTCATCGCTGGGCTGTTCACGGCCGGGCTGACGTGCTCCGTCACTTGTAAGTGAAATAAGTCAAATATGAGCTGATTGTCAAGTAACTGGTGGTGTCAGGGGTCGTCCCAAACGTTTTCTGTCGTCCCTGAAGCGAAAATCGTTCCTTTCCTACTCGGACCCCCTCCCCTCCCTCTGGAACGAACACAGCTTGCTGTGCTGGACGACAAAAAATCGCATGCATGTACATGTCATAATTATGTACAGTGTCGGTCGACTTGCAATTTTGGCTTGCACCCCCCCCCCCCCAACGAATCATGTTCGTTTCAGGGACGACAAACAACTTTTGCGACGACTCCTTAGTGCACATTACAGCCAAACTTGGAGTTCAAAGGTCCGTTTTTCTTCCTATAACTATCCGTGGCTGTCCATCTGAGTCTATCCTTACAGTGAAATATAGTTTGTGAATTGTATTTCACTTGTATAACCTTTTTTTCAATGCACCACTCTCAATAGGTCGCGGAGACCGTTTCGCATGTTTCCTGTAAGAATTTGCTGTTTTGCAATTGAACAACTTACAACCATGCACACATAATACAAATTGGGTTACGCCAGTGTAAAAGGGTAGGGAGTTGCTGTTGTGTCATCGATGGCTTAATTTCTGTCTCTGTCTGTCTCTGTCTGTCTCCGTCTCTCTGTCTCCCTGTGTCTCTGTCTCTCTCTCTGTCTCTCTCTCTCTCTCCCCCCCCCCCCCCCCACCGTATCTTCTCTGCGTCTTTCATCTCTGCTCTGACACGACTGCAGGTTCGGTGCTGGCCAAGATATTTTGTCTGATGAAGGTGCACATGATGCTATGCAAGAGCTACTTCTTCTTTCTGCTGGGCATCGCCGAAGCCATTTTCTTACTGGCGGTGGCCGTCTCCCATAGCTATTTCAATATCTGAGACACAAATAGGCAGGCGTTGGCAACAATGTGGCCAAGTTCCAGTAACGCCAAACACGGCGTGCATCTCCTCACAGAGATCAGGTGACATTGCTGTCCTCTCGCAGTCCTCTCTTGACTCCACCTCCAGTGAACTGCGCCAAGTCATTGATGGCATGCCACACTGGATTGAAACTCGTAACGGCATCAGCGAGTAAGGTGACTCACCACCGAAAGAAGGGAATCGTTCTAGTTGCTACACACTCGGGCACCGTCTCCCCAATACATCATTGTACTTTCGCTTGGCCGGTTGCTTGCAGCGAGCACAGGTGAGAACTGGAGATCCAGCCGGAATGACAGCTTTCAGGACAGCGGAAAGACAGCGTGGCACGAAGACACGGCAGCAGCAACACTTGTTCGGCGAGTATGCCATGGCTGTCAGTTGCTTGTACTTGAGATGGCCAATCCCGGCTGCATCGGCATCCGTTGCACGCTAGCACTGGTAGCATTGTGCACCGTTCGGCCGGAGAGCTTCCTGACCTGCAGTACCCGGTCCTCTACATGCGGCAGTAACTGCTACAAGTAAGAACCCAGGCGTCCGGCGTCTTGCCTCTCGTTATCCTGGCCAGTGCAGCCAAGCAGGTTACTTGTCCTGCATGTGTAGGTGGTGACGGCGCTGTGTGCGCTGCAATAGAATACACATTCGATTACACATTCTGCTCTCAGAATTTAAAATTCTTGGATGACCAGAATGAGCTACAATGCAGTCATGAAAACCGGTACGTTGTGAGTTCCGTTATCAAGATCTACACGAGAAAGCCGTGGAAAGCAACGGTATATACGGCGGCTCTAATGTACGAATTGATTCTACATGTATACCTGACATATTGCCTGTACGTGCAGCAGACAAAGTCGAGCTAGGAGAGCGTACAGTGAGTGCCGAAGTTCTATCGGGAGATGGAGAAACTCTGCCCCCGCGTCCGAATTGGCGGGATTGGATTCCGTGGATTCTGACGGCGACATCTGAACGGTGCCTGCATTGTCGGGACTTCTAGAGAAAATAGGATTGTGTGTGCGTGTAATTGAACATGCCCAATGTGCGCGCACATGTGTGTGTGAGTGTGTGTGTGTGTGTGTGTGTGTGTGTGTGTGTGTGTGTGTGTGTGTGTGTGTGTGTGTGTGTGGCCAATATTAGTGACGGTCAATTCATCAGCCTTGCAAGCTGTTGAATGGTGTAATCTCAGCACAAGTTGCTATGTCTAACATACATGTAGACTGGTCGCTATCATCACTCCAGTGACGGGCACGAGTGTGGGTATGAGTGTGTGTATGAGTGTGTGTGTATGTGTGTGCATGTGTGTGTGTGTGTGTGCGTGCGTGTGTGTGTGTGTGTGTGTGTGTGTGTGTGTGTGTGTGTGTGTGTGTGTGTGTGTGTGTGTGTGTGTGTGTGTGTGTGTGTGAATATAGAACACACATATCATGGGTGTGTGTGTGTGTGTGTGTGTGTGTGTGCATGTGTGCAATTCTGCAACCAGGCTTTCTTTTCTTGCCGTCCCTGTATGGATGGCACACATGCTTGGGCCTGCCTGCGTGCAGTGCTGCATGTCTTGCTGGCTCAGTATAACACTTTGAAGATATATAGATGTATGCGTAGAATCTTGGTCGCAGCTGTGTGCCCTGTGCATGGCACGTCTCTTCGTGCTACTCTCCGTTGACCTTTGTGGGTATCAAAAGGCAATTGATTCACTCGCCATTGTTGCGACTGGCAGTGGATGTGAAGAAATGCCTCAAAGACCCCCCCCCCTCCCTCTCCCTTTCATTGCCTGGATTTCGAACAGCAATCACTCTGTCCATGTCAGAGCTATTGTTCTTTGTCTACGGATATATATATTTATGGCAAGTTATAAGGACGAAACAGTTGTGTCCGCAGATTGAGTATTTGGCTCCTGCTCCTATAGCAGTTGAGTACTCTCATGTGGGGTACCGGTAGTGCCTTCGCTGTTTGCGTTATGCAGAGCTCGCTGACTTGTCAGTTTGTTTTTCCATTGCTATCAGTTTCGACCTCATTTTCTCTGTGCTGCGCTGATGAGTCCACAAAGGACGAAACAGTTCTGTCCGCAGATTGAGTATGGCAAGTTATAGAACATTTTGGTGGACAACATCCTTGAAACTTACTTCGCCCTCCTAGATCCTGTAGTTTTCGGCATTTTTGAGCCACTGATGAAGTGGAACGTAAGTACCGCGTACCGTACACTTTCGGACGGCTGAATAGGGCTTGAAAGTGATCACGTCAAAAACGGCCAGGGAGTAGTAAGTTGACATCAGATTTCTATTTTGGATCCACTAAGGTGTGACTTTACTATTGCCTCAGTGTGTGGGTGCATAGCAACCCACGCATGTCGTATGCAGGTGTGACTTTTTCTTCGCCGCCAATTGTCACCCTACCCCCATTACTGGCCATTAGCCAACCCAGTCAATTTCACCGGTTACATCACCTTGCTGTGAGTAAGACCGTTTGAAATGTGCTTGGATCCATACAAAAACTGGATCCAAGTGGATCCAGTTTTTGAATTTTTGAAATTGTTGCTATGCTGTGACGTGGCACTTTCAAGCCCTTGAGATCTTGCAAGACAGAAAATTAGAAATGCGTGTACTGTAAAACCGGAAAGTCTAACGACCAAAAAGTTTAACGTTTTTGTAATTTTGGCCTGATTATGTGCAGAAAGTTTAACGATGACTACCCATCTGTATGCGCATCTTTTAATACACAGACATCTAGCGATAAAGTTTTTTCCAAAAACGATAAATACTTGGTCGTTAAAACGTTAGACTTTGTGACTCGTTAGACTTTTCGGTTTTACAGTAGTTTAAGTAGGCAGTACATGTACATGTACATTGTATAAGCAGTTTGGTTGTGAGCTGTAGAAACACATGTAAGCGATTACGTCGTCAGCAGTAGGCACCGGCGTATTATGCCGGCATAATTGTTGGCATAATTGGCAGAGGTGGTTTGTACGGAGTGGCATTACCAGCACTCAATACAAAGGATTTTTTTTTAATCGCATGTATATTTACTTAGACAACATCTCCTGCGCGCGACAAAAGACGGCCAATTCATCAGTATAATTATGAATTTTATGATGCTGTCACTTGCACTCTCAATAATAATAATACAAGCTCGCATGTTGCATGTTGAGCCAATAATACAATGTACATGTACATGTAAAAGGAAAATGACATAACAATAATAATTTTAATGGACTTGGATGTGGAGCCACGGACAAATATATAGAAAAGAAAACCCTCCTATGTTATCATAGCAGCTAAATTTGTTTATGCCTGTGGCCCTATGTGTTTATAAGCATACTGTTGGGTAGACCCGAGTATCAGTTGTCTGATGATTGCCTAACGCCGTTACCGCATGAAACTCAGAGTTACAACCAACATGAACGTCCTCCGCTGAGTCTGCTATGTACTAAGCTCTGTCTCTGACATTGAGCACTCTCTGCAGCTCGGGGATCAACGGATTTGATTTCTCCTATGTTATTATAACTTAGAACCTTCCAAGTTGGAAGGCTTTTGGAGTGCGCATCCAGAATGTCCTACAGCTGTTAGCCAGTTAGTTGTAGAACGTCAGTACCGTCGCCCCGGTTCGTCGGTCAGTGTTGTGCAATGTTATCACATGAGCTGATTGTTTAGTAACTGGTGGTGTTAGTGGACATTATAGTGTAACTTGTAGTTCCTGGGTCCTTTTTCTTTTCTATAGACATAATTATGGATACAAGTTGACTGTCCACCACTGAAGCTAGAATATAGATTCTAAGGTAGACCAAGAGGGAACCTTGCGAGTTGGGAGGCTGTTGGTTAGCGCTTCGGAGATGTGTTGGAGCTAATTATCAGGTCGTTGAATGTCTCAGTACTCCGTCAGTTTCTTGCCTAGTTGTTGCACTTTCTGACTGTATGTAGTATCCAGTTACAGTGGTGGACAGTTACTCTTAAAACTTGTATCAATATGTCCTTTTCCTAAATCAAAATAATAACTTCCACACGACCAGTCAATTTTGCCAACGGTCGGCCCGGTTTGTCATAAGCCTCTAGCTTGGCAAGAGCAAACCAGCTGCTTGAGGAAACACACAATGACCACCAGGTCACACTGGCATGGAGTTCTACAGACTGGCCTTGTACATACTGCATTTGAGTGTGTGAACTAGACGATATAATTATATTTTTTATCGCCTTCTTAGCATTTGCCCCCCCCCCCCCCCCCCACTGATTTCCCTCATACTTTACACCGACTCTGGCACCATGACAGCACGGCTTATAAGGGGTAACATTCACCAGGTTATTTCCTGTAACATGCCTAAATATGCCTCGTAAGGTTATGCCGACCGTCTGGTCTCAGAAGTCCTTTTATGCCAGGGCATAATATCTAGACAAAATCTGAAGAGTGTGCCAGAAATTATTCCAGCATAATCCATCAGGGCTAATATCGAATCGGAGCTGACAAGAAAGGATCGGGCAAAGCGTCGCCAGTGAGCTGGCTTTCACAACTCCCTCGATAGGGCTTGAAAGTGCTACGTCACAGCAAGAGTACATGAAAACCATGTACTCTTGGTCACAGCATAGCAACAATTTCAAAAATTCAAAAACTGGATCCACTTGGATCCAGTTTTTGTATGGATCCAAGCACATTTCAAGCCGTCTTACTCCCAGCAAGGTGATGTAGCCAGTGAAACCGATTGATTTGGCTACTGGGGGGCGGGGTTACAACTGGTGGCGAAGTAAAGTCACCCCTGCATACGACATGAGTGGGCTGCTATGCACCCACATACTGAGGCAATAGCAAAGTCACACCTTAGTGGATCCAAAATAGAAATCTGATGTCAACTTACTACGGTACTCCCTGGCCGTTTTTGACGTCATCACTTTCAAGCCCTAGTATTGGAGCACATCCACGAAAGTTAGTTTAGTTTACTCAATACTGGCTAGTCCCACGTAGAAAGTACAATGTACATGTACATGTGCCAGCAAAAGACAAAGGAGATATAGTTATGACGATTGTACTACTATTTACAATATTTTGGGGAAAACTTGTGAGAGTTCAAGTCGGCAGGAAAAGTGCGAGCTCCCATGTAGGGAGCAACACAAATTCCCCAAGTATCGCCGAAGTCGCACCAACCTCTTCTTCACATTGTTGTCCCCAGCGTGGGCTTGCGAACTGGATGGTTTGAAGGCAACGACGCTGTGAATGGCCAACGGTACTCAGCGTTTGTTCAGCACCTCCAGGAGTTACGTGCCTGTCCCTGATGATGGTTTCGTCTTGAAAGCACTATAATCTAATCTAATAACTTATAGTAATAAGTGGTTCTCTTCAGACACAATCTTTCTCAGCCTACTCAAGCTCAACTGACGAGGAGTGAATTCCCCGAAACACTGTGCAGAGAGTGGTGCTTTCTTGCAGGTTTGTCAAGCGGAAGGTTCCATGGACTTCTCATGTGCTCTGGATGGCAGTCGTGAGTCAGTCAAGAGAGAATTCAAATCGCCAGGAAAAGCGCGAGCTGCCACGTAGGGAACACCGACCAATTCCCTAAGTATCGCCGAAGTCCCACCAACCTCTTCTTCATAACGTGTACATGTCATGTATCTTCATTTAAAAAAAATTGTTATCGTGGAATGTGGCTGGTGAACTCTTCGTGGTGGTGAATACTAGCCTGGTGTGTTTCCTCTGGTCAAAGGAAGACGCCGGATGGACCAAATGACGCCACAGATATAATAATAATTAATACTGATGTATCATAAAAAGTAAAAAGGACCAAGGTCCAAGGAACTACAAGTTACGCTATAATGTCCACTAACACCACCAGGTACTAAACAATCAGCAAATGCGATAACATTGCACGACACTGACTGACGGTACTTTTTACAAAACTAATAATCCTTGACTCTCCATTAGGCGAGTTTCACTGGTGTATCATAATACTTACATGTAGTACCAGTCTGACCCAGGTAACCATGGTAACTGGTTATTCAGGAAGACCACTGTGGAGAACATACTTGACAGAAGCCAGTGGTAGTGTGTGCGGTACGGCGGTAGTCGGTACTAAGAGTAAGACTCTTACTAAGACTAAGAGTAAGACTCTTACTAAGAGTAAGACTCTTACTTTAGTCTTAGTAAGTCTTACCACTACCAGTACTGGTAATTTTACAGTAACTGTTACTACAGCACCCATCCTCATGGTAACCATGGTAACCCGTCAACTCGGGACACATTCAATCCCGGCAATGATGATTGTGTCGAAGTCCGTCCAGACTCCAGAGCTGCCAAGGGCAGCCAGTTGACGGTTGACAGCGGTGCTGCTGCTACCGTGCTAGTGTCAACTCTCTTCCTGGTCTACCACCGCAGTGGCGTACTCTAGATCTGGGTTGCTCACTTCCACCGGGTCCCCCCCCCCCCCACACACACACACACGCGCGCTCTCTCTCCGCTGTAGCCATTGGTAGCAGGGTAGACCTCATTTTCTGTAGGTCTACACGTCATGTACATGATTGTACTGTCGTGGACATGGAAATCCGGTCACATTAGTCCATCGGCCAAGTCTCAAAATCGAAAGTGGTGATGCACTGAGCTTCCAACTAAACGCGACCATACCCAGCACGTAGAGAATATATCAGAGAACACTATTCCGTTTGTTGGACGTGCCGAATTCAGTCCAGGGCGTCGATACGAAGCGTTCTTCGTCGCCGAGTTTTTTACTGTGCGCTCCATTTGAGAGTGCGCAGAGTTCTGATCGAGAGTTTTTTGAGCAGATTTTCAAATTTTTGAGGCTGTCAGCTGACAGCTGTCAACCCTAAATGGCACTTAGTATGTGACAGGCAATAGGTTTTGGTGCCTCCGTATGCCTTCTAATAAGTTCTATCTTCCTTCGTTTCACTTCGCTGCTTCGCCCACCACCTCAGGAGATGACAGCGTACCTGCACTAGCTCTCACTAACCAGTAACCCTGTCTCTCTTTCTCCGTCTTAGCGCTCGTCATTCGTGTCCTTCTGCTGGGGCGAGCTTGATAGTGATACTGTTGTGTCGTAGTTTTTAGGCAATAGTGGCTGTTGTTCGCGTGACGATCAGGATTTATGGAGAAAGACGACGACTCGCCAAGTTCCCATGCAGCCACAGACGGCGTAGCAATTCTTACCGCCAACCCTTCGAGCAACGGAACCGGCCTGAGTTGGAAATCGTGTCTGTGTAATTGTGCCACGATACGGATGAAATACACAGGCTCACATGTGACGAGATGAAGATAATCTCAACAGGCTCACGGGAACGCTGCAGTTATGGTCGGAGACGCGGAGTTATTTAGTCACTGGTAAATGTTGCATCGAGTGCTGTGTGCTCTAACACAATTGTAAAAAATTAATCATGAAAAAGCGAAAATAATGCAATGGTGGGGCTGAGTGGTGTTCTGTGGAGGAGACGTCGCTGTCTCAGTATTCAACGCCGGACCCTGTATTTCAAGTCTGTGGTCATGCTCGATCATAAGTTCCTGTATGGCTCCAGTGCCTTCTCAGCATTGTTGGCGGGTAAGCACCTGGATCGTCTCCAAGTACTGCAGCTCTGGTGGCTTGAGGGATGTACGGGTGCTCGCCGTGCACCCCTGCCGGCAATCTGCTAGTGAAGCTTGGTACCTACTGTGTCCGGGAGATTTTCATCGAGAAGCTGATCTTCCTAGGCTGGAGCTGCTGCTACTCCTGTGCTAGCCCTCAACCACTGGCGCTCCTACTCGGCTCCAGTGTGGGCCATTAACCACCCTGCCCGATTTCGCACTGTTGCTATTCCACACCGTCAGCATTTAACTCTGAGGTCAGACCTTGATCCCTCCCACCATATGCTATCTGTCTGTCTGCCTCTCTCTCACACACAGATGTGCGCGCATACACACAAACACACATGCACACACACACACATGCACACACAGTGACACAAACGTACACATAGCCAACTTCTCTGTGTTTGGTGATCATCATCTGTTTTCTGATGTGCAAGCTCACCTCTGATGCCGATTACTTCCTTGCTTAGACCCGGTCTGCTATTAGACCAGTCTGCTCTCCCTTCACTCGCTTGTAAATCCTACTTGGAGCAGTAAGGTTGTGTCACTGCTCCTACTGATGTCATTGTTGTGAAAGCAATATCATCGCCATTGCCATTGGTGGTAATTTTCCACCGTGCATGAATCATTAACAATCATCATCTATGTGTCATGGCCTAACCATCCTCGTAACTCCCCTCATCGTGACTAGTGCTGTACCGTTGAAACCTACTTTGATTCAGTGTATATTCGCCCCGGGCAAAGCTCTTGTTTTGTTTCATAGTGATCTGACGCAGTGTGCTATAGCCTGTCAGGTAATATGGTTACGATTAGTACAGTCGGCATCGCCTATCGAGTGACCAGGTACATGTATAAGGATACTAGTACATGTATACCGGCTTAACGATATCGGAACACAAATAGCACTATGTGCGCAATATTCCTTTCTAAGCTCACGCTGTGCGGTGCAGATAGGTCATGTGTTGTTGCCAACTTGCCGCATGTGCATGTGCAGCAGGAAGGCACCACATGTCGACTACTACTTATACTGTACAGCATTGTGTGCTTACATGCATCGATGGCCTTGTGGATGCAATTGAGCCTCACATACATGTACATGAAATATTGCGTGTAGTGCGGCATCAGGTGTTAACATACAGTGGCTAAATATTTTTCTCGCAACAATGACCGTATTCACCACAAGTGTGTTTACGTCCAGAGCCAACTCAAGTCCTGTATTATTTATGACCATGACAACAAGACTTCCGGGCTGAAATTCTTCTATGACAGGCATGAACACTTGCCTTACAATTGTTCGTGATTGTACTAAGTACATATTCGCTACGAAGTAGTGGTTGCGACTTCGGCGATGATTTGTAAGAAAGGTTTGCTCCCCACACCGGAGCTCGCGCTATTCCGCCGACAAGTGTCAAGTAAAGTCGGCGGAATAGCGCGAGCTCCGGTGTGGGGAGCAAACCTTTCTTACATATTCGCTGTTGCATCAATTTTGCACCATTTACATTGTAGTGCCACTAGTGGTATCACCTGCATGCGTATTGAGTCAAACAAGGTTACCTCTGTATAATTATGCTTATCGTGGCTATCAAGAGCTTCGATGCAAATTCCCAGCTGACGAATGGTGTCCAGCTTGTGTTCAGCTCAGCTGGCACTCACAACTCATAATAATTATTGCGTTCTAGACGCCAGATGAGATGTTTCAGCTACAATGTAGACACAACGTCCGTGTTCAAGAAAGCCGTCACTTCATCTTCTGTCCATCCTCAATAGCACGTTCAAGCAAATACGTCTGAAACACAGTAGCGACAATCCGACAGCGGCGACACGCCGTCTTCTCCGAATGAGCTTCTACCGTTCTAATTCAGATTCCCCCAAAAATGTCAAAATATATAATAGATTTCCACCAAGCTCGCTAGAATCTTGCGAACCGTCAACATACAGGCATTTCAAGTGTTCGAGCGTGCGTAGATTCTGCTCAGCGGCTCAAGAACATACGCCAAGCGAAAAAAAGTCGATGAGAAAGATGTAATGGTGGACGAAATAACGAAAATCGGAAGAAGGTATTCGACCCAGTTCGACTATCCTGGACTGGATTGGCAACGTCCAACAATCGGATTCGTATTCTATGGGGTCTCATGAGCTAGTGTGCCAAAGGGCGTTTAGTTGGAGCTTCAGTGCATCACCTTCGCCGAAAGAGGCCCTTTCTGAGATTTGGCCGATGGACTACATGTTTTGCGGCCGCAAGGCGCTGGCCATGCAGCCGTGGCGTTGGTAAAGCAGTACACACATGCCATGAGCGCTCGAGCATGGGCTGGTCGCGTCGGATCAACAAGTAAGTAGTTACATGTGCACTGCATGCGCACACTAGTCACTACGCCACGACTTACGTAGTGCCAGATCCTGCATGCGCGTAGCTAGACATGTCGACAGTGCATAGCGCGCTAGCGCCAGGCTGACATCAGACTGATCAGATGATCATGATGATCAGACCAAGGGCAAGGCTCGAAGAATGACGGATTATTGAGAGGCGGAGACCGGGCACGGCTGTCAAGAAGCGGCAACTTAGAAAGATGGCGTCGGTTTGAGATGGCATGGTAACCGCGCACGTGCCGTGGTCCGTGGCCTGCTCATGTATGCACGCAAATGCAAGTCACAAACTCACAAAGATCGTCTTTGCATTTGGAGAAAATATCTTCGACTCTCTTTGGAGGTAGGCGAGGTTTGCCTAATCTTTACTTGATTGCGATGCCGGTATGTCCTCTCAATAATTAGAACAAAGAGAGCTGATGATCGCTTCATTGCTGAGCAGAAGTAACAATCAACTCTCCTCATGTCCTCAGTGCCAAAGGCAGACGACTGCAATTCCACAACGCTCATTTCACGATGATGGAAACAATAATCGTGTACTAGTACACACTTGGACCATTTGGTCATCCCTGTTCTAGCCGCTAGTCCGTCCAGCAAGCAGATATTGACTATTACGATAAGGACAACTGCGTGAACGAGGGCTCGCCCAGCAAATTCAATTCAAGACGTGACTCCAGTCAAGAATTAGGGTCTTTACTCGAGAACTTCACAAATACAGGTCAAGGCACCCCACAAAACTGATAGATGGCACGAACGAAAGACAAATAGGCTAGACAAAGTGTCCCAAGTGATTGAAAACAGCAGATCTACCAAATAAGACAGCTACATGTGCCTAAATAACGATTCCCATACAGTAGAGAGTAGTATCAAGCAGAATGAAAGCCTTGGAAGTGCACAAATACAGCCACGACCGCCACAAAAATTGGACGACCGCCACAAAAAAATTCTCATTGCTCTACCTCCTTGAAGGGTGAAAGTTACCAGTTATCCTATAGCGATGTCAGTTTATGCCTGTTGGAACCCCCCCCCATAGCCCGCACGAAATACCTTTCAAATAATTCCAGGATGCAATTGCAGCTCCAGACAGGAGGAAGAAGAACACCGTGAAAAACAACGGCAACGATGCCCAAACTCTCGGGAAACGGCTGAAGTCTTCCTGAAGATGTTAACATTGAATAGCCATCGATTACCAGCGTGGTTTGGTGACTTTAGAACTGTTTTGAGACTTAGAACGAAGCGATATCTCAAATTTGATGGAATTGTTACCTGTCAAATGCGTGGGCGAGCAGGCCAGCTGACTGGTTATGCATGAACATGCATGAGCATGCATTGATTTTTCATGGTTCACGTGCAGAAAACTAAGTTGCCGCGATCCAAGTGCAGCTAACAGCCGTGCGGGCCGCGCGAGAGAATGACAAAGAGCTACATGTAGCTGAGCTCTTCATTTTCACCATTGCCATTGGGCATTGGCTCGTACCGGATAGGTTCGTTTTTACAACGTGAGCAAAGATTCTCTTTTTCCTGTTTTCTGTCCACGACTCTCCGAAAAATGCCGTTGTTTCCCTGATCTGAGGGTTTGCGGAGCTGCTCCCTCTCGATCACTCTATTTCTCTCTCTCTCTCTCTCCCTCTCTCTCTCTCTCTCTGGAGGAGGGTTGGCCCGAACGGGTAGGCTGCGAGTCGCTTTCCGAACGCTTCCATGAAGGATTGTTGGTAGCCCTGCCTGGCTTCGGCAGGATGTAGCCACTGCTTGTTCGCTAACACAATACTACTACGGTGCTTGTTCAGAAAGAACCAGAACGTCTCTGTGAGACTCGGTGCGCTACGTCCGCATCTACAAGTAGCTCTGCCTCTGGAAGTGATCATCAGCTCCGAGTTCCAGACCGCCTTCGTTTTGGTAAGTCACTTTGTGGCACGCTAGCCTATGCCGCTTCTTAGGTCCACAGCGCTGCTCATTGAAATCCGATCGCATGAATCAAGTTAGTTTGCGCCCTGCGCAGGCTCCCATCCCGGAGTTCGCAGGTCTACGAGTGGCTCTCGTAGGGCTGCAAAGCGCCCGGCGTGGTGTTGACTGGATCGGATTTCATTGAGCAGCGCCGTACTTCGCGAAAACATCATCCCAATGACCAATTATTTTATTATGTTCGGAGGTCTAGGGGCTGCACAGCGCAGGGGGACCCGGCGTGGCATTCACTTCCCTGATCGGATTTCATTGAGCAGTGCTGTACTTAGCGACAAATCCATCTGTTTCTGTTGAGTGGGGCAGAGAGGCAAAACCGTTTGCCCGGTTTTGTACAACGCAACTTGACAGCGAGAATGTGAAATCGTCATTGCACACCGTAGCCGGCAGAAGAGTTTTTTGAACCTACTGTTAACAAAAATTGTAACAAATGAGGGCTGCAATCGTTCCTTGATCCTTCGGAGTGGTGGCCTTCCTTGTTGGGGACGCTGAAAATCAGGCCGACTGACTATCACACCCACTGCAACCTTAGATGACTAGGCTGCAGTGTACCAGGCTTCCCCCCCCCCCCCTTCTCCATCGATTTCGTGCTTCATTGATCTTTGCCTCTTTTGTACAATGTTACTATAATTAGATACAGTTGAACATCGATTATCCGCACATCGACTATCCGACCATTCGATTATCCGCACATCGACTATCCGACCATTCGATTATCCGTAACAGTTTTTTTGGGCGCACGTGCCGTAGAGTACGCACTGTGCATGTAGTGAGCCATTCAAAAAATACGAAAATTTTGAAAAGTAAAAAGTAAAAAGGTCGTGCGGCTAGTAATAACCACTGAAAGTGTGTGAGTGACAGTTTTTTCTTATCCGGAACATTTGCCTTATCTGAACACCGCCTGACAGTTGTCTGCCCAGAGGTGGTCGGATAATCGATGTTCAACTGTACATGTAGCATGCGTACGTGCGCACGCATGTGTGTGTGTGTGTGTGTGTGTGTGTGTGTGTGTTCATATACTTTCTGTTTGAAGTATACATACCTGTTAACCCTGGACTGCTTCTGGCTAGATTAACTCTTGTGTGATCAATGGTGCTAGTGAAGCTTATATCAGATCCGCTCTGGTTTAGCCACCCACACTAGTACCCAGTATTACCTTCACTGGGGGCAGGGGTAACTGCAGTTGGATCCCGGGACGGATACCCTGATGCCGTCAATCCTTTTTCTGCACCTTGTCCTCACCCACTTACTGAGGTGTGGTGAGCCCATAAGTGGGATCATTTCAAGTCCACCCTAGTTTGGGGATTTCAGGGGGTGTCGGCCGTTGGGTGGTTCAATGGCCAATTGAGTCATCTTTCCAAGATTCCTTTTGAGTCTCTCTCCCCTCTCCCGGGGAGACCCACGTGACCAGTTTTGGCAGTGAGCAAGTACAAGTACAAGTACAAGTGTGTGTGTGTGTGTGTGTGTGTGTGTGCGTATGTGCGCGTGTGTGTGTGAGTGTGTGTGTGTGTGAGTGTGCCCTCGTTGCCTCTTTGAGGCACTGCATCACCTTTAGGCGGCAGTTTCAAGGTTCAAGGTTCATGTGCTTGTATGTATGTATGCGTGTTTGTGATGGAGCTACAAATAGACCGTATTTTCCGGGGTCTAAGCCGCACCCCGCCCCCCCTTTTTCGGGCCCGAAATTCGTAAATGTTTTTGACGTTCGCAGAATAAGACGCAAGTCAGATTTTAACTAGGTACATACATGTACAAGACGTTACAAATGGTTAAAAAGTGGAGAAGCACGACTGAAGTTCCAGCAAAAGTTTCTTTATGGTGAAAAAGGAGAAGGACAAAATGTTACGAGTTGTATGACTAATATTATTGTCCACCATCGTAGCCAGTTTCTTTGTTTGTCCTTCGCTCTGATCAGACAACGTAGCCAGTTTCTTTGTTTGTCCTTCGCTCTGATCAGACAACGTGGAAACACCGTACTTCTGCAATGATGGATTTCGGTGCATGAAAACGTTTGTATGTGCGTGTACATGGAACGTAGTTGAATGATGCCACACATGTACATGCACAATCATGGATATTGTGCATGGCACGCCATATCACAGTGGTCGATTCATGGCCAGCATTCGGAGTCTGAGCCTCAGCGGGCTATTTTTGGCCTTATTTTTTTTCAGGCGTTTCAAAGTGCGGCTAACACCCCGGAAAATACGGTAATTGAACGCTATACACTGTAGATTGAGACGCTGTTGGCCACACACCCAGAACATGGATGGCTCTTGTTGTACCTCTTAGAGTCATGAGTCATTCTATTCTAGTGTTTTCTTTGCCGACTTTTGGTCAGTTGCCATTTTAAGCTTTTCCCAGCATACACCCTCGAGTAGAGACTATCGGTACTAGTAGAGCTAGCTCTAGCCTTTACAGTGTTTCTGTGCCGCTGTGTGGGTTACTACAGGAGCACCCTACCATGGACAGTCCTTGGAAAAGCAAGGAGTTCTCTCACTGGATGCCCCACCTGCAAGGAGCGCTCAGCTGTAGGACGATTCGCACAGCATGCTTTTCTAAGCATCTGATCTCTGAAGATCAGCGGACGGAGCTGCGGGCCATAGAAGACCCAGCAAAACACAACGAGCTCTTGCTGGACAGGCTACGATGTGGAACAGCTGAGTCCTTTCGCATTTTTTGTGATATAGTGCGTGACAACGAACCTTCATCAAATTTCGCTAGTTTCCTGGAAGAGATGAAGACATTGGAGAGTTTTGTTGGGGGTAAGCCATTGAGAAATTCCGTTTGATTTATCATAGACAAAACCAGGCCGGCACAGTGGGTTGGTCAAAGACGATGATTGAGATACGAGAAGTACCTGGTGTAAGTCCTGCCTGGGAGCGGTTTTTCCAGCCGTGATGCCACCCAAGGTCAACTGGGAACTTGTGACCTGGCACAAGGGGTTCCTGGATGCGGCTGATGGGGTTTCTCGGCACTTGTGCCAGTTATTTTGCGACTTATCCCCTCACCCCCACCGTTAGGTGCTGCATCTGCCGCTAGGGTTTGCCGGGTGTTGGCGGGCGTCGTGAGTTACCTTCGGGAATGGCCACGATATTTTTTTGATGTCACATAAACGCACAAGCTAAATTTAGCTTTTTTGTAGGCGCGAGCAGGCACGCCTGTGTGGATGTGTGTGTGTGTGTGGGGGGGGGGGGGGGGGGGTGAGCGCGAGTGAGCGCTTAAACCAGATACCGTTTGGGTATGTTGCCAATAGGCTCGGCTGCTTGAAGGTGTATGTTGTGCTGCCACCTTTGTTGGTCTCAGGGTTCATATATTATCTAAACTTAGACATATAATCTCTATTTGAAGTATTTCTAAGAGTACCTATACCTGTTGACTAATGAGCTAGTACTTCTGGCTAGATTGACTCTTGTGTAATCAATGGTGCTTGTGTAGTTTACTAGTATATCAGATCTACTCTAATTTAGCCTTTCCCCTCCCCCACCCCCACACTAGTAGCAAGCATTAACTGCACTGGAGGCAGGGGTAAATGCAGTTGGATCCCGGGACGGATACCCTGATGCCATCAGTCCCTTTCCTGCACCTTTCCTCAGCCACTTACGGAGGTGTGGTGAGCTAATGAGTGGAGTCATATTTCAAGTCCACCCGGAGATCGGGATTTGGGGTTTATCAGCCGCTGGGCGGTTCAATAGCCAATCGATTCATTTTTCCAAGATTTCGTGTACACCTCTCTCCCCTCACCCCAGGGTAAACCCACATGATCAACTTTTGGTAATGGGCAAGAACAGTGTATGTATGTATGTACAAATGAGAGTCCTCCGGCACGGTACACTGCTCAATATTCATTTGAATAGAGCTATCGTACACACGTCACAGAGCATTACGCATGATTCGTTGCAACTAATAGTTTCATGTCCATAGACAATCATCATACAACTACTCTGATCAGTTGTCTGATAATTGTCTATGGGCATGAATTAGTTACAACCGGATGATGCGTGGTGGCGTGTGTATTTATGTATGCGTGTGCGTTCGTGTGTATGTGTGTATGTGTGTGCGTGTGTGTGTGTGTGTCTGACATGTGCAGTTGCGCACATAACATCACTGACCACAGATGTGCATGTGCTAAATGGTTTGCAATTGTTACCTCTTGTCTCTCAGTTTCTCCAGAGTGTAAGAAGGACTGTGATTCAGTTGTAAGTCTGATGAAGGAATTTCCTTCAACAGAACGCCGAACGATAGTGGACACTGCCGAGAACTTGTCGAGGATGCTCAAGTCTCGCACTGTCCAAAACAAGAGGAAACAAGTCATTCACTTGCCCAAGCCCACCTCAACAATATCGGTTGACTTGCTAAGCAAGCTGTCCACCGAGAAAGGTACATGTATGCGACCATTCTGTGTCAGAACGAGTGGCACGTACAATAATTAATGCTTGACTTCTACAGTGTGAAAGGTTGTGAAGACAATAGAGAGATTAAGATGCACGTTGTTTCCGACATGACGCGAAAGTTCAGCTCGCAGTATTTGGCTCGCGTGTCGAAAAACAACGCGAGTGACCTGCAGCTCACATCCAAATTTGGAGTTTTAAGCCAAATTTGACGTGAAATTGCGCGTCACGCCGGAACTAACGTGCATCTTAACCTCTCTACTATTGAAACAGCTTGCTGAGAAATTTATATTAGGGTAATTTATATTGGAGTAATTTATATTAGGGTATTGGCAAAACATTTTGGCTGAGCATCGCGCTTTCTAGATTCCTAGAATGTGGGACAAGGATCTTTCGGGCCGACACCAGAGAGTCTAGAGTGCGAACTCGTCGAGTACCCTGAGTTTGTGCTGAATATTGTTTGTGTGACCGGCTACACACCTTGGGCACGTCTGCTTGTGCTTTTGAGCTTGCCAGTTGGCTACGCTGTATGCACTGGTGCACTGGGCGACCAATCTCTGCTGTTTTCATATCCTACTGGCACGCTATGAGTGTCTACGTCTGCAGCAGCTCGGTGTTTTAAAGCTTGCAAGTCGTTTTTTTCGGTATGCGTACACGGGCGCTTGAAAATAGGCTGCAACCGTCCGGCCTAATCTACACAAACCGCACTTAAAAAATTCCAAGAATTCACCCAGAAAATAGTCAATGCGGCTAATAATACGATGGTCTAAAATGACGGTGCTGAACAGAGTAGATGTCTGGGTGCAGATTATACTCTGGAGAATATGGTACATATAGTTAGGGCCATAGTGTTTGCTATGGCATGTGAAGCAAAGTGGAATGTCATTGTAATCTCTAGTTCGATGCCGTCAAAAAATTAGAAGCCCAGAACTATTTCCTGGTTGCTGCATTAAAAAAAATTGGAAGCCCAGTACTATTTCCTGGTTGCTGCATTTAAAAAAAATTGGAAACCCAGAACTACTTCGTGATTGCTGCATTAAAGTTGCAATCTGGTGACAAAGCCTCTCGTAAAGCACCGCCACCTCCAATTTATACAAGCCGGCGAGGAGACAAGAATCCTGATATGGACAAAAACAGAGTGGTGTTGTGGTATGAATTCGAGCACTCTCAATCACCTTCAATTTATTTTCGGTTTTGTTCTTCTGTTGATGCTTTCCAGAACAGCGAAATGCTCTGATGACAGCCGAGATTGAACAGTTGCAATCCAACGCTGCAATATTTGATAGCGATGAACTGCAGCAATCTCGGTTCACAGGCCAGGTGACGAGGACAAACGGTGACGTCAGTAAGCTTCAGGTGTTTTTTTGCAGAACTGGTTTTTCTTGCTACCGTAACAGAGGTGTTCTGCTTTGTGCGAAACGGAGGGAAATCACACCCGGACGGTCAGGGTACTGTCCATGGCTTTGCGTGTATTGGGCGCAGATCTCTTCGCATCTCTATACTGAGTTGCGTATCTGTGAAAGGTGTGCATCTGGTGTCATTATGCAAGTGTTTGATTCTTGTGCTGGATGCTACCTCTTTCTTCATCTGGCTTGAAAATTCCGGAAGTCAGTCTGGAAGTGAACAGAACCGCATTCCCATGTCCAGAACTAGAAAACGACTTGTTTTGCCTTGTTTTGTTTGTTATCCTTTCCTGCAATAGGCATATCAGATGCTGACATCCAGGCAGAGCTCAAGAAGAAACCGTGTTTTGTTAGCATGGGGACAGCATCTACAGCCAACAGCCTCGGCATTCCGCAGATTACGCAGTACCTCAGGGACATTGGCTACATCGATGACGACACCACAACAACAGAGATTATTCAGTACCGCAGAGTGACAACGATACAACCCGTCAAGATGCTGGCCTGTCACGGCGGCAAGCGGTTCAAGCAGTTCAAAGGTAAGAGAATATACTCGGATGGAGAGCCAAGGATTACTTTATAGTAAAGAAAATGATCAAGGAGCTACAGGTTACGCTATAATGCCGGTTAGTGGCATGTAATGTTATCGCAGTAGCTGATTGTTTAGTAACTGGTGGTGTTTGTGGACACTATAGCGTAACGTGTTGCTCCTTCGTGCTTTTCTTTACTACAAGATAATAACTTGTGCCATGGAAAAATATCAGAATTTTCGTTTCTAAACTTAGTAAGCGACGAGGGGACCATGGTTTCAAAAGCGCAATCAATAGGACAAGCTGGATGGACATACTAAAACACACGAGTTAGAAGCCTTTTTAATATCTACATATCGTATTTCCTTGAACAGTCGCCGCGGCCTGTATTCAAAACTATCGAAACGGGTGCCGCCCTGAAAATGAGTCGTACATCACAATGTACTTGCTGTATGCGTAGAGTTCACGTACGCTGCACACTGTTGAACCTGTGTTGTCCAGCTACACCGTAGGCTAGTGCATCTTCATGAAAATTTTTTTTTCGTGTTGCACTGGAAAGGATATCATGGCGAAGGAGCTTGGGGTTGACTAGCAAGATAGTTGCTTGTTCAGCAGTAGCAGTCCGTCATGGCGAAGGGGATGAAGTGGAGGAGCTTCAAGAAGACGTCGACGATGAAAATTCTGGAGGCAAATAATATTATAAAAGGACGCCGCAGGTTTTGCTCTCTGCCGGTTGATTCTCTTTCTGCGTTCGTTCCTTTCACAGCGTCAGTGTGACCACTTTCTCCTAGACAAGTTTTCCGTTCTGAGTTCTTGGTTTTGCAGATTTAACAATCCTTAGTGCATCTTACGTTTCATCCATTTACTTTGTTTGCGTACTATTATCTTTTTTTTGGTAGTTGATAAAATAAGTCGTCTTGCTCTTCGTTATGTTGTGAGAGGTCATCATCATGGCGTGTTTGATTTGTTCCCTTCTTTAGATCGCCGTTGAGTCCTTTGTCCGAAGCGAGAGCAGCACTAGCTGCATGTGAAGGAACGTGACATCGTAGCTGAAGGTCATCTCGTAGCTGTGAAATTGCATATAAATTGTGAACTACTCTGCACTTGTGTACAAATAGCCCTCAGTTCAAAGAAACTGGCGGCGCTTATTCAAGGGCGGCTGGTAATCAAGGGGCAGTGGGTGTTCAAGGAAATACGTTTTTTTTTAAGAACTTTGAAACTCCACTGTAGCCTAGTCATATTCTCAGTACACCAATCTCGCAACACATAAACAGTCCTTGGCGAAATTTCGACAATTTCAACTACACGTGGTGTAGCCAAGGACTGTTTGTGTGTTGCGAGTTGGGTGTACTGAAAATACATATTTCTTCCAACACAGTTTCCTCTGAGACAAAAATGCGATAATACTCATAAAAAGGACACACTTCAGGCTCATTAGAAAAAATCTTGAACATCTTCCAACACAATTTGTACATTTGATGAAGAAGATGGCTGCTCCGAACGTTGGAGCTTGCGCTTCCCACCGACTGGCTGACACTTGACTGGCTCACGACTGCCATCTGGTCCTGGCGCACGCGAGGAGAGCGCCACGCCGTCCTCTCGGCAAACCTGCAAGAAAGAACCACTGCATGCTCAATACGCAGTGTTCCGGGGCATTCAGCTCCCCATCAGCTGAGCTTGAGTAGGCCGAGGAAGATTTTTGTTACAAATTTAACAAAGTATGAAGGGTATGTCGATCCAGCTTGTCCCATTGATTGCGCTTTTGGAAATTTATTAAGCTACGAACATAATGAAGTCCGCAGACATAGCTTTCATAAGTTAACTTTCCTAGCTTTATTTAAAGTGTGGTCTCCTCGAAGGTTGTTTGTAAACATCAGCATAGTTCCCACTAATCCTAATCCCTTGGTGAAACTTGATGCATTGCTTCGCCGAATAATTGTAGAGATTATTTCCGTTCTGTGTCTTTATCACAGGCTGCAGTTCCTGGGTGGTCAAGCTCATCATCGATTGCAATTTTGAGGATCGCTTTTGTCGGAGATTCATCGACTCAGTTCTTTCTTCTCTCGGTGGCATTCTGGGCAACGACTGCACTGAGAATCTGAATGGTGGCCGTGTACACGGAGAGAGCGGAGGCACGGCAGTACTTGTGCAGATGACCGCCCAGGCGCATGAAAAGCTGTACGAGTTGTGCAGAGATCGTCCTGGCCTACTGGCTGGTCTGGACATCCTGGAAGTATGCACTCTGGACGGAGCTGTGGCCTTCAATCTCCGACCCATTGCTGTCGATAGCCAAGGGAAAAGTACGAATAGAACATTCACATTTTTGTCTGAATTAGGAAGGATAGACATTTCTTATAATGTACACAAACTCCAACGCAGCCACTTACATGTTTGTGGAACTTTACTCCTCAACTCCAATATTGGTCTCTTTGACTGCGAAATCAAATCAGAGTATATTCCACCAGCTAGCCATGGCTCGTCCATCATAAAGGTAAATGCAGTTTGCTGTATTGCTACAACTGCATTTAGGTCATAAACACCACGGTTCAACTCGAGTGACAGGAACGCGCCCAAACAGGCTGTACGTTTTACGCTGCAGGCACGGTGACCAGGTGACTGGTGTATGCATGAGCACTTGGCCGCCTATTCAACCCTGGTCGATTGGGAATAAGGGCCGAACGCTGCATCACAGCCTACTCGGACCAAAACCAGTCGACTCAACGTCCAAAAGACTACAACATATGGGCCAATCGCGGCCACCTTTGCTTTTATAAGAACGAAATGGCGCTTTTAGTGACATTTTGCAGACCAATCCCCATCTAGTAGGGCGCAGTCACCCAGTTTCGGTGGAAGTGGCGAGTTCTATTGGGAATAAAGGAGGAAGGGAGCGTCTCGGCTTCCTCGGGCCAAGACTATTCGACTCAGCACCCCGAAGACTACAACTGGTGAAAATTGGATTTTAGGCTATACCGTATTTGCCAGAGTATAACGCGCACCCCAATTTTTAAGCAATGTTTTGGCGATTCAAGGTACTTCCCCTTTAAAAATCAGACAGGAGATTAGTTTTGACCTCTGGCATTTTTCGCAATACAGGTCTCTGAGCTATCATTTTCTGCCCACCAGCGTTTGTTTTGTGTAATAAAGTGAGAAGATACAATGAGTTTACTTGTAAAGTAGGGCTGAAACGATCGTGGATTTTCACCTATCGATTACTCTTTAGCTTAACGATCGAGTAATCGATTATAATCTTTAGCAAATAGCGTCAGAATTTTGTGCAAAAATTCTCCTGTTACCAAAAGCTAGGCCTTCATAATACCAAAAATCTGCATTAGTGACAGGGTAGCTCCAAACCATGACAGTTTTGAAGTCAATTTATATGCACCATGCCCCTGGCAACTGCATACACACAGCGGAAACTGATTCAAACTTCACAAAACGAGGGTTTTCAGTACTTTTTGGACTCAAAATCCCTAACGAGTAATCTATAACGTAACGATTACTTGATTGATAAGGAATTATCGATCGCTTACCGAGTAATTGGTATAATCGTTTCAGCCCTATTGTAAAGTGATCTACTGTCTTTTCTATTGATCTCAAATTTTCTGCAGATATCGATCCTGACCACCTGGAGCGCTTGGTTGAGGAATTTGTTGAGCAATTTCCGGACTTGGACCGAGATGAGCTCCAAGAGACGATGTCTACGCAGCCGGATCGTGAGCATGCCAATATGGCAGCAACCAAGCTCGCAGTAGAAAACGATCCCAAGTGTCTGAACAAACTGCGTGACGTCTTTGACCGTGAGTACAAACTATCTTGTGTTCGTAAAGGGTTTTCTTGACTTGAAATGATTGTTTAATTCCCAAAGTCACCAGCGAAATCGAGAGCACATAACCCCGAGGGTGCGGAACACCGTTCTCTTGGGGTCTGGCGAGGCGAGCTGTCCACATTACGTAGCCACGAACTGGGCAATCAGCTGTGGCATTGTGTCATTATTGCTCTCCTGTGTTGTCCAGATGCCAAGTACGTATTTCTGCTTTGTGTTTTACCTTGGTGCAGGTGTTGAGGAATCTAGTATTGATCGGCCTCTTCAGCAGGAATCTAGTATTGATCGGCCTCTTCAGCAGGAATCTAGAATTGATCGGCCTCTTCAGCAGGAATCTAGTATTGATCGGCCTCTTCAGCCTAGTCGTCATGTCACAGTGATCGAAAAGGCCAGCGAAGAGCTGTCGGCCCAACTTCAACCTAAATATGGGGTAAGAAGTTTAGCCACCCTCCCACCCTTCAAGAAAAGGAAGTGATCTGGTCCGGAAAGACACTCGAATGCACGACTGGTTGTGTTACACTGGGGTCTCTGTGCACGAGGGACCAAGCGAACACTGCGGAAGAGTGTGTTATAGCGAACATTATGCTGTAGCGGATTATGTTTTAACGCTTTATCCACGGTGTTTGCGACTGAAGTCTCCCATTTATAGCCGAATGGAAATGAAGTTTTACCGTAGAACTTTCCCCACAATACCCCCTTTTGTTGGGCATTTGGGGGCGCACCGGTGTCGAGTGGCCATGTATGTACACACGCATACATGTCCAGGTACCTAAGTGCCTGCCTGTATATATATACATGTACAGGCAGGTGAAAGACCCCGCTATAACGATCCTTACTATAATGTACGGAATGCAAATGTCCCTGACTAAACCGCAGGGACATTTGTATTCCGTTTGTTTGCACCTTGGACAGGATTTCACCGAGAGCAACTGCATTACGAGCACCAGGACATTCGTGGAGGAAGCATTGGGATGGGTGTAATGCTTATCATGACTGAGTGCTATGTAACAATCATTCTCTTGTATTACTGTGATCTTCTTGTGCAGTGGAAACGGATCGGTCAACCACCTCCTCCGTGGTTTCCTCCCTACGATGGCATCAGGATCACAGTGCATCAGCAGTACGTTTACATGTTCTCTAATCTCGAAAAAGGCCTTTTCCGTGCATCCTTGAAGAATAGCAACGACACAAGCTCTGTCCTACAATGGCAGGAGGTTTGCATACCAGGTTTCCCGGATACACTCCTCATTGAGGCACTCCACTTTCAAGGTGAAAAAATGTACTTGGTACGATGTGATGAATGTGATTTGGTCTATGTGATTGATGAATGCAGCACTATCGAGAGAAAAATTCCCTGCAATGCAGAAGGCACCAGAACGGCATCCTCACCAAATCCTCTAGTTTTGAGTGTGATTGATACGATACTGGTGTATTCTTGGTTCTCCTTCGATTTGATCCCACTGATTTGTACCTTGGATACTAGACAGTCCAGCGCGCAGTGGGTTGAGTGTCCGTCACCTTCTCTGCACTATACACCAAGAGTGGACAGTTGCGGGGCGTTTTGTGTTCCGATAAGCGGCAGTGACACGACACGATGCATCCTGAAGTTGGATGTAAGTGCCTGTATGGAGGGCCGCAGTGCGTCATGGTCTGAGACCCGACTCCATGGCATGCAGGATGAAATTGTACACGGCGTTGCAACTCCTGGCGAGATGTTTGCGGCAGTGAGGACAGCTCCGATACATGCTCAGAATAGCAGGCACCATACGCAGCACTTTTGCCATATTGACTTTACTAGAGGCGTCTGGAAAACGCTGCCTAGTATCCTTGGCAGGTGTGTGTCATTAGGATACGAAAAGAACACTCTTGTAGCACTCGAGCGCTATGGTGGGGTGTATGTTCTTGACTTGCCGGAATGAACTGAACCTCGCATCTTGGCAACATGTACCGCGCGGAATGCACGCAGCGTGACAGTGCCGGATTGTGGCTCAGCGGTTCAGTCCACTGAGTATATAAGAATCTACAGCAGACATCTTGGACTCACTGGGGTGTAGTTGTGTCCCAGATAATTTGTTTCAAGGAGAGCAGACCATTCAATTATTTGTAATCTATGTACTTACACCCATTGACCCTTGATAGGCATAATGTTCGATTGACGAAACATTTCTTGGTATAGAACAATGTGTGAACTTACGTTTTTTAACTAATTTTTTGACAATGATCACAGCTCACAGGCAACGACAAAAAATTGCACAGTGAGAGCATGGTGATGGTGAGGCTTTTTGCCCTCAGCCGACCTGAGGTGTTGTCGTCATGGGGACTCTGGTTCCTGTTCAACTACGTAGATGTGCATAACATTTTCACTGTTTTCCCGTTCACTTTAATATTAATTTCTCGGATTAAAACTGCCGAGTTGCTTTTTTTCACGGAACGAATCTTGATTTTAGCAAACTTAATCTTGATTGTACACGTTACAGTCCATTCAGAAAAAAATGAACTTCTAGCTTTTGGCCATAAATGGGTCAAACGTTGAGTTTTTTTAGAATTTTTTTCTGCAATCCCATATGGAATCCTCTTCCAATTATGTTTCTGAAGTTTTTTTGTCCAAAAAGCAAGCCATAGCAAGAATAGGATTTCGGCCAGGTTTTGCCCCAAAAGCACTGAATTGGGAAAAAACCATCAAAATCCAGGCCGTTTGACCCCGCCTGCAACAGTGCATTCTGCGGTTCGAACCCCAGTTCAGGCACCCTTTTTGGACCCTTTTTCAAATTTCAAAGTTCGCAGCACTGCACTGTGTACGATGAAATCACGAAAAATCGCCAAATACGGGAGCTCGCCAGAGCCAGGACCCATTTTTTTATGAATGGACTGTAGATTTGGCTCAAAGAGTCACTGTATCACTTGAGATATGATGTCATTATGATGTCATTATTGTGTCCACTATCTATTGTATACACATTGGTGTTCAGTGGAATGCCACTCCATCTCTACTACGAGTTTCGTGCAATGATACCATCATCTCGAAATTCAGGGCTCACGGTTGGGATGCCAAAACTCGATTACGTGGGAGGACATCTTGAAATCTGATCACCATAGAAATGAGCTCGCGTGACTCGAGCTATGCACGCGGCAGTGCACGCCTACGCGGCGCGGAGCACAGCAAGGACTCGAGAGAGTTGCAGTGACCTGGTGACTGACAAGAAGAAGTAGAACTGAGGAAGACGGAGACTGGCTGGGGACTTGTGTTTCACTTTGGTTGCCGTTCACTGTCGTTGTTATTGCTTCTTTCCGAGCGAGTGTGTTGCGAGCAGTGCTGGCCTCGTAAGCCGAAGGCTTCAGACAGTTCGTTCGCACGCTGAGTCCTGCGATGAGAAGTCGCGAGTTCTGCCGCCGAGTCTTTGCTGAGAAAGGGATCGACATCTATGTCGTCCACTGGTGCACTGGCGCAGGTGAGGAGAGGTAGAGGACAATAGCTCCTTGATGGAATGAAGCAAAGACTCACACCGTGTTCTAGTTCGTTATCTCTGTTCTCAGAGCGTTTTGTTAATGCACTTACACGAGTGAAAGAGCCGTGCCACGCTGCTGTGAGAAGTGACGATGGAGAGATGTGAATTATTTGATTTGCCACTCTCTTTCGTTGCAAGAGGACGAATCAAATGGCTTCGCCGTTGTACTGGTCATGTATTTTCGGTTCGCCATAGCTGCTGAAGCACACAGCAGTAGAGCGCCGATGAGCGAGACAGCAAACGGTCAATAATATTTCAAGAGTTTTTCAGTCGCGGAGGAAACATTGCAAAAAACGCCTTGCTGCTGCCTCGCTGGTGTAGTTTCCACATCGTACAACGCATATGCACAGGCTTCCTTCCTTGTCGTCGCGCACGGGAGTTCGCGTGCGCCCCTGCCGACTTAGCTCACTTCAAAACAGTATAAGGTAGCACAATATTGGCCGATTTTGACAATCGATGGCTCAAAATCTTCAGGAGATACTATGCTACAGTTTAACCGAAGCGATTTTTCCCTAGATGAAGGGATCGCTGTAGAGCATTCACGGACTTTGTGACAATATCTTTAGTTTCCCGGGACCAAAATCAAAAATTCCTTCGGTTGAACCCCTAGTTCACATCTTGCCTGGTTCCACCCAAATTTTCAGTGTCGTACTGTCTACCCGTGCTACCTTATTCTATTTTGAAGTGGCATGTGTCGCACTGAAAATGCGCTGCGAGATGGCTAGAGTTTGTGTACAAGTGGTGGTCGAGCTGTGGTCGCGTGACAGTCGACCTGTCGTCGCGTGAGCTGGCCAGAAACAAAATGGCGCCCACGTATTTGTACACAACCGTGAGCCCTGAAATTACAATGAAGAAATCAACTAAAATGGTCGATCAAGCCAATGGGATCGTATGTCATTGTCGAGTTGTGTGCCCTCTTTATTGGGACCTATGCAAGTGCATGGTTTTATCCGGGGGATTCCACAGTACCCGCCGGGGAGTCGGAAACGATATATTTACGACTCCCTGGCACCCAAGATGTTGCGACATCGGCGGTGATTGGTGAAGAAAGTGTCTGCTCCGAACATCGGAGCTCGCGCTTTCTACCGACTGTTCCTGGCGACTGCCGACCGGTTTGCCGAGTGGAAAGTTCGACGGGCTTCTCGTGTGCTCCAGACGCAGCCGTGAGTCTGTCAAGTGTCAAGTCAGTCGGCAATAAGCGCGAGCTCCAACATTCACAGCAGACACTTTCTTCCCCTGGCTATAGATTTCACAATTAATGGCTGAGAGTGTTTCCCGGCTTTACAGTACAGCTGAAGCGGATAAAATCCGGGCTGGTGTTCATTTCAACGGTAGCGGCAACTCGCCGGCCAGGGCCGGGTGCTGTAATTATTCATATGGTCTGGATTTCGCCTGCCACAACTGTACCTGTGCAGGAAACTGGTCTGCGGCGCATTCAGTGACCAAGATCATGCCAAGGTCGTGTACATGTGCACTCCGATGATATCCGGGCATGACACATCAGGAATGCCTTTCTTTATTTATTCCCGTAGCTATGCAGAAGACGTTACTTCAGTAACGTCTGGCGCTAGCCAGGGTCCACACAGCTTTAATTTGGTATTTATTTATTTATTCATTCCGCATCCCGTAGAATGTAGTTGATGATTAAAAGGGAGGGGGGGGGGGGGGGCGATCATGTCAGCCAGTGAATGAAATTTGATGGCTAATTTTATAGAGGGATCGAAGTCCAAAAATAGTTAATCTGTAGACGAGCAGTGAACCTTCAGTATACTTACACAGTACCGGCTTCATGGGCCATACAGTCTGTACGCTTTATCCAAGGTTCTGTTTAAGACACGGGTGACTGATATAGCCTGTGGTGATGCAGGATCCTCACAAGTAGGACTCTAAACTTATCCAAGGTTCTGAACGCGTCATATGGGAGTAGTAAGATTACGATTGAGCTGGCTACAAACTTTGATAAGGCATCTGGCGAGAACGTCTCTTATTGGTCGTCTCCTAGACGACAAGACCGGCCTCGTTCTGATACTTCAGTGTCACTGTGCTACTGTCGTGGACATGGAAATCCAGTCGATTGACCGGGCTCAGCGCATACAGAACAGTGCATGCATGCAGTGCACAATCATGCTGACATCCGATGCGACCAGCAGCGCATAGTAATGCATGCATGTGTGTACTGCTTACCTACAGCTGCATGGCCAGCGCGTTGGGGCCGCTAGACGTGCGACCGGATTTCCACGTCCACGACAGTATATCCAGGGCACTGAAGTTCCACTGTACAGCTATAACATAACATTGCCGTGATTAGGAATGCACTCATACATGTACTCACTTGGCTGTAGACTGTAGACTGTAGCTCAACGCACGTTTCACTGACCTTGGTCATTATCGGCGCTATGGGCCGAATGGTTCGTGGCATACTCGTAACTAGGCACGAGGCACTAGAAAGCCCTGCAGGCGAGTTTGTCGCCCAGCAGTGGCAGACTGATCGGGATCATGCTGGAATGCAGGTACGCGTTCGCAGTACAAATACGGTAACCGCGGCAACCACTTCAAATGTGCAGTAAAACCTGTGTTTGCCAGACCTTGCACCCAGACCTTATACCGCGGGCAAATCTCCATGCACCAAAGTGCTGTGGATCGAACGTGCATCCCTGGATCGAGCGGAATCTTGTCGTATACCAGGACAGTTTCCGCTGCACCAAGTGCGCCCGGCTAAGGCAGGTTTTCCTGTACCCCCCCCCCCCCCCCCCCCCCGGCTACGCCCCTGATGCTGCTGGCAGAACGGCGATGATTTTTGACAGGAGAGCTAGTAGATTGTACACATCAAGGGTTCTTCTCAGGCAGATTGATGCCTATGAAGAGATTGTCATGCAGACATCAAAGCAAAAAAAGAAAGAATACGTTCTACTGAAGCATGAAAGGTGGACGAGGCATGCAACAGCGTATGGTTCTATAATAGAAGGCAATAATTTGTGTGACAACAGCCAGAGACAATCGAACTCCGCGAAGAAACATGGTATTGAACTTGGAAATAATTAGACTATGGTAGGGCCCAAGTACAGTTCATGCCAGCTGCTGGCTGAGTAGATATACGAGTAAGGTTCACGGGAAATTCTATACGTATGGCCGTCCAGACCAGCTGGAGGCAAGGCTATCTTTGATACGGTAACGCTCTGCATGGAGGTCAATGCTACTAAAAAAACACAAATCAGTAAACCGATAGATATTGTAGTCAAAACGACGGGTAAGGAAACGGGATATAAATGGTCGAGCAAATGCTGCATTGGTGTGTTCACAACAATTTTATTCGTTCGCGATTCTATATCCGGTCGGAACAGGGAACTGTGACACACACTGACCCAGGAGTGCAAGAAGAAGGGTCAGAATCGCTTTGGCTGCAGGTCCAGATCGCTGGACTGTTTCTTCTGCTGCATGGCCTTCAGTGCCCCTTCTGTGGATAGTCCAGGAAGAAGATTTGTCGGCGGTGTTCCGCTTATGGTAGCAGAGGCATGCAACGCTCTAAGAGAGGAAGTGCGAAAGAGAGAGAGAGAGAGAGAGAGAGACACACACACACACACACACACACACACATGCACACACACACACACACACACACACACACACACACACACACACACACACACACACACACACACAAACGAAATAGAGTGGGAGCAAAGAGGAATTGCGAAGGAAAGAGCAGATAAAAAGAAAACAACATTCATCAGCATCACTCCAACATTACAGTAATAATGATGCTAATGCTCTCCACATAGGAATAGGTGTGCACTGCTGCTTGGCCATTATCACAGTGCTTCGCTTACAGTAGACAAAAAAATGCGGTTTCAAAACAAATCAAACACGTGCACACACGCGCGCACACGCACACACACACACACACACACACACACACACACACACAGCTCAGCAACGTACTGTCCAGCCAGTGCAGACGGGGACGCACGGCCAACTGGCTTGTAGTTCGTCGAACGCCGAATAGCAGGACTCACACCCTGAGGAACATCACCCTGGATCCCAGGCAGAAGTAATCAAACAAAACGAAACGTGAAAACCATGCATGCATCTTAAAGCCTCAAACTATACAACATATTCACAGAATGATTTGATAAATGCCCCCCCCCCCCCCCCCCACACAATGTGTTGCCCCCCCCCCCCCACACACAGACAATGTATTGCCCCCCCCCCACACACACACAATGTATTGCCCCCCCCCACACAATGTGTTGCCCCCCCCCCCCCACACACACAATGTGTTGCCCCCCCCCCCCCCACACACACAATGTGTTGCCCCCCCCCCCCCACACACACAATGTATTGCCCCCCCCCCCCCACACAATGTGTTGCCCCCCCCCCCCCCCACACACACAATGTGTTGCCCCCCCCCCCCCCCACACACACACAATGTGTTGCCCCCCCCCCACACACATACATTATGTGTTGCCCCCCCCCCCCCCTCACACACATAACGTGTTGCCCCCCCCCCCCCCCCACACATACACAATGTGTTGCCCCCCCCCCCCACACAATGTGCTGCCCCCCCCCCCCCCCGACACACACACACTAGGTTTCCTGACGAAATTCGTCCATCACACACGTGCACTAGGATTGCAGAGGAAATCATAGCATCGCCCACACACACTAAGACTCCCGAGGGGAATCGTCCATCGCACACAAAAAACCCAAAAAAACACAATCAATACCAAAGCATATTCGGGTGTGACCAGATAGCCTAAGTCCTACCACAGCCAGTCGCCAACAGATTTTCAACTACTGTCGTGGATATAGATATCCAGTGGAATGACCGGAGCCAGCGCCCTTACTTTTTTCAGCGTGCACACACACACACTGTGGCTCACAAAAACGCTGCAAAATGGACCAGCAGCTGCAAGGCCAGCGCCACGTGACTTCTCCACGGATTTCAATGCCCACAGCAGTAAGAAGGCGGGTCTGTTTACAGCTAGCCGCACTCATTACGTAGCTTTTCCCTCATCATGCCCTGTACTCTGGCAACAGCTTGCTATCAATGAAAAAAACAAACTGTTTAATAATGCAACAATCTCACTTCTTCTCCTCCATACGCTCTCAGGAGAGGAGGAGAGATTGTTGCATTGTTGAACAGCCGAATAGTACCGTTCACAGTTTTAACTGTTCTACAGCTGAAGAAAAGAAACCGATACTTGTCAGCTGTTCGTACCTTCATATTCGGCGTTGCCGGCGCTTTTCGTGGCCCCTCCCTGAAGACAGCACCATGTGACAGATACAGAAGAAGAAGAAAACACATATCTGAGCAAGCAGCTTCGTGGGGTAGGCTTACATACAGGGACAAAGCTGGGCTACAAACAAAGCTCAACCCTGGAAGGCAGAGGTGTTTATCAGAGAAAGAGGCTAGCTGCCTCAAAGTGCCATACTTGACGCACCAACACCTGTCTTGTCTTGAACGTCGCAAAGACAACACGCTCCCTGTCTATCTCTTTCCTTCCATCACACACGCATGCGTCCAACCCCCTCCACCAGACGCAAGCATACACACACGCACACTTGTACTTGCTCACTGCCAAAACTGGTCACGTGGGTCTCTCCGGCAGAGGGGAGAGAGATTCAAAAGGGATCTTGGAAAGATGACTCGATTGGTTATAGAACCGGCCAACGGCCGACACTGGCTGAAATCCCCAAACGCTGGGTGGACTTGGAAATGATACCCCACCCCCTTACACAACGTATTTTCCGGAGTATAAGCCGCACCCCCATTCTTTGCCACGAAATACAAACATCTACCATATAATTATATCACTGTCAATTTGATCATCGGAGTATAAGCCGCATCCCCCCCTCCCCCCCCTTTTGGATGAATTTTGAATGTTCAGAGTGCGGCTTATACCCCGAAAAAAAAACCCGGTACAAATAAAAGTACAGCCAAACCTGTCTGACCAGACAAGGGACCTCAAAAATGCGGTGTCTGGGTACAGGTGGTCTTCTTATCCAGGGCCATTCGACTGGAAATAGCATCCATTGGTCCTGGTTCTAGTGGTCCTATACGGCAGGTGGTCGCTGTATTAGAGTGGTCACCTTGACAGATTCTCTCTCTCTCTCTCTCTCTCTCTCTCTCTCACACACACACACACACACACACGTACACGCACGCACGTGCTCACACACACACACACACACACACACACACACACACACACACACACAGCTTACAGCGAGTTCAGTGACTGTTTCATCGTGATGGCCTTGTTGAGAAGCTCTTGGACGTTGGTGAACTGTGCTATGCCATGCATATCCTTCACAACACTGCATACCCAGCAAAGGAAGAAATATCAAACATCACACTCAACTGACAACAGCTTGGGGGAGGTGAAAGGGGAAGAAAGTCTGAAGAAAAAACTGATCGTCACCACCAGGACTCGAGCCTGGGACCCTACTATAATGCTTGACAACACTAAAACAATGAATATATAAAGCAACAGGAGAGTCAAGCCGCCACGGCCTGCCGCTACATGAGCAAATAAACTCAAGCCCGCACAAACGCGTATACATGTACTTATGTGCAATGTGCGTGCATGAAAGCGTGCAAGCTTATGGGCATGCAAACCGTCCAAAAGCCAAATGTCACACACACACACACACACACACACACACACTCACTGCAGCATAGCATGACCAGGAAATTCCCGACACCAGATCTCCACTCACACACCTGCCTGCATACTCCGTATCGAAGCACACGCCCTGAACTTGCTGGTTGATCTGCTCCAGCTCACGCTGCAGAGACACAGCACAGGATGAAGAATGACAAGACACAGCACAGGATGAAGAAGGACAAGACACAGCACAAGATGAAGAAGGACAAGACACAGCACAGGATGAAGAATGACAAGACACAGCACAGGATGAAGAAGGACAAGACACAGCACAGGATGAAGAAGGACAAGACACAGCACAGGATGAAGAATGACAAGACACAGCACAGGATGAAGGACAAGACACAGCACAGGATGAAGAAGGACAAGGCACAGCACAGGATGAAGAAGGACAAGACACAGCACAGGATGAAGAAGGACAAGCAAAGCAGTAGTATAGGTAGACTCAGGTGGAGAGCCAAGAATAAAGTCAAAAGAAGAAAAGAGCTAGGTGTAGAAGGTCAGACCCGTCGGTCAGTGTCGTGCAATGTTATCGCATGAGCTGATCGTAAAGTAACTGGTGGTGTTAGTGGACATTATAGCGTAACTTTTAGTTCCTTGGTCCTCTTTTCTTCTTATAGAGTAGTACAATAGTGTAGTACAATAGTGTAGTAGTAGTAGTTGTAGCATTCCTGTATTTTCAATCGGAAGCCTGAACAGTGATGAACACAACTCATAAGAGGGCTGATAACAGAGTAGAGGGGGGGGGGGGGGGTGAGAAAAATAATATTAATAAAAAGTCAAGAGATGTGAGGGATTAATAAGAGTGATGATCGACAGCCAACAAACCGTTCAGCAAAAAGGTTACTGAAGAGTAGTGTGGGGAGAAGAATGATACACTCAATGCTCTGACACTGACAGTCTGTTTCGCTCCAGTGAACAACAAAGAGTTTTTCTCCCAAATCAGCTCAAAGCGGCCAAGCCAAAGAAAGTACGAGTCACGTCCGGTATACTAGTAGACGTGCATATGAACAGGCAATCGTTTCCCGCCGTTGCCACTTGACAACGGCGTACCATACTGGGCCGCTCATGGCGTCTTGCCCGCTGACTGCAATCTGACGAATGGCCCCACAGCACGTATCGTTACAGTGTACTGTACATAAAACCTGTCAAGGCGACCACCTGCGTCCCACAGGACTACTAAAACTAGAACGAAGGCATGCTACTTCTACACTCTTTATAGTGAAATCACCCAGGATAAGGCGACCACCTGTGAACAGGGACCACATATTTAAAGGTCTCTTGATTGGTGGGCTCAGTTTCAATGTATAGGGACGGCAAAACCTGTCAGGGCGACTACTCTAACAATGCAATCGCCTGTACACAGAGACTACGTGTTCAAGGGTCCTTCGATTTGTTTTATTTATTTTTTTATACTGCAGTGCTCAGTTCCGCAGAGAACGGAATTGGGAAGACGTGACAATACAGCGGGAAGCCGGAGCAGGGTGCTGGTGAATTGGGCCTACCTCCCCCGACCATGGGTCTCGGGATCAGCGGCAGGGCCAAGCACCTGATCGGTCGGTTCCGACAGGTTTCAACCTTACAGGTACGGTACAACCTGTCAGGGCGACCACACTGATAATGCAACCACCTGTACACAGGGGCCCACATATTCAAGGTTCCTTGACTGGTCAGCTAGAACATGTTTCACTGCATGAGCACCATACTGGAGCACACCAGCCTTCTCCAATAACATCAATGTCCTTTAAAAACAAAAATATCTCACCTTCTTGTCGACTAGTACGGGCATGGATCTCCGCACATGTTCCTGTAGCCGATACAGACCCAGTGATGGCTCATTGCCCAGCAGTACAAGTGACTCTGAAAACCGGTCCGTTACTGAGAAAGGCAGAGAGAGAGAGAGAGTGTGTGTGTGTGTGCGCGCGCGTGCGTGCGTGTGTGAGAGAGAGAGAGAGAGAGGACGCACGCGTTTATGCAACTGCCATGTCAGGGGCGTCGCACACGGTACGGTCACTACGGTATTGACCGCACCACTATTTGACCCAAGTACCCCGTGAATCAATAAAATGCACTGATTTGGGCTCTAATTTTCGAAAATTTTCGGCTCAGCCACCCCTCCCCCACGACTAAATTGTACTTCAGTTGGCTGACCATACCACACTAAAATACCTTCCGACGCCCCTACATGTGCTACACGTAATGAGAGAAACATACAGAGTAGTGATGGTACATGTATCCGTAACTGTACAGTTGTGATACGCGGATTATAACGGGTCCTTGCTCGCGGTGACCGTGGATCCGCAGCGGCGCCAACCACCAACCCGGGCACCACATTGTACTGGGCTACGCTGTGTACTGCAGCCAATAGCGAACAACTATCGACTACACCACAACCATACACGTGCACACGGATGCAAGTTCTATACAACACACGAGCATGGCTTTAAAAAAAAATACTGGCACGTCATCATGTGCAAGTCAAAATACGACCACTGTCTGTTTGAATTTGAATATTTTCGACTGGGAATATTTTACCTTTGACGACGCGGTGTTGAAATTCAGGGTCCACATCCACCACTAGCCCGTGTGGGCCTGGAGCAGCACCTCTGTGCGACGAGGCCGCCGCGACAGGCACTGCTACAGGAACGCGTCCCCTCAAAGCGTCTTGACTGGCCATGTCCCCTGCCCCGGGCTCTGGGGTTTCGACCAGAGGCACCCCCACGAACAGCGCTCGACGAGACTTTCCCGTGGGTGCTCGGCTACTTAGGGAGCGGGAAGTAGGGGAGTTGGAAATCATCAGATCCCCGCGCAAGTCATGGTAGCACCGGCGAATGGTTCATCGCAGGCGTGTGGCAATCATGGCCCACCACTACCATCAGTGCATCACCATTCACCAGAACCCTGTCCTCTTCCTCCTTTCCAGATCAGCGCCTCTGCTTTGCTTGGCAAGCGTTTTGCCCTTGGAAGTAGCACCTGCGGCGCTGCGCCAATAGTACGGTAACCATGGGGATCACGTGTCGATAATCGCAAAAATAAATTTTGAAAATAATGTTCTCCGAAGATGAAAAAAATGTTCGCTGGATAGAAATTTAATCTTGCTCATGTGCTTTGAATGACTGGCTTCATCGTCCATGCTTTCATTGCATTGCCATTGCCATTGGTCTTCTTCCAGAGCATTGAGTGTACCATAATTTCCTGGTTGTTCTGCGTGTTAGATAATACGGCACCAGGGGCAAATCAGAGAATCCATTCCCTCATTGGCTCAAGGATCTGCTAGAATTGTGAGGAAGCTGTGTGAAGTAGACGATGGCGCTCATCAGCCACTTGTCGCTGGATCAGCTTGCCTGTAATGATGATTTGTGGCCCACGGACACATCAGTGAGTCAAGAGGAAGTGGACAGTCTGGTGGCAGAGTGTTATGACTGTTTCAAGCCTGGTTCCAGTCTTGCCAGTGGGGCACTCGAGCCCTACTACGACGAGACTCAAGCAGAAGCAGAAGCAACATCAGGCTCTGCTGAGCCTATGGCGGATATCGCCGAAGGCATAGTGAAGAGCTGTGACGCAGCAGATGATGTAGAGGGCGTACAGGCCGTAATTTCGGCTCAGCTGGACGAGGAAGGCTACGAGGCGACGGTGCTTCCAAACGACACGGAGAGTGACAGTGATGACGGCATACCCGTTAAGCCGTCATCCGTGAGCGGGCTGGTGCTGGATCGAGACCAGCATTTGAAGTTCCTACGCAACGGTTTGCATCAGCTGCCAACTGCGTTTCAACGACTTGATGCCAATCGACCGTGGCTGTGTTACTATATCGTTCACTCGCTGTGCTTGCTTGACGCCGAGCTCGAGGCTGAGGAAAAGTCTCACGTTGTGGAGTTCCTGAGGCATTGTCAGTCGCCGAATGGTGGATTCGCTGGAGGTCCAGGGCAACTCAGTCACATTGCCACCACGTACGCAGCTGTGCTCACCCTCGCGAGTCTCGGCACGAGGGAGGCGTACGAGGTCGTCGACCGTGCCGCGATGCGCCGGTTTCTGCTCGCGCTCGCGTCGGAGAGCGGCGAGGTGCGCGTGCACGACGGAGGCGAAGCGGACGTGCGGGCCGCGTACTGCGCGTGCTCCGTCGCGCACATCCTGAACCTTGACGTGTGGCGCGCCTACGGGAACGTGGCGTTCTGGCTGTCCGAGTGCCAGACGTACGAGGGCGGCTTCGGCGGGGTGCGCGGCGCGGAGGCGCACGGCGGGTACACGTACTGCGCGTTCGCCGCGCTATGCCTGCTGCGCCACGCCACCGACTATGCCGACCTGGAGGCCCTGGCGGCATTTGTGTCGCGCCGGCAGATGCGCCTCGAGGGCGGCTTCCAGGGGCGCACCAACAAGCTGGTGGACGCGTGCTACTCATACTGGATGGGCGCGCTGTTCCCGTTGCTGCGGCGTGCCCTCATCCTCGCGGCAAGCACGGCAAACGAGGACGACGACGAGGAAGATGTGGATGTCGAACAGGACTTTGAGCTGCGCGCCGAGCTGCCAGCCGACGTGGCCGAGCCGTTGCTGTGTTGTCCGGCTAGCTTGCAGAGCTACCTTCTGACGTGCTGCCAGTACCCTGGCGGCGGCCTGGTGGACAAGCCGGGCAAGCGACCGGACTTCTATCACACGTGCTACGCGCTCAGCGGTCTGAGCATTGCGCAGAACTGCGCCGCAGCCGTGTACCAGCCGGCCGCTGGCGTCACCATGACAACCAGTGAGGCAGCAGCACCAGCTGAGGTCGCAGCCTTAACAGCAGCAACTTCAACAGTCCAAACAACCAGTGATGATAGGCCGGGCATGCGCAATCAAGACGACAGCGCTGAACTAGCCGAGGAGGTGTGCGGCGTAACAGCGACGCTTGACGCCACGAGAATATCTGCACCGGATCCGTCATCGAGTGACTGTGCTGACGATAGTTTGCCCGAGTCCTCGTGTGCCGATGCCAAGGACGCACGCGGAGATCATGTGCCATGCGATGGCGGTGTTTTCGTCCTGGGTCATGTGGACAATCAGCTTGTCAGCGTCGACCCGCTGCTGAACATCTGTACCGACAAGGCAGAACGTGCCCTGGCTTACTTTCGATCCCAGGAAAAGCTGTGAGAACGTCTGCACTGCCCACTCAGTGTGCGCGCGCGTGTGCATTGGCTTACGCTCGACGGCGCAGGGTAAGCTTTGCGTAACCCTGTCTAGACTTAGACTATGATGACGGTGTCGTCCCTCTCCAGATTAAGTGTACAAGTGGTGCTGTGACTCGGTCATGGTGCTGTTCCCAGGTTTGTGTGTCCCTTCCGTCCCACTTCGTATCGACATTGGCCATTGGTGTAGTCCAAGAACAGAATGGGACTTTTTTTGTGGACGCTTGACTTTGAGTAATGGACATGTCGATAGGCTAGCCGAACTGCACATAGGCCGTTCTTGAACCCTTCCTTGTGACTGATGCTTTCACGAGCTCCATTGCCAGTCTACCTTCGAAAGACTTGAGCGGGAATCAAGTGATCCCAGCCCCGTCCTCTTTTCATCACACCGCAGTGTTTTATATCGGACTTGCATTTCCCAGTATATTATATTCTTTTAGCCGACCTCAGGGCACACACTTGCCGGCTTGCCACAGCCTGGCCACAGTGGCATCTGTGTCTCATCTGTTAAGGTACTGCTTTTAAGATTCTCTCGTTCCGGTTTCAAAATATTAATGATCTGCGGGCACGAGAGCCTTACGTACGTGCAGCTGCGCATAATTAGAAGCATTGCTGCGGGCAGCGGTGTCAGTACATCCACCCCCCACCCACCCCCTTTTATAAATGTAAATGATGATTGTTATTCAGTTTTCAAGAGTTTATTGCCCTGCTTGGGCTCATTGTGATTCGTGACTGAGTTGTGTTTTGCTGGTGTGGTAATCGAAGCCGGCCGCAGTGTGTGTGTGCGCGTGTGTGCGTGTGTGTGTGTGTGTTGGGGAGTTTGGGCTAAATTCATGATGAGCAGGCCGAAAGCTGATGCCTGCACTCCAGGCTACCGGCATGGTCGCTGTGATTTGCATAGAGAATTCACGAATCATAGCAGCCAGCCATTATGGCATTGCGCAAGTGTTCGAAGTTTCCACTACTGTAAGTCGGCAAATTTTCGGCCCATTCAAATCTCGGCCTCCCAGGGCTAAAACACATTTCGGCCGCATCGAATTGTCGGCCTGTACTGCTGCCGCCTGTACTGGCACACTGAACCTTGCAAAACAAAATTTCGACTGCAACAAATTTTCGGCCAAACATGTCCAGGCCGAAAATAGCTGAAAAGAAATATGCGCCGAATATTAACATTTTGTTGACTTATAGTACTGAGTTTGTGTCTGTGCCGTGCCCATTGTGTGGCGATGACTAACCTACAGGCCGTTCTTATCTTCATGACTGTACTGTACCATAATCTATGCACAGTGCCAGTTGAATCACCATGTACACATTGGTATGCTGTGCTTGATGAAATTCTAGCCCGTTCGTTCTTTGGCACTACAGTCTTCGTTAGAATATTGAAGTCGCTCATGTGTGCAAAACGATCATAATTATTATACAATGTACAGTGTACGCAAGGCAAAACAACAGAGACCAAAGTGTACATAATACATGACACACAAACACACACCTCAGACATGCCCATCGCGGAAGCGATGATAGCGACCAGCTATGTTAGACATAGCAACTTGTGCTGGGATTACACCATTCAACAGCTTGCCAGGCACACACACACACACACACACACACACACACACACACACACACACACACACACACACACACACACACACACACACCACACACACACACACACACACACACACACATCATTCCGGTTTTGACAGACTGATTTCGCTGTCCCCCCCCCCCCGTACTCGGTACCGTGTAGTGTAGCCTAGGCCATAGGCCAACAAAAATCGGGATATCGCTAACTATTTTTATCCCAGTAGCCGTGGCAACAGGGCTACAAAGCTTTTTTAAAGGGAAAGGGAAAGCTCCCCCCACATTTGCCCTGGGAAAGACAAAAGACTAGTGTGCAGTGAAATGACTCGATGGAGCCTTGCAGTTGTTGGCTTTGACGCTGGAAAAAGGTAACCCACTTCTTGCTCTGCCGCTAGCGCTAGCTTGACACCGTAGCTGGGCATTTGCGCGCTCAGCACTAGTCTTGCAAGCATCAGCCTAGCCCGTCGTTAGTTATTTCTCTGTCTCCAGTAATTACTAGTAAATCGATCGCTCGAGCCCCAGAGGGCCAGAGCTGGTCACAGGAGGAGAGCGCGGTGGCGGTCGTCATGGAGGATGCTGGGCAGGAGCAGCAAGGAGGAATCGCGATCAGCGCGGCCCCAATGAGAACTGGCGACAACGTCCGTATTAGTATCGATTCCAATTCAGAGGACGAAACTGGACCGTGCCTCAGCGTAAGTCGGAAACTCCCCCCGATTTAGGCCAAGGCCTGTGGAGATCGAGAACCCATAAAATACTTTTTTTTTTAGGCCAAGGCCTGTGAGATCGAGAACCCATAACTTGAAATACCAATATAAAAATACAAGTAAAAGTCGCACGAGGTGAGGATAGTTTTGTTTTGCTTTGGCGTGTGTCTGTGCCCGAGACGTATTTATCCATCTTGTCAATCATGATGGAATACACCACACCACACGTACCGCACTACGAACATCAATTATCCAGTGCTGCTCAATGAAATCCAGTCGAATCACTCAAATACAGGTCGGCCGTTGCGCAGCCCTAGACCTGCGAACACTATCACTGGGCTGCGGAATGGGGCAAGACGCAAAACGTGACTCCCGCGACCGTATTTTATTGAGCAACACGGAGGCCCATGCGCCAATGCACTATGAGGTTAATCACAGAATGTGTGAGAAAAGCAGACAACTGCGAAATCCCACACTTCCATGCCAAACTGTTACCACCAGGGACGCGACGAGGCATCAGGAACAGAATGGATTTGAGTGACCCGCCTCATATTATGTTCAGTGATATTGAGAAAAAAAGAGTAGCAGCAGGGGAAGCTGAGAAAATTCACAATAATAACGGAACTGGTTCGGATGTGATGTGCAGCGCTATGGTAATGGGTGTGTCCACCCGAATTCTTTTCACAGATGAAGCTGCAGGAAGCCTCAGCCCTTCTTCACATTATGTTGTTGTCACTATTATTATTTTCCTTCGAGTTTTGTGTCGTTCTGAACTTGATAATTTTCCACCTTGTCACGAGTGTTGTTATCTCATTATCTTTACGCTATATAAGTTTTAGTCTTTCCAACTTGAGCCATTCCCTGTATAATCCTTGATGAGAGGGGACCGAAAACGTTCGGATGCTTTTAACAAAGTGCCTTATTTGACTGGATGTCTGTTTGCGTGGATACTTGCGACCCAAAACTTACCTTCGTTTTGTAAAGTATTATCCGCCTCCGACCTCTTTTAGAAATTATTATTTTTATTATTATTTATTCATATTTTAATAGGGCAGTCCCCACAGAAGGTCTTCTTGCGGGGTACCCTAAGAATGGAAGTAATGCATTGCGAAATAGGGATGGCGATGCAGCAGTGCGGATATCAGATGGAGTGCTATTCCATCTGTCTGCAAGCTGTTGGCACAGACTAACTTGTTCTGTATGCCTGTCCGGCGTGCTGCGCTTGTACCCTGCAGGAAGCCGGAGCTATTGCCAGCCAGCTGCTGGAGGACGAACAAGTCAGGAATGGCAACATCAATCGCCAAGTGACAGGTGTGTGGAGCTTGACTGCGACCACGGCTTTTGTCAACGGTACCTCGGTGAGTTGCGAGTGTGTGTGTCTACATGAAAATGTTAACTGCTACATGCTCTCCACTGTGTAGTGTTGTGGACTGGTGCAGTGGCATATTGATTAAAAAAAAAAGTTTCTCTGTGAAAATGAAGAAGAAAGGACCGAAGGTTTAAGTCCGCGGCTCTTCGTTCGAGTTCTTTCTCTGTGCTGCAGGAAATTGCATTCGGCCCACATGTACGCCATACTGTGTGTACCTCACAGCTCATTGTACGCAATGTTGTTGTTACAAGCGCGGTGACAATCCACTGTTCTGGTTACCACATCTTCTGGTCTAGAAGCAATTGAGTCCCCCCCCACACACACACACACCTCCACACACACACACACACACGCACACAGGCTACCACTTCCCCTGGGTGTGCAGCATCACGTAGTGTTCACGTTTGCTTCAATGTCTTTACTTGTTCAATGTTGCTTCGCAGGACGGATGTCTAGCCGATTGTTGAGAACTGTACTCAAGACCTGTGTGAATATTTCATCCCTCCTAACTGATATTTTTGGCTGCCTGTCTGTGTACGTATGCAATGTTGGATGTTTTGCCTTCAGAATCCTCAGATCGAAAATGGGGTTGTGCACCACCTGCGAGTTGGTGATACGCTGTCGATAGAACTGACCGTTGATCGAAGGCTGCGGCTGCAGCGGCATTCTGACAATTTTTCCAGTACGTTTGTTTTCCCGGAACCGATCGTAACGGACGATGTCCATTTCTTTATCAGATTGCGCAACGGGGTGGCGGTTTCACTGGTCGACGTCGCAGCTCCTGGTGAGTTTTGATATTGAGTAGATATTCTGGTGCTGGAGCCACTGGGGGGGGGGGGGGGGGGGGTAGGGGCGGGGGTGATACGGTGTGTGTCTGGGGGGGGGGGGGTAGGGGCGGGGGTGATTATGGTGTGTGTCTGGGGGGGGGGGGTGATATGGTGTGTGTCTGGGGGGGGGGGGGGGGGGGGTGATGGGGTTGGTGGTCTCAGGATTCTTGGCTAGCGGTCGGTGCAGCTACAGTTGCAAGCGACAGTGCACATTGCGTCTACTAGACATCGTCCAGAGCACCAGCAGTGCAAAGGACAAAGAGAAGCCATGGCTTCAGCTTCAGCCAAAGTAACATCCAGTAGCTCTGCCCCCCCCCCCCCCCCCCCCCTCGACATTGTTCGATAGGGTACGCCGGAAAACAGTGCAAAGTGACCAGCAGGGAGTTGTTGTAGGCCAAAGCATGGTTGTGTACGGCCCTGGAGCTGTGTCTGTACAGGCTGCAGAGAAGAGCGTGTACGGATTAGTCACGTGATGGGAAGTCACGCCACTTTGCAGACCCCATGGACTGCAGTTACACCTCGCTGGGGTTGTGCCATCTTCATCACAGTCACGCCAGTCGTCTAGAAATGACCAGCTGCTACTTCACTTGTTGATTGGCTCAACGATTATCTCGTGAACTGCGTCTTAGAATCCTGGTCGCAATAGTCATGTACAGGGAAACCTCGTTAAGAAGAACCGACTGATAAGACAAACTTTCGCTTTAGAAGAACTAGTGTTCATAACTTTATTGGATAAATCACTGTGTATTCACTGGGTATAAAATACGGATAAGAAGAACTCCCATTATTACGAATAAATACCATCGGTCCCTTGGTGTTCGTCCTAAAGAGGTTTGACTGTGTTGGATTCACACGTACTGCACCCAACCCTTTGCAGCCAGTTGCGTTGTCCTGGCTACGCCCGCGGGTTATAATCATGTATTTGTGTCTGAGTATTGATCATATACTTGGGATGATTATGGTATAATGTATTCTGGTTGGTCTGCTTGTTTTGTGTCTCTCCTCGTTGTTTTGTGTCTCTCCTCATTGTTTTGTGTGTCTCCTCGTTGTTTTGTGTCTCTCCTCATTGTTTTGTGTGTCTCCTCGTTGTTTTGTGTCTCTCCTCATTGTTTTGTCTCTCCTTGTTGTTTTGTCTCTCCTTGTTGTTTTGTCTCTCTTGCGGCCTGGATTCTACCACACGTGCTACGTGCTTAGCGGCCTGAATGTTGTCCAGAGCTGTACCAGACAGACCCATGTGCCAGCTTAGCTGTGACGAGTTTCGGCATCAGCCACTAGTGCGGCCACCGCTACGACCAGTGAGTCAGCACTCTGTGTGGCCACATCTGACGACATGCCAGCAGCCTGCCGATTGTGGAGGCACATCACGACCTGCCGACAATTGACCTTCTCCCGCCGACAACGGCCTTGAAAAATGTCCAATTTTGACTCTATTCTTGATTTAGAAGTTATGATCTGGGTGGTTTTTTCAGTTTTCACTGATTATTAGGAGAATTTCGTAAGGTGTCAAGCGAAATAATCGTCTGTCTCGAGAAAAATCGGAATATTGAGTTCTAATGAATCTCACGTGAGCCATGGATTTTTTTATTTTTACCGTGTACGTTTGTATACTGGGGTTACTAGGCATGGGAATGGATGCATTCTATTATTTTATCCTACTGGTGTAGGAACACTAGGAACAAATCCCCCGGATGATGCATTTTATTTTTTCATGCCACTGATATTTGGCTCAGAAGAATGATGTGGCAACACTGCATGTGATGGCGGTGTACTTTTTTTGGTGATGCCCATGATCAGCTCATTAGTGTCGACCCGCTGGCAGGCAGCGGTCTTATAGTACATCCATCCCCGTTTTTTATATTAAATTTTGTAAAATGATTCGATGGGCAATAAATTATTATGATTGGTGTCTCCTTGCCGTTTGTTTAAAAAAATATGATTGGTATTCGGTGTTCAAGAATGTATTGCCTTATTTGCACTTGACGTGATCCATGACTGAGTTTGAGTTGTGTTGTGTTGCTGGTGTGGTGACCGAAATCGGCCGATGAGCATGTGTGGTGGGGAGTTTGGGCTAAATTGATGATGATAATATTTGCGGGATCCACGTCGGCATCGCCTGAATGTTCAGAAACACACAAACTAGCCTTCGCATCCGCAGGCCACCACTATGCCTGTTCACCTTAGTGGCGAATGCAGACCTCACTAGTGAGTCAGAGGAGAGGAGGTTAGTCTCTCAACCAATCGGGTGTGTAACGGCCCATAACCCTGCAAACTGCATCCTTGTTATTCTCACTCCGAGCTGTGAGTACCCAGTTGACCATGCATGGGTGTCGGCGCAGTTCAACACGCGTAAAAAGACTTTTTTTACACGCTCCCTGCTACCAGCGCGGGTCTTGGCCTCGGGACCTCATGATTCGCAGGCAGGCCTGCAAATCTATCGGCCATATGCGTTGGTGATGATGATGAGCAGGCTGAAAGCTGCTGCCCACCCTCCTGGGTAATGCCGGTGTAACAAAGTTACATAGTACACTTACCATGTACCAGGGAGTAGTACAATACGGTATTGTACCACTCCCTGACACATACCCCCCCCCCCCCCCAGAATTTGTCCCCCGGGCAATCTTACCATGTACCAGGGAGTAGTACAATACGGTATTACTACTCCCTGACACATACCCCCCCCCAGAATTTGTCCCCCGGGCAATCTGCTACCGGGGTATGCACATGTAGTGCATTTACTTGGAATTTGGGACTTTTTCTGGTAGGTTCCATGCTTGTTTTGCGTGTCTGCAAAGAAATGGAGCAGAATTCAAGGAAGTGCCTGCCATAGGGTTTGTAAGGTTCTGCCAATTTCAAATAAACCAACCAACCAATCCGCCGATTGTTCGAGCTTTATCCGTCAAGTGCATGTCTATCACGGTGATTTATCCTGAAAATGCAGTGATACTTCCAGAACGTTTTTTCGTGACTATCATGATCATCACTGGAGTTGAAAATAGTTTTACACCTACAATGTAGAGCAGACACCATGGTAGCCCACACTGGTACAAATATTAGTACTTTAAGTAACAGCTACAATGTAGAGCGGGCACCATGGTAGCCCACACTGGTACAAATATTAGTACTTGAAGTAACAGCTACAAAGTACAATGTAGTCCTGGATTCATGCATGATTGTACATGTAACCAGCCAGGTGCCCAGGAATCAGAATGATACTCTCGAGTCCGAGCCGCTGAAACTGGGTCAATGCTTGGCCAAGTAACACTGTTAGTTGCATTGAAAAAGAGAAGAGGTGAAGACGTTGGAGCTTAGGCCAGTCTTCCACCTGCTGGATATGATACCGGGGTACTATACTAGCTGTCATTTCCTTTCTTCACATGCATTAACAAACAATAAATTGACTTTATTCATCATATTCTTTGTAAAGTCTACCCCACTTATTATAGAAGGTACGAGAGCTAGAGTCGTAGAGAAAAAGGAGAAAACTATAAACTAATTATTTTACTTTGTTTACAAGCGGCCCTACAAGATTTGGTTCGTTATAAACGAAAACTGTTCACTATGAAGGGTCAAGTTTGTATACATGTACATGTAGGTTCAAACAGGGACATGGACAATGGTATAATTATGCGATTTCTTTTTAAGTTATAAAGAAATCGCATAATACCATTGTCCATGTCCCTGTTTGACCCTTCATAGTGAACAGTTTTCGTTTATAACGAACCAAATCTTGTAGGGCCGCTTGTAAACAAAGTAAAATAATTAGTTAATATATTAATTTTATACAAAAGAGAAAGACCAATGAACTACAAGTTACGCTATGCTGTATAGTTTTCTCCTTTCGCTCTACGACTCTAGCTCTCGTACCTTCTTGCCATTACCGGTACTGGTATTCACTGATCGGTGGGGTTATGATAGGGGTGAGTGCAATTCTGGTACAGTACAACCTGTAACTAAAGACCACCGTGACTAGCGACCAGCCTGGTACAACAGACCACTTCACCAGGTGCGGACGGTCTCACGTTCACATACATGTACATGATTGTACCGGTAATGGTTGTGCGGTGCAAACCTCCAGCTAAGGACCACCTGCCACTAAAGACCGGTTTCTGTGGCACCAAGGGGTGGTCGTTAGTCACAGGTTTTACTGTATACTATACTATAGCCCCGGTGAGAAGGCAGTCTTGCCTGTTCATATGGTGAAGTAAAATAAAGAAACAACAACAACAACTGTATAACGACCTTCGGCTATACAGAACTACAGTGAAACCTGTCTAAGACGACCACTCAGGGAACCTTCAGAATCTGGTCTCTGTCACCAGGTGGTCTCCTTATCCGAGTGGTCGCCTTGACAGGTTTTACTGTACATGTACGGTCTACAAAGTACAATCATGACACTCGATCTCCCGCATGCTGTGTTCAATAATCAGGACTTCAGCCCAGGAGTCGACCGACGTAGACTCTACTCTGTAAATCTCCTTGACTACTGTACAGGTGGTTGACAGATGAATCACGGATTTCGCCTGCATCATGCACGGTCCTGTCGGTGGGCGTGTTGACCCGTACCCAGTGGTAGTCCTTGACCGGGAGTGAAGCGCAAAGCTGCCGAAACCTGGCAGAATGACTTCTGCAAAGGGAGCAAGAAAGCGTAGATCCACCTGTTTTGCATGGCGATGCGTGGCTTGTACTTGTACGTAATTTTAGTTGTAGGTACCGGTGACGAGGACAAGAGAAAGGATATTCAGGGTAACTAGGTCGCAAGGCTAATCGGAAAAATGCCGAGTGCAGTGAAAAGTGGCCGCCTGGATGTCTTTGCCTATGACAGTAGCGCTTACGATGTCTTCGCGCCCGCTCGTTCGATGGCTGAATCTACTCCAGCCATGTCGCTGTCGGACAGCAGTGTGTGGCAGCCGGCATACTCCACACTGTCCTCGACCATGCTCGAGTTTCGCCACGATCCATGCTTCTTTCGCACCTCTAGCTCTGGCGGCGAGTCGACAAGGTCGAGGGCCACCGCTGCTCCCAGCACAGCGAGCAGGAGGCCAGCACCGCAGAGCCCTCCGCCAGACACGACCCAGTCATCTCGAACCGTACAGATCGAGCTGCAGGCACAGGAACCGCTCGGACTGCACATCAGCGGAGGCAGCGACTTCAGCCTGCCGGTGTTCATCTCGAAGCTGGTCGTCGGCTCGGTGGCGGAGCGTTGCGGAAAGCTCTACGTCGGGGACGTCATTCAGGCGGTCAACGGCGTGCAGCTGACTGGATTGGAGGCGCACAGCGATGTTGCCAATCTGCTGCAGCGTGCCCTGAGCGAGCGGCGTGTTCAATTAGTGATTCAATACCAGCCTGATGTACTGCAGCAGAGCAAAGACTGGCCCGACCACGAGAACATTGCAGAAGAAACTTCACCTCGCCAAGGCAGGGAGCAGCAACAGCAGGAAGAAGAAGATGAACTTGAAGGCCATGAACGTCAGCAGCAAGAGCCAGCCGGGCCAGGAACGAACGGGGGTGAACCAGCCGGAAGGTCTCGTCACATCACCGTGCCCCTGAGTGGGAGAAGCGTGTGGCGAAGTGAAGAAGTCGTGTTCGACCGCGACGTTTGTGCAGTGATCGGCGAAGAGGATCGCCTGAGTCGCCGCTGCTTTGTTCTCTACAGTCCGACGGAGCCAGCATGCCTGTTTCGTGCCCGCTCAGCCACCGACGCAGACCGGTGGTGTTCGGCGCTTCAGGAGAACTTGCGCGCAGGCCTGCGTGAGGCCATGTTCGCCGCGAACGTTGCACTGCACGGTCATGTGGCCCTGTCCAGTCTGCATCACGTGACGTGGGCGAGGACGTGGTTGCTGGGCAACGGGCCGAGTTCCGCGGCGTCGCCGTTCGCGTCGTCACGGCAACGAGCGAGCGAGGAGATCAAGCTGGTTGCTATTAGCGACACGCTGGTGACTATCTACTCTGGATCGCCGCCTGTGCCGCCGACTGCGGCTGGCTTGTCAGCGTCATTGAGTGCGGCAACTACCGGTGCTCAACCTGCGCTCGAGGAACAGGTGGTATTCTGGAGTAGCCCAGAGATTGTACTACCCGTCGTTCAGTCCAGGTATGCATATGTTTCACACTCTCGTATATGCTAAGGAATAGTAGTTCGGGAGGGCGGGTAGCGTTGTGAGGGGGGGGGGGGGGGGGGGAGTAGTTAGTACATTCGCTCCCTGCTTTTTGTCTGTAAGATTGATGAGCCTGATGTTTTGCGACCCTGCTTGATCTATAGATGATGTCATAGTGCTGCTAGGACGTCAGTAGCAGAAACACGAAGAATAGAGCGCAATATACAGAAGCGTGCTGATTGTCCGCACTGTCTGCGGCGAGTTCGGATGAGAAGAATGGTCGGATAAGGGAGCAGTGACACATCCATCTAAACACAGGCCTATTCCATCATGCTTTCATCATTTTTTCATTCCCATTGGCAGCACAACAGGAACTAAGCTCCTCGAACAATGACACTATGGTGATTCATTTCGGCTTAAATCTGTTGACATGCATAACAATACATACGGGGCAGAACAACAGAGACCGAAAATCTGTCTCGTAACCCGGTTTCGTGTTTCAAAAAACCCTCACATCAGGAATGATGCTATTCGCTAGTTATATAGGGTGATTGCAGTGTAGGCTAAGGCAGTGCCGCAACCACGAAGCTTGAGGAGATAACATCAATAGTACCTACATGTACATACTAATTATTGTTACGGGTCAAAGGGGTGTTCCGGGTACCCGCCCGTTAATCCCAAGTACCGTTAGTAAAAGGGTACCATTTTGGATTTCGATGATCCAGTCAGTACGGAACAACACTGCTGGAATCGCGCATTCCAGGCGGTAGTTAACACCCGTTTGACCTCTACATATTGTGCATCGCTTGAATGGTGCTCCGAGTGGGGAAAATCAGCAAAAGTTCATTTACTACCCGTCAACTCAATGCAAGCAAGCATTACAGATAGTTGACGTTCAGATAATCGCCGTTCCACTAGACTGTGTTGCTGGTCTCTGCCGGCGGCTGCATTCACTTATGAAGTTTCTTCACAAGTGCACGTTATACTCACATGTGTGTGTGTGTGTATGCGTGTGTGTATGTGTGTGTAATGTGTGTGTGTGTGTATATTGTGTGTGTGTGTATGCATGTATGTATGTGTGTGTACGTGTGTGTGTGTGTACGTGTGTACATGTGTGTGTGTGGGGGGGGGGGGGGGGGCGTGCTTCAGGATCGTCGAGCCTCTTAACGCCAGGATCGTGAGCACATCGTCCACGGTCGGAGATTGTCCAGGTCACGTCATATTGAAGACGGGCCTGGATCACGGCCTGGAGAGGAGAGTTCTGCTGACAGAGAGCGACGTTGACCTCACCCTGTGGAAGAAGGAGTTCCGCGAAGTGTGGAAGTCCATCCCTCAAGTGGTGGGCAGAATAAGCTTCCGTAAGTGTAACACTAGGGACCTTTCGCATTTGCTACGAAACGAATGCGAAACGAAAGTTTGATTCGGCTCGTAATCGTTTCGTTGAAAACAGATTTCAGGTTTCGCAAGTCGTCATGCAAATGTGCATGGCAACTACGAATACGGCCGCGGACGCCGGTAGTTTGGCGTACGGGTTTTTACACGCACACGTGCATGGATCATGGAATCAAGGGAAAAATGTGTACCTTGCAAAACATGTGTACCTATCCAAATAAATGTGTACCTGACGGATTCGGAGCGTGCCACGAATGAAGAGGCTTCCATTCGTGAAAACGAGTTCTCCGCAGCTACTCTGACGAATCCTCGAACCCAGGTGACGAATCAGCATTCGTTTCGTATCCGTACGCGGGGTGCGAAAGGTCCCTACTGTCTCCACTCTGCGTACCAGTAGTAATCATGGCTTGCTATTTCCTGCATGGTAAAGTGACTGCTACCGCCAGAACTCGAACCAAGGACCCTTGCTTATGGCCAGCCAGTGCCGCCGGGAACGGTCCGGTTGGTCCGGTTCTGGCTCGCCCCCTAAGATTCGTTTAAAGCCGGGGAGAAAAATTCTGCGTACATGTACATGACTTGTATTGTCGTCTTTTTTTTATCGATCATTCCTACCTACATGTTCATGCACCTATAGTGGGCCATACATTGTACATTGATATCCATGCAAAATTGTTCCCTGTAGTTGGCTCTGAAAACTTGTGAAAGGGCCAAATTCTGCTTTTTCTGACCGGATTTTTCTATAAAATGTCCGCGGGAGATTCCCCGGACCGCCCTCACGCCGTACCAACTTCGCCCGCCTTCCGGTGGGCCTGCCAGCGATGCTATATATATACCAGTTAATACCAGTTAATATATATTATATATATATATATACTATATACTCAATCTGCGGACAGCATGCTGTTTCGTTCTTTTTGAACTCATCAGCGCAGCACAGAGAAAATGAGGCCGAACCTGATAGCAATGGAAATAAAAATTTCCAATCAGGCCCGAACGTACGTACCCGAACGTATATACTATATCCTATAACCACGAAGCCATAGTGTAGTCGTCATCCCTGCAGCGACCGTTCAACATTTTCTTCAGACTTCGAAACTCATGCTTCCTGTGAACCCACACAGGCTGGTGGTACGCGGCCTTCACCGTAACCCCCACACACCTCACTGTAACCCGCACACTTCATGTGCAGACTAGCACGCGCGCAGTACTAGTTGTAAGTTTTCGACTCCCGGGTCTGACTCCACAGCCCAGCACTGTCGGCGGCTATGCGCCACTCCATTGTCCAGCGTTTCGACATTCTGATACTGGTGTTTTCTCTGGTGCATGTGTCTTTTTGGTCTGATCCTCCACACAGCTATCATCTGGCACAGTGAGGCATGCGAAGTGGTGTTGGAGCCGCAGCAGGATAGAATCATCGTCATCATCGGGGGATCCACGGAGGTAGGCTGAGCTCTAACCCGTGCTGTGCACCACCGCGTATGTGCATCTGGTGTGTAGGGGTGTGTGCGTGTGTGTGCGTGTGTGTGTGTGTGTGTGTGTGTGTGTGTGTGTGTGTGCGTGCGTGCGTGCGTGTGTGTGTGCGTGGTCTCTGTATGACAGGGGATGACCATGTACTCAGTCGTGCAGCTCGTATAATTTCTGTGCGTGGAAGACGCATGCAAACTGCGAGCGCCTCAATCCGTTTTCACTCCGAGTGACCGCATACACATGCCGGGTAGTAGTTCTATCTAGACCGGAAGCGTCTTTTTGAGTGGTCTCCATGTAGCTTGCATACCTATTATTGTTTAGTTGTTGAGGTAGTACTGATGTCATAGTGTACATTCTATCTCAGAAACCGCGGGTACATAGCTAGGGCTGCAACGGGTAGGGTTTTGGTCGGGTGACGGGATCGGTAATTTCTATCCGGGTAGCACGGGTGCCCTGTCGGGGTTTTTTTTTGACGCAGTTTGTACTGTGAGTGTGCACTTGCACTACATAGAAAGTGTGCAGTAAGCGCGTAGCCGTACTGTTTACATGCACCATTGCAAGAAAAACACCGTACTCCAACTACCCGATCGGGTTCTCTCTCCCCCCCCCCCCCCACACCCACCCATGTACACCTACGCACAGTACGCCTAAGTTGCATGAATGCAGACGTATGACATTTCGATCGTTTTGTTTGCTCATTTGTCTGCTAGAAAATGCTGCCGATTCCGTTCAAGAACATCAGGGGAACGTCAGATGATGGCCAGAGCCGATTCTATATCTTGCTGGACTCACAAAGCCGAGTGGTACGTAGTGCTGAGTCCGTGTCACGTGTTTCCATGTCACGTGTTTCTTGCAAAACAAAATTTATGTCTGTAGGCTCGGGCCGCTCACGCTGCGGGCTAGCTATCACTATCAGACTTTTGGCTAGCAACTGGCGAGCTGCTGGCTCAGGGAGCAATCTGGCCCTTTTACTATTCGCCTCAGTCTTGCACTATCTCTCAACCCCACCCTTTGCCATTCTGTTCATGCTAGGCATGTATCACTTGGCTACTTGCAACAACACACACGGCACCCTGCATCGGTAGCCATGGTGACATCGAGAGGCAAGCACTGCACTCGGAGCTGGCGTCATTGATCTGGGAAGTTATCCAATGTACAATGGGCATCAGAAGAATTATTAACTTCTGAGTGGCATCGCTCTACGAGGGGGGAGGGGAAACTGAATACCATTACCTACAGCTCAGAACAGTGTGTATATTTCAAGCCACCTCCTTCTGTTACCCTTAAGCCTAAATCCCCCCGCCCTCCTCCTTCGAAGCGCTGGCTGGTACATATAGGAAAATACAATGCTCAAGAAATTGGAGTCTTCTGGTCCTTCATCTACTGGATAAATCATGGAGGCCAGCAGACAATACACGATCTTGTGAAGTGAAATTGTGTCTGATGTTTTTTCCCCCGCTGTGCACAGATCTTCAAGTTCAATGCTTCGTTCAAGCCGTTCCAGTGCGCCCTCATCTCCTACCTGGCGTATCACAAGTCCTCACTAGCTGCTGTGTAGCCCGTACCTGGGTAAGCACACCGCAGCAGCATGCCTACTCCAGTGAGCTGCTGCTGTGTTCCGTCTGCACCATGCTGCCAGACTTCAGGCAAGCAAAGGACGTTGAAGGTGCCGAGGAGCAGGACTGGAACTGAGTGACCTACCTGTATATGTACCGGATTTCCTCGATCATACATCACACTTGATTTTGAGTCGCACCCACCTTTTAAGGATTGAGCAATATTGCTTCAATAATAAATTATAGTCGTGTTGGTAGGATGTCACATTCGATTGAAAGTTGCACCCTATTCTTTGCCCTTGGAAGTTCAGTGTAAAAAGGTGTGACTTACTTTCGGGGGAACTATGGTATTTGCTACTGGTACAACTGCTGCAACGCAAGACCGCGTCGGCTCGTGAACTATGGCGGTGATGTCAACACAGTTTTGCTTGACACAAACATACAGTGCTACGAGCTTACACGCAGCGCAGCCGCATGGTCACCGAGTTAGATTGTGAGATGTTACGGGGGCTGCACGGCCCGAGCTCCATTGGCAGTAGTTCCCGGCTATGTAGATTTTACAGACCGATTGCTGGCTCACAGCGATGATGCAGCACAAGATGTTTTGAGGCAATATTGATTTTTGCAGAACAATCTGATCCCCGGTCATGCCATGAACCAGTGGCTGCCCTACGCCACCGGCAGCGACTCAACTGTGTTGAGGTAACGGTATCATTCGGCCACGCGCTGAGACATTGATATTCTGAACGTGGCATCTCTCTCTCTCTCTCTCTCTCTCTCTCTCTCTCTCTCTCTCTCTCTCTCTCTCTCTCTCTCTCTCTCTCTCTCTCTCTCTCTCTCTCTCTCTCTCTCTCTCTCTCTCTCTCTCTCTCTCTCTCTCTCTCTCTCTCTCTCTCTCTCTCTCTCTCGAGTGGAAGGCTTTGCCCTATATGGGTATCGAGCACTCTTCGGACAGTGGCGCATGTTTCTTGATTATGTTATGACATATGTTCGTCAGATATACCACTTCACGATCATTTTCCATGCAGGGTATGTTACGTTCACATGTACATATCAAGAGAGCCGTATGCAGTTTACTAGCGAGTTCCATTGTGGTCTGTGTCTCATTAGACATGGTTAGCATTTTACCGTTCACGCTATTTTCGACGGTCGGTCTGTACTGTTTTTTTGTGTGTGTAGACATGGCATTTTACCGTTCACGCGCTAGATCCAACGGTACTCGTACCCAACACCCAAAGTACCGTCGGTTTGGTACCGTTTCGACGATAGAAAGCTCTGTTTAGCGGGAGAATGAAACGGTAGGATTCCAACTAGAGTTGTGTCACAAGTCAATCGTTGCGTCAGGAGTCAGGACTCAGAAGCCAAACTGCAACCGTGTCTCGAAAACACACAAAAAACAGTAGCCCTCTACACGCCGACCGTCGAAAATAGCGTGAACGGTAAAAATTTAATGCTCGCCATGTCTATTGAGTGTTTTTGTTTCCTGTGACACTGACCAATGGCGGTGTGCACATGCTTACTCTTAAGAAAAGTGATACCCTGTGCATGATCGGCTCGCACTGGTGGGTGATGAAATGACTCTAGCGCAGTCTGACATTGCCTGAGTATTGGTCCCCATGATCGGGCATGGTTCATTATCATCAACATAGGCTGGCCCGAATCATGTTTATTGATGATTGAGTTACATAATAAGGCTATTGCGCAATGCCGTAATTTGCACCGAGACTGACACCCCACAGTCCCCACACACCGACCTAGACCTGGGCATGGCCGTCTGGGGTGGTGAACAGTGCATTGGCCTGATGCCAGCGTACTCACATGCATTGCTCATACCTTCCATATTTGGCAATGCACAATGGGCGTATTTTACTGTAATAATAATAATCACTCTGTGGCAGTGCAATGACCCTGATGACAGGCTTAGCACGACCCGATGAGTGATGACAAGAGTACAATAGGGCTTGAAAGTGATGACGTCAAAAACGGCCAGGGAGTAGTAAGTTGACATCAGATTTCTATTTTTGGATCCACTAAGGTGTGACTTTGCTATTGCCTCAGTATGTGGGTGCATAGCAACCCACTCATGTCGCATGCAGGTGTGACTTTTATTTCGCCACCAGTTGTAACCCCGCCCCCAGTAGCCAAATCAGTCAGTTTCACTGGCCACATCAGCATGCTGTGGGTAAGACCGCTTGAAATGTGCTTGGATCCATAGAAAAACTGGATCCAAGTGGATCCAGTTTTTGAATTTTTGAAATTGTTGCTATGCTGTGACGTAGCACTTTCAAGCCCTATTATAACCTCCGTAGTCTTGGTGATGAAAGAATTATTGATTGAGTTGTCGCACGTCCGTACCGGTAATAAAATAATAAAAAAGTGCCTAATCTCATTGACCTGGTGACTTTGTACTTGTACAAGTAACGTAGTTATACTTATACTTATAGGCTCTGATTGAGGCAGGGAGTGTCCCTGCTCTAGCCTACGTGTAGTCTAGGCTAGCTCTGAGCTATGTAGTCTAGGCTAGCTCTGAGCTAAGCCTAAAAGTAAAAGTAAAAAATACAAACTACCCAAGAGCCAAGACCGCTACACGTGACATGTATGATGTACTGGTGTATGAGATGGTTTTTCCCCTGCGTGCGCGTCAGCATTTCCCATGACGTAATAGATTGATTCTATACCTGATCATAATAATTATCAGAATTCAGATTAGCTCGCGAGTCGTGCCCGCTGCGCTTGCACCGGCCGTGTCGCGTGTAGACTAGCCTACTGTAGGTGGCTAGCCTAGCCGGCTACACAGCTAGCTAGCAGACCAGTGCAGTGCGCGCGCGTATGGATCGCAGGGATTCTCAGTGCAAGCAGGGGAAAGCACGCCGATCCGAGCTCCCTCGGCTACCGAATCCGCAAAAAAAGAAGAGCGTTGTGCTGGAGAAAGTCCCACTTCTTGCCCTGCCGGCCGCTGCTTGGCACGGGTATTGTTTTATCTGCGCGCTCGGAACGTGCAAGTACTAGTAGTAGTAGCACGTAACGACTACGTTGATCCTGATTAGTGTCTTCTCTCAAGTAAATCCATCGCCCAGGCCCCTCACTCAGGTCCCTGTTACCCTGGGCCTGGAGACACGCTTTGCTGACGCCACGGTCTCCTTGCAGCCGGGCTGGCTTAGAGTTGGTCGCAGGAGGAGGGCGCGGAGGCGGTCATCATGGAGCAGGACGAGGAGGGGGTCGCCATGGAGGAGGAGCAGGACGCGGAGGCGGTCCATATGGAGGAGGAGCAGGAGCTGCAGCTAGGAGGAATCGCGATCAGCGCGACGCCAATGAGCACTGGGGACAACGTGCATATGAACATCCGTCGCAATGCTCAGGGCGAAGCTGGACCATGCATCATCGTAAGTCCCGCGCAGCGAGGGTTCAATGGTTGATTTTCTCTTTTGCTTTCTGAAGTTTTTTTGTGCTTTGGCGTGTGACTTCGTCTGTGCCCGCGACGCATTTTATCGTGATGCGGGGCAGGTCCGCCATCTTGTCTATCAAGATAAGGTGTGGATTCTCACAATGCTGCAATGTGCGGTGGGATAGAGTGGTTTCACATATTATTTGTCACGTGAATAAATTTATTTGTGAAGAAAGTGATTATGGAATTATTTGGACAGTGGAACCAACATGGCCGACATCATGTGACCCATAGATGCTGAGTGGAGAGAGTTCGAATCAACATGGCTGTTCTGTACGGTCATGTGATGGATGTGAAGACACTCTCTACTGCACGCCAGTGTCCCGCAGCTACCGCACCTTCATGACCGTTTAGTTTTTGTTTGTTGTGATACAGTTCAGTTCGTTGCCTCAACAGTACAATGTACAACTAAGGAAGAGGGTCGAACAGGAAACAAAAATAACTGAGGGTTATCGAAAAGGGAGTGAGGGAGAAAAAAAAAGAAGGTGGAGCATTTTGTCAAAAGCCGACCGTTACTGCAAGAAACGTGGCTAATAATAAAAACTAGCTGGCAAAGCATGAACACAGGCGAAAGTTACAGTCATCGGGAAACTAAAAACTTAATACTGTTGAACAGAAGGGGTGAGAAAAGAGACAATTGGTTGGAATCGTGTAGAACCTGTGAAAGCTGAGCGGCAAAATCGGAAGCAACACTACGATGCATGTTTTATAACTAGCTAGTAGAGCCTTCCAAAGCGATGTGGCTTGCGAGGAGAGCGAATTATATCCTATCTTGGAGTGATACTATTTAATTTCCATGTTATGAGTGGCTGTGCCAGGAGTGGAACGTGCACTGCAAGAAGAGAAGAGGGGAAAAGATCGGCCAAACAAAGGACTGGTTTTCCGATATAGCTGTAGTCAGCAGCATTGGGTAGACTACGGAGTCGGTGTAGTGATCCGGGCCGTCCTGGCTGCTCGTACTGTAGTGTGCGATCAGTCGCTGAGTGGCGAGCGGAAATAGACTGACCTGGTGTTTGTTCACTGCTAACAGCCTGGTGGCCACTGCCCGTTACACTCCCGAGTCTGGTGTAAACCCGCTCCCCTCTTCCATTTTTTTGTCATGACGTACTTGATATGCGGCATAATTATGGGGGTTCCCTTGATGCCGCCCATTTTCATTGATTTGACATTAGTGTGCAAAATGTTGTATTACATGACATCGTGGTGACGTCATCATGACCAACAAACATTCGCAAACAGTACGCGAAAGGTGCTGCCGGACAATTTTTGGAAAATCCGGTAGATTTATAACTTTCCGGTATACAGGAATGTAAGCGAGTTTTCCTGGATTATCCAAAAAAATCCGGAGGGTTTGCATGTAAGAGTTCATCCACTTTGCGGCCTGAGTTTTGCGTTCCAGTGGCGATTGTTCAGCCTAAAATATGGCTCGAAAATGTTTGCATCAGAAGCAAATTATGAAAAATAAACAATACGGAGCATCAGCAAGTCGAGTTTTCGGTTCGATAACGCGCGTGTCAAAATGAAAGACGGTGCGAACATTGGAATGAAAAAGCGGGTCAGCATGCAGCAGCAATTTTGGACTCCACCGCTCGAGTTCTTTTCGAGCTTGAGAAGGAAACACTTTGAGATGCACTGTGGTTTTTGGCCAGAGTACGTAACTCTTGATTATAGCAGCATAGCAAGTCGATTTGTTGGACTCATTCCTCCTCTTTGCTAAAGGTCACCAGGCTGGGCAGAACGGAGTTGCTGCTGTGTCTTGTGGCCTTTGAGGATGACGCGAAGTGACGGATGCTCCATCCGGTTCAGGCCATTGGCGATCGTATCTCTTCGGCTGATCTCAATGAAAAGACTGTCATCAGCTGTTTTCGCTCGAGTAAGGCTCTGCCAGAAATGTAGCATTAGTTGGTGGCTACCTTGGCTAGGTAACGGCTGCGCGGTGTGTTACAATAACTGCTACTTCACGAAGTACATGTACTGGAGTCTTTGCATGCAAGACAGTACCGCTCCATAATGACATTGCACTGGAGCTCTGTGCAATACTGTAGCGACCTGACTCACTGAGTATTCTACATACGCACGCGCAGGAAATAAAATCATTCTCTTTGGTCTCAACTGCTTTGTTGTCCGGTTGGCCAAAGTAGCCGTCGTCTAGGGCCCGACGTAAAACCCTAAATCGGTGACCCCAGACGCAGCGCTCTTCGGAGTTTTCATCATGGCATCTCTGAGCTCTGGCCGCAGTTTCCTGCCCGCCCCGCTCTCGGAATCCCGTCAATCGCCGGCTGTTGACGTACAACTTGAGCCTCACCACCACTCGTCACTGGATCCACCTCGGAGCTGCTGTGGCCCCTGCCACCCTCCCCGCCCACCTGGATACCCCGCTATCCTGCCACGGCACGCTGTCCAGTCATCCGTATTCGTCTGTCTTCGTCCTGGCCTCAAGCTGGAAATTGGCCACCTCCACCATCCGTACCAGCTCAACTATGCACGCACACACACGCCCGGCACTGGACTCCGTGGAGCTGCGCTCGCCTCCATCCGTCCCCACCTCACTCGGCACGCGTCGCCCCAGTGCAGCGCTCCTGCTGGTACCCCGCAAAGCCTGCAACATGCAGCCGCCTCTGACACGATAACACTCCTCTGTCATGCGTACGTTTCCTCTTTTCTTTCTTTCTGCCTCTGACATGCTCTCCACCTCTGTCACGTTAACACACCTCTGAAATGTTAACCCGCCTCTGTCATGCCTCTCTCTCTTTTCCGCTTTCTGCATTTTGACTTTTGTTTCGGCTTTTGTTGCCACGTCACAAACAAATTTCATATACGCAGCGCTCTCGCTTGTACATATTGTATCATAATTTTTCTCTTTCCGCCTTGTACATGCCGCGCTTCCTTTCTCTTCTCTCTCCTTTTTTCCTGTTTATCGTGCTTCGCTCCTCCCCAACGGGGAAGGGGGGGGGGGGGGGAGTACTGTAGGGACCTGACTCACTGAGTGTTACGTCATTCTACATACGCATGCGCAGGAAATAAAATCATTCTCTTTGGTCTCAACTTCTTTGTTGTCCGGTTGGCCAAAGTAGCCGTCGTCTAGGGCCCGACGTAAAACCCTAAAATACCACTGCTCGTGTATGGACCATGCGAGCTGCATTTGAAGCCGATTGTCTGTTCGCAGGCCTTTTGCAGTCGAACGAAGCCCTACCGGTAGTTTCGACTTTTTGAGTACCTGTCGTGACGATTCTCGAATTTCACTCGAAAATTCGACTTGCTGATGCTCTGTAATATCTCAGTCAAGTTGGATCCACTCTCATCACTGCAATGTCCAGTGATAGATGACTAGGCTCCCCGTGTCATTTGCTGTCTTGGGACAGGAAGGCTCGTTTAATTCGATATGAGGTCATGTATATGTGCGAGGGTGTTCACATGTATGCTGACTGTATCCTGTCAGCGCCAAACTCACAGCACACGTGCTACTTGCCTGTACGGCGTGCTGCGCGTGTACACTGCAGGAAGTCGGAGCTATTGACAGCCAGCTGCTGGAGGACAAACATGTCAGGAATGGCAACATCAATAGCCACGTGAAAGGTGTGTGGAGCGTGACCGCCACCACGACTTTTGTCAACGGTACCCCGGTGAGTTGCGGGTGTGTGTCTGCGTGAAAATACCAATTGCTACGGGCTTGCTGGTAGAGCCGGTGCTCTGGCATACTGTAATTTCACAATTTTTCGGTGTACATTTATCAAGTTTTCGGTACTTTCGGTGCGTCTGTTTCATACCTAAGATTTGAATACACTGAAAAAAACACTACCACACATAATCCAATAGGGAACTGCTTCTCTGTACCTAACATTTCTGTTCACCTAGCCTGGACTGTTGTCCTCATACCAAAAATATTGAGCACCTAAAATATCTGAAATTAGAGTAAAGTTGTTCTGTGCTACGGAAAGTTGCAATTGGCCCACGTGAGCTAAGTACAGTATAGTATAGCTACATCACAGCTCGCTGTACGCAATATTCAGGTTGTCGATGAGGGCGGTTACAATACGCTGTTAATGTTAACGTACGAGTATATTCCGATACAGGAATTTTAGGTCTCCATCTCCTGTACCCCCCCCCCCCCCCCCCACACACACACACATTCTTTCCCCCGCTCCCGGTAGCTCCTCCCGTTCCTCAATTTATGACCCCTTTGTTCCGTTGGCCTGGGTAGCTGCTTGCGTGCCCATTTTTGCCATAGGTACTCAGGCCCCTTTTCAAGCAACTCTCTCTCTCCCTCTCTCCCTCCCTCTTTTTCTTTCTCTCGCTCGCTCGCCTTCATCATGTAGTCTCTCGTCTCCCTGTCTCTCCTTGTAGCTTCCCCCAGTAATCATCTTCCCTGACTTACCTTGTCATCCGCTTGTTAGTGTTGTCGTGAATATGCATCACGAATCTGCGTTACGCTCATTATTATGTCTTTATTTGTTTATGTGTTACATCATGTTGACGTCATGCTGATGTCTTGCTGCACGCATCGCATGCACCGTTTTGCAGCTCTCAGGCCAGAGCATGCGCAGCGAGCCTGTGGCTCCTTTTTTGCTGCCTTTTCCCCTTTCGCATGCTTCACTTGTCTCAAATAATGTTTTCTGGTGACACTCCTTTTCAAGTCACCTAATCCTTTCAAGTAACAAGTGCAATGTCGTTCCGTGAACCGGAACCCCTCCATATTTGAGTTACCAAGACGTATTTGTGTGTGGCTATACAAGCTCTCCCACTCAACAGTTCAAAGTTGAGCACAAGTGTGAAGATATGGGACTTCGGATGTCTCAACAGGAGTTATTGAGCCCCCCCCCCCCCCCCCCCTCCTCTTGGGATGTGCAACATCACATCATGTTTGTATTGGCTTTTTAAAACAAGAGTTCATATTTAATGCTGATTCCGCAGTTCGGATGTCTGGCTGATTTTCGAGAAATATTCGTACAGTCGACTCCACTTAGGGGCCTTCCGTAAATACCGATATTTATGTAGAAACGAAAACTAGTCGTTTCTCTTCAACTCCCCCCCCCCCCCTCCCCTCCCTCAGAAACGAACACATACAAATGGTACATAGTATCGATATTTTTGATCTTTTTTCTGAACATGCTCACTCATGCCAAATGTACATCGATATTTTTCGAGAAACGAACAGGCGCTCAGCCCCCTCCCCTCTAAACGGCTAGTTTTCGTTTCTAAATAAATATCTATATTTACGGATGGCCCCTAATAAAACGAACTCGCATTATAGCAAATTTCGTAATAAAATAGCGAACCCTTGTCCATGCCCCTGTTTGAACCCATACGAAATTGACCCTCTATAGCGAACCGTTTTCGTTTATGACGAACCTTGTAGGGCCGCGTGTAAACTTAAAACACCTTCATACTGTCATGGACCACTTGTCAGTCATGCCTTGCTGCTTGTATGGTGTAAGTGCATATCTGTTATAACGGACTTTGGCTATTATAAAGAACTAATTCTCCTGTACAACGGTGTTTGTTATATCAGGAGATATCTGTTATAACGAACTTCGGCTATAAAGAACTAATTCTCCTGCACAACGGTGTTCGTTATATCAGGAGTCGACTCTACATGTATCACCAAGTTATATGCCCCACAGAATACAGTCAGACCTCGATCGCTTAACCGCACACATCCGTTTTCCACGAGAATATCCGGATAGACGAGGGAACCGGATAATCGAACACACATACTGCATGTATGCATGACATAATGCTGTAAATCGGTAACCAACGATTTTCTTCCGGATGGTGAGGGATCCAGATTAAAGAGAACCGGATAAGCGAGGTCTGACGGTTCAGTACTTCCCTACTCTTACTCTTCAAAGATTTGTACTGCGTGTGCCTGTCTACATATCTGATGTTATGCTTTGCCTTCAGAGCCCCCAGATTGAAAATGGGCTTGTCAAGAAGCTACAAGTTCGTGATACGCTGTCGATAGAATTGACCGGAGACCGAAGGCTGAGGCTGCAGCGGCATTCTGCCAACGATTCCGATACGTTTGTTTTCCCGGAGCCGATCACGGCAGATGTCCATTTCTTCGTCGGAGTGCACAGTGGCGTGACGGTTTCGCTGGTCGACCAGCCGCATGCTGACGGTGAGTTGTAGCAATGAGTAGATTTGTGTGTGCTGGGGCCAAGGGGGGGGGGGGGGGGGACATGGCCGCAGGATTCTGTGTTACTGGTTACTGGAGGCTCAGTTGCAAGCGGTAGTAGACTGCTGTTGTGCCCAAGGTAATCTTGAGTACCACACCGGGGCTGTTCTGCGCAGGGTGCGGATGATGTGTACGGGTTGGTGATGTGATGTGAAGTTATGCAGTTCCAGGCCCGTTAGACTGGGGTTGCACTTTCTGGGGTGTTAGCTACTCCAAGATTCTAAATCACAGTCACGCTGAACAGGTGCTACTTCACTTATCCATAGGCTCGACGATTATCTCATGAGCTACGTAACGTCTTAGAATCCGGATTGCAGTAATCATGTATTGGATTTACGCGTAGAGCACCCGACTCTTTGCCATCAGTTGCTATTGTCCGTGCTAGGCCTATGGAATATAATTTTGCTGTCTGAACAGGCCTGTGGAATATATGCTGTCTGAACAGGCCTGTGGAATACCGTAAAGTCCGCTGCAAACGCCCACTTCGCTGCCAACGCGCACCCCAGCGGGTCCATACTATTTTCGTCTTTTTCAGGTCAATATAGTGGTAGAAAACTGGCATGAAGATCGAATGCGTACGAAAACAGCTGTAATGCCTACAAACTGCCTATGTCTTACCAGGAGGCTCTGCAAAAGCGATTGTCATCATCTTGCTGCAAAGAAAAACTTATGTCGAGATTTCCTTTCCTTCGATAAATGAGTCGTCTTTGTGGTAGGTCGCTCTCCATGTAGTAATGCCGTAGAATCCATCTGGTTTTCATGAAATTTCTGCAGTGCCACAATGTGGCATTTGCAGCACGGAACAGTGATTGTTCTGACGAAGTGTCATTCAACGACTTGACCGTTCGCAGTATTGCAGTTGCAAGTCGAACAGGGTATGTCACAGAAGCTAGTACAAGCTACACCTACAAAGTCGCTGCTAACTAATACTTGTTGAAAACTCTGAAGTGCTCGAGAAAAACCCTTGCCTTTGAGCGTTGCGTGATTTGGAAATGATCAGAAGTGTATTTGGTTCCTGCAATACTCTGTTCATCGCTACCTTGTTATTCGGAAGAAACTCCCGTTTGGATTTGCGAAATAAAGCAACCATCATCATAAAATCACTACGAGCTAGCTCGTAGCTAGTGCCCAAAGAGATTTTGAAACCAGGAAAGTGGACATAGTTTACCATAGCAAAGCGCTCTTCCCGCTACGGTATGAGACGCACTTTCGTACAGTAGAGGTGACATTACATGGGGTCAGTGTGTACAGGCCAGCAGATCTTGCAAAAATGGGGTGGGCGTTTGCACCGGACTTTACGGTATATGCTGTCTGAACAGGCCTGTGGAATATATGCTGTCTGAACAGGCCTGTAGAATATATGCTGTCTGAACAGGCCTGTGGAATATATGCTGTCTGAACAGGCCTGTGGAATATATGCTGTGTCTGAAGAGGCCTGTGGAATATATGCTGTGTCTGAAGAGGCCTGTGGAGTATATGCTGTGTCTGAAGAGGCCTGTATGCAGCCTTTACCCATGGGCTCATGCTGGTACTATTCCCTGACATTAATTTACCTTCTGCTTGCTCTGCTTGTGTTGTCTCTCCTGTCCACAGAGTCAGAGTTGGAACCTGGCCCGCGGACTGATCTTCAGGAAGTCGAGAAGGCTCAGCAAGAAGCAGCCAACCGAGGCGGAACCACAACCATTCGCTTCCTGCACGTGGCTATCCTCGGAGCAGCCCGCGTCGGGAAGACTAGCCTGCTGAATGCACTCATGGATAAGGATCACAACAAAGACGAACTCAGCACACCAGGCATGCGCACGTCGTATGCTACCACCGAGGTCTCCCGAGAGAGACGGTTTGTGGAATGCGACGATATATCGCAAGCCATGAATCAGCTCTACATCACCACTATGCTGCGCACGTTTTCTGTTGTGGCAGACCGCAACAAGGAGGATGAGAGGCAAGTAGAAACGAGTGCAGCAAAGGCCAACACGGATGTGCCCGAAGCTGCTGAGGTTGTGGATGAAAAAGATGGAGCACCTGATGTCAGTCAGCCGAAGCCTGTCGAGCAGCCGTCTGACAAGCAACTATTTCGCAATGCAATCCACGAGACGGTCGCCGACTTTCTCAAGCGTAACATGGGTTTCATTCATGAGCAAGCAAACAGGCCCGACTACACTGTCGTCACCTTCCGTGACCTTGGCGGGCAGCAGGTCTACCAGTCTGTGCAGCCTCTCTTCATGTCGAAGAACACCACGTTCATTGCTGCGTACAACTCATCTCAAGATCTCCTGGAGAGGCTGCCTAAGATGGAGGAGACCCGCGTTGGCAAGGAGGAGTACGTCGAGCGAACCACTCTACCCTCGGATGCAACTCGACTGGACCAGCTACTATCCTGGCTTGACATGCTTCTGCTCCATGCCAAAGCCGACACTGAAGAAAGTACTACGGATGATGTGCTCATGGTTGGCTGCCAGAGTGACGTGTTGCTGAAGACCAAACTGAAAGATCCACGCAAGCTACTCCAGCAGAAGATCAAGAACTCGCCCTACGAGTCCTTGGTGTATAACGACGAGTCACACTTTATCATCGATAGCACCAGGTTCACCGCAGGTGAGGGTACTCATCCCGAAGAGCTGCAGCGCCTAAGAAAAACCATCATCGACCGCTGTGCAGAGAGCGAACGTGCTATCCCACTCCCATGGCTGCGCTTCTGTATTGCCATCCACATGCTGAAGAAGGCGGTTCCGATGCCGTGGGTTTCCTACGAGGAAGCCACGTTTGTGGCCAAGTCAATTGATGCCATTGACGTCAACGGTGATGTTGAGCGGCAGATGAAGCATCTACTGCAGTACTGCCACGAAGCCGGCCACCTGGCGTACTTCCCTACGTTCACGCTGGAAGGCACCGTCATCCTCGATCCACAGTTTGTTTTGGACTGTGTTAGTGGCCTTGTGTACCCGGTGTTTGATAAGTCAATCAAGCCTGTTGACCGACGCCAGTGCTGCAAAGGTTTCATGACGGACTCACAAGCCCGCGTTGTGCTCGACCAGAAGTTTCGTCGGGAGCCAGAATCGCGGAGTTCCATGATGTGGTACGCAGTAAAATCTAGCTGCGACGAATTCCGTCTCATCTTTGAGATCCTGGAAGAGCTCTCAGTACTGGCCATTGTTGACCGGAGCAGCCCCGCAACCAGTGCCAAGAGCGAGTTCATAGTGCCAGCGATCATCAAGGATGATCCTGAGCAGGCAAAGGAGCTCAAGTGCAGGTCACAATGCGCTTATGTCTGCCTACAGCGCACTGGTGACGTTGCCGTTCAGGATAAGTTCATGCACTTTCCTGTCTTCCTGTACTGGCAGTGTGTGGTCGAAGCGCTGCTGAGATCCCCCAATCGAGCGGCCAGCACACTGTCGCTGTGCAGCGTGCGTCTGTACTGGAACCGGAACGACTGGCCGTGGCTACACATCTGCTACACACGGAGTGGCCTGCAGCTGTACCTGGAGGGTAAACCACGCAGTGCCAATGACACCAGCGGGAAGACAACGCTGGATGCCGTCAAAGAGATCGTCACCGCTGTGCTAGACAAGTGGAAGCTGGTCGCGCAGCCAGTCAGCTCTCTGCCGTGTCCTTGTGGAAAACAGCTTGCCGACAGCAACTGCTTGCTACATGGCCTGCCAAACTGCACAATACCAAGCTGTGCACACGCGCTGCTGAACGTGGTTGATGGCGAGTTTCCCATGTGTCCTCTGGATAGGACGATGGTTGAAATTCGAGACCAGGCCATGTTCTGGCTGGGTCTAGATCAGGTAAGTGACTAGGTGTTCCCACCTGATACTTGTATGTACATGTTGTGTTGTATTGTATGAAGGAGGTCCTGGTTAGAAGATCCACGCGGTACTTGTTGGTTAAACATTTCCGTATGCAGAAGCTATGCAGTAAAAACCTGGGTTTACCGAACCCTGCATCAAGCGGAATCCTGTCCGCAACGAATAGATTATCATGCATGGACAGGCTCACATGGCAAACTCACCGCAAAAAAAGCGGATCACTGTCGAACCCGGAAAGCGGAACAGATTCCGTGCACCAAGTCCAGATTTTACCTGTCACAAGCGAGCTCCGTACCGTGCCGTATGAACTGTCACTCGTGTGGGAGCTTATTGCAGGTCACCGTATATTGCCCTGGATCACAGCATTGACGGCATGCTGCGCGGGAGTACACGTAAAAGCTTGATGCTTCTGTAAATCTTGACCAGCGCATTGGACATTATCTTTGCGATGGATCTACATTGTACATATGTACAATCATGTACATTTGTAGTACTTTTGTAAATAGATGTGTGTCTGTTTGCACGTGTGTCTGTTTGCACGTGTGTCTGTTTGCACGTGTGTCTGCGTGTGCGGTATTTCTTACTTTCTCCTACAATGTCCAGATCGAGAAAAAGCTGTGGGCAGCGAAAGGACAAAGCACCGCAGGTGAGGGTTAATGCCTACCGAATTTCAGTAAGGATTTGTGCGCAGGGCACAAAAGTGTTCAGCTAAGGTACAATTATTTCATTAAGGGTGAACATTCTATGGCAAATGTTTTTTTGCGGATAAACATTCGTTGTTGCAGGGGTTGCGACGATTACAGGTTAGTCGTGCCGGGTATTGATTGTATCCTTCATGCATGTCAATGTGTGTGCGTGTGTGTGTGTGTGTGTGTGTGTGCGCGCGCATGTGGGTGTATGTGTATGCGTGTGTGCCCATCTATGTGTGCGTGCATGCGTGTGTGTGTGTGTGTGTGTGTGTGTGTGTGTGTGTGTGTGTGTGTGTGTGTGTGTGTGTGTGTGTGTGTGTGTGTATGCGTGTGTGGATGTGTGCATGTGCGCTTGAGTAAATGCGTGTTTGTGGGGTACATGTGTTATTGGATTGGTGCGCTGGCTGTCGGTTTGCTTTTGTTCTACATTCGCAGCATCGCAGGAGTGGGTGAACTTCAAGGCCCTCAGCAACCTTGAGCGAAGGAATAGGCTGAATCGCATCCGTGATGTTGTGGCCGTGGCCGTCAAACCTGTGCATGACATTGGATTTCACCTTTTGGCAGCACAGTTCCCGGACTGTCCGGAAGGCCCGAAGGCGGTGAGTTCTCCACCGCATCAGTTACACGACAAACCTCATTAGTAGACAATGATACAAATCCCCTGATGCCTAAAACGGGCATATGCAAGTCCGGATAGTAGATAATACTTGAAGTACAGCACTCGTTATAAGACAGAAATTGTGACCCACATAAATAGCATGTGTTTTGTTCTGAATTCGTCCTACCCACAGGCGATCGTGGACAAAGCCCATCCGGAGACCAGCCCATTTTGCTTGTTCGATGCTGTGACTCAGCTATGGAGCGACCTCTGCGAGGCAATGGGCGGCGAAGACATGTACAAGGCTGTGGAGCGTGCGAATGGGGTTGGAAAGGCGGAGGACATCAAGAGATTCTGCCTCGTCTCCAGTGAGTGTTCATTTGTCTACATGTCTATTGTTGGATTACTCGCCTCTCGCTTGTTCGAATCAGTGTTGAGACAATGCATCGGTTTGCTTCGAATGGTATTCATTTTAGAATTGTATTGAGATATACACTCAAAGGTAGCGGTTCCGCTGAAGCAACGCCGCAGGAGCGGAGTGTGTGACCATACATGCGATACGTGGGGATTTTTGTGATCCTCCCTACGTGGTGGGAGCTCATACATGCCAACCTGGAGGCTTGAGTTCCCTGGACAACGAGGCTGAATTCCCTTGATTTTGACCGTTTTCCCCAGACACCAATTTTTTTAGCACATCCATCATTAGCAGGCCAGATGTATTTTTCATGACTGCTGTTTAAGCGAAAAAGGATGTAATTGCATTGAGCTGTAACTAAACTATACAAGTAAATTTCTGTTGACCGGCGATCCGGTGCAGTTCCACTTTTTTTTTTTTTGTCTACTACGTGCTGTGTGTGCTTACAACGGATCTAGTTTGAGGAAACTCTGAAAAAGCATCATAACAAGGAGAAAACACCGGTTTCAAAAGTTCCATCTCAATCCCGGGACTTTCGCAGGGCATCCCTGGACCCCGGGTCAAGCACCCTATTCCCTGGACTGTCCCGGGAAACCCTGGACGGTTGTCATGTACATGTATGGGAGCTCGCAAACCTGGGTTGTTGTAGAGAACGTCCGCGCACCCAGGCGTGGTCTCCGGGTTGTTGTATCTGCCGGATGTTTTACAATACTGCTGAGGCTGCATGAAAAGCTGAGTGTGTGTTTGTCTTCTGAATGTTTGATGTGTTTTGTCATTACTGCAGTGGAAGTTTCAAGTGCATGTACAGGTGCAGCTGCCCAAAGCCAGTAGTCTCTCTCCTGCAAGTTGCACCGTCACCATGGTGTCGTCGACCGCCCGCACCTCCTGGTCGCAAGTGCTCGTCGACGCCAGGTTGGTGCTTGCACAAGTCATGTTTGCTGCAGGTGGTAGACATGGGGGTGCTGCTTACTAGCCAGCACATCGTGTCTTCTCTCCTCTCTTATCTCTTTTGTACAAATTCATCACTGGTAGTGGACTCCTAGTGCAAGAACGGCACATGCTCGAGACTAGTCCCGTAATATTTCTCTGCTGCCGTCGGTTTGACAGCGTCTGCTCCCCACGAAATCTACTTCAGTACATGTACATGTACGTGTATCTTCTGCTGCATCCACTCACCTGTTCCTGCTTTCTTGGGCTCTTCTACTGGAGTGTCCATGGATGTGGATGGCCAGCATGATTGTACATGTGTGTTAAATCGACTGGTTCGGTCGTTTGTTGACTGCCCCGTTGACTCATTCATCAGTTGAACTGTTTACGCAACGGCGTAACAGCTCGTCGTTTTGCCCCAATGCCAGCTGGCCAGAGCGTCTCCTCATTGATCCAGCTGACCGCGACGTTTTGCCGCCCGTTGATCAACATGTCGCCCAATCCATCGGTCTGCATGCATCACTGCTCCTACAGCCGAACCCTCATCCTGGTAGTCATCCCATACCCCGGTATGGAGTATTCGTAATTATATGTATCTGAGAACATGACGTCGTCCGATCCGTCGTTCTGCATGCATCACCGTTCATTTGGTGCGTGCTTTTGGCCGTGATGCCAAGACCTTAGGCCGGCAGAGCTATCAATGCCCTGCCACCACTGCTGCGTGTCGGTGCAGCCCCTGCCCAGTAGTTGTCACGTTTGTCCTAGCCTCAGTACCATTGTCTTTCATTATTATTTACGAGTTGAGTATAATTATGAACATAGTAAAAAAAATTCAGCACATGCTGGCTGGCTGATAATCGACCCAGACCAGTCTAGGCCTAAGGTTGGCCCGTTGCTACGTTTGTGCTGCCTCTCGTCCTGTCTGGGCACACGCTTGACTTTGTCTCTCTCCCCCTCTCTCTTGTAGTTGCAGGAGCTTGCCTGGATATGTACCGCTTTCTCTATATAACTTTTGCATTATTGCTCCATTTCGTCTACCCATGGATCTGAGTTCTGAGCTGGCCCCTAAGTCGTATCCATCTGTCCCTTCTTCTTTCTACTTTTAATATCGGCTTGGAATCTTAGATTAGTGCGATTAGTAGACACATGCGTTCGTCTCCTGCATTCAAAAGATGTGTTTAGATCAGAATAGTGTTAGCTTCGGACAGCGTGTATGACAACAGCCCTTGATTGACTAGGATTTTCATCTTGCTCCGGCTCTATGCGTTGATTTGGTCCTGGGCGTGCTGCAACAATGACGTGTGTATAGGCCGTGCAGTGTGGCTGAGAGCACGCAGCCACGTGCTGCATGCAGCAAGGGTTAGATCGAGGTTGTTTTCCACAGACATGCAATAGTTCTAAATACCGGAACAGGTGTGTGTGTGTGTGTGTGTGTGTGCGTGCGCGCGTGTGCGTGTGTGCTCGTGCATACACGTGTGTCTCGTCTCGGTCATAGGCAGTCTAGCCTAGGGTTTAATTTTTGGTTATGCGCAGGAGTAGGCCGGTGCTGTGTCTGATGCCGTGCCGCTGATTGTGCTGAAATATTACTACTGACTTCCTGCAGTAGGGGATGTACTCCTTACTCCCTATGTGTCATGTCGTTGTGTTTCTCTCGGCGCACATTCTAGTCTCTCTTGCTGGGCAGTTCATTTAAAATTGCGCTTGAATATCTCGTTTCTGATGCTTTCTCCTTTTCTTTAATTAAAACCTTTTCTGCGTCACACAAGTTTTCCTTGATCCCTCCAGCTTGCATTTCCTTGGTGTCTGCTTGAATATTGACTGAAGCGGTGAAGATAAGAGAACTTGTGTAGGTGCAAGTATCTGCTCGCCTTTGAGAAGACGTGTGACTCTCTTGTGCTTGGGCAGGTCTACGGATCTGCCGGTGAGAGACGCGTGTCTTAGGGTTGGTGGCCTCCGTGTGCTGGGATGTGCGTGTAGGACGACGCGTGTCCGCGGGTTGGTGGCCTCCGTGTGCTGGGATGTGCGTGTAGGATGGCGCGTGTCCGCGGGTTGGTGGGCTCCGTGTGCTGGGATGTGCGTGTAGGATGGCGCGTGTCCGCGGGTTGGTGGCCTCCGTGTGCCGGGATGTGCGTGTAGGATGGCGCGTGTCCGCGGGTTGTTGGCCTCCGCGTGCTGGGACGTATGTGTAGGACGGCGCGTGTCCGCGGGTTGGTGGCCTCCGTGTGCTGGGATGTGCGTGTAGGATGGCGCGTGTCCGCGGGTTGGTGGCCTCCGTGTGCTGGGACGTGCGTGTAGGATGGCGCGTGTCCGCGGGTTGGTGGCCTCCGTGTGCTGGGACGTGCGTGTAGGATGGCGCGTGTCCTCCGTGTGCTGGGATGTGCATGTACTGTGATGGACATGGAAATCCGGTCGATCGTCGAGCGGCCCCAGGGCGCTGGCCATGCAGCCGTGAGTGCGCATACGATCAACACGTGCGCTCCACGCAGCGCTCTGTACGCACTGAGGGCGCCGGCCTCGCGCACGTGTCAATCGACCGGATTTCCATGTCCACGACAGTAGGATGGCGTGTGACTGCGCCTGCTTGGCCATGGCCGGTGTGTGTGTGCTCGGCTGTGCCTCCGGGTCATCATCTCTAGCTAGACTTGAATGATGCAACCGGGCGCATGTTGACTTACTCACGAACTCCTGCATGCGCTGTGTGTTCAGAGCGTTAGGCTGGCGTGAGGGAATACTAGGGAGCATCAGCAACCGTGAAACATCAACGGGAACAAGCTCTTTGGGGCACCTTCAAGTTCTTGACGCGTCGACGAGACCATCATCATTACCTCATGTAGTTCCGATGCTAGCTCATGCAGCCAATGTGTGCATGCTTAGTTGTCACCCGTGCCTGCGGGCACGTGGTCGGTGTGAAGGGTGTGTACCTACAGGCTGGTGGTCAGTGTGTGCTCGGCTACTGTTGTGGACATGGAAATTCAGTCGATTGACCGGGGCCGGCGCCCTCACTGAGCCTCAGTGCGTACAGAACGCTGCATGTGATGTCGATCCGATGCGACCAGCGCGCTGCAGCGCATATTGAAATGATAAAAAAATTATGAATGTGTGCACGGTGTACGTACTCACGGCTGCATGGCCAGCGCCTTGGGGCCGCTAGACGTGCGACCGGATTTCCGTGTCCACGACAATAGCATCGGAACTGCATGTAATGACAATAGCATCGGAACTGCATGTAATGACAATAGCATCGGAACTGCATGTAATGACAATAGCATCGGAACTGGATGTAATGACAATAGCATCGGAACTGCATGTATTGACAATAGCATCGGAACTGCATGTAATGACAATAGCATCGGAACTGCATGTAATGATGATGGTTTGGTCAACACATGTAGTGCCCCAAAGAGCTTGTTCCCGTTGATGTTTCACGGTTGCTGATACGGTTGCTAGTAATCCCTCACCCCAGCAAAACCTTGTGAACACACGGCGCGCATAGGAGTTCGCGAGTCAGCCAGTACGCGATCGGGTTCATAATTCAAGTTTGATTACTCCACAAGATGGTAACCGAACCGAACTCGTGCACAGCATAGCATGCACACGGTTACTTTTTGATCTCTAAAGTGGGCAGAACCCTGTGATGCAAGCACAGACGCACAGCTTGCTCGCTGGTACATTGTACTCGTACCCAGGATCCAGAGTTTACAATTTCACTCCTGGGAAATTAATAGTTTGCTGATGTATAGTTGTAATAATAACGTATGATGTCACCGTGAGGAATTTAAAAATACGGCAAAGAGCAAATCCGCCAAAAATGAAAATAGTTTGGAGAGCTATCAAGAAACGACAGCGTTGTTCGTTGCCCGTACAAGTACAAGCAGCCCATACAAATTATAAAAAAACCAGGCACCTATCAAAAGATTTCAAAAACATCAGGCTCAGCAAAACTCTGATGCAGATATGTAGGCAGGAGCTTAGCGGCTATAAGCATTCAAGATGAAATTGTGGTCAGGTAATGTGATCAGGCGGTAAACAATATTGCATTGCCGATTCCTGCATGGCCATTGTGCGGTCTCAGTTGTCGGAATTTGAAGAAAAAAGGAACAGGATAACGCTTCCAGCATCTTTCAAAGTAAAAAAAGCAGTTTAGGTACTGAGGAAACTTCTAAAAAGCTGGATTCCACAGTTGGCCCAAATCTGTGTTGAAGTGTGGGCACCTACTCTACTGTACTGTAGGCCTTATCTCAAAAAGTGTTTTGCAAGTAAAATGAATCGGCAGGATGCCATAAATGTGCTCAAGCCACGCAGGGCGAGCTGTATTGAAAACACGCGCACAGACGCGCACATACACACACACACACACACAGACACACACCCACAAGCAGAGGGACGTTCTAAGAAGAAAGAAAGCTATAGTTCGGCAGGCTGACAGAAGGTGTAACAACGCGCGGCTAATGTTGTTAAAAAGGTTACTAGTATAGGTTAGAAAACAGGACGGCACATTCTGGAGTGCTCCCGGCTGCGCACTGTGGTGTGCGATCACGACCAACAGCATGTTGCTATAAAAATGATATTTTCTTTGCTTACATGCGGCGAAACATAGGGCAGCTACGGTTGTGCTCAGTCTCGGACACGCGCACGCTCACACACGCACACATGCGTACACACACACACACACACACACACACACACACACACACACACACACACACACACACACACACACACCGAGTCTTGCACACAGCGTACATGCCGAAACATACGGAGACACTGACAACGGCAATACCAGCAGCCGTGGACAACGCAACACACGGACATGCTTCCTGGGAGAAACAGTCCAGACGTACCTCGGCACACAGAGGTGCAGAGTATGAGCAGGTTGAGCCAGATGCCCACGAGTGCCAGAACAGCAGCACGCTCAGGTCAACAACAACGACAGTACTATCAGAGTCCGTACAAGCCGTACAAGCTACACTTCAACGGCATTATGATCAGAGTTTGTTCAAGCCGTGCAAGCCGGACCTGTTTGCGCTAAGTTCCAATACACACACACACACACACACACACACACACACACACACACACACACACACACACACACACACACACACACACACACACACACACACACACATGCACACGCACGCACGCACACACACACACACTGCTGGTCCTGCTTATGCTGTGGCAGTTGCTATTGGAATAGTGAGCGGATCACAATGGCGATCATCATGTGTCTTTGCACAGTACAGAGCTGGACTGAAAGCTCTCTCCGCCGCCATAGAAGTCGTACACGGACTGGTCGCCGGAGCTGGTCGACGTGGTGCGGGACGCCCGCGAGTGCTGCGAGGCGTTGGTGTTGCGCCTGGGGCCACCTGTCGGCGGTGCCACCTGTGTTGAAGGCGGCGTCACGCACTCCATGTTGGTCATGGACGGATTGGGACTGAGGAGGTTGCTGATCGAGTAGACGTCGTACGTCTGGTCGGTGTCCTCGCTGGTGTTCGCGCTGCTCACCGGCTCCTGCGGGAGGTTATTGGTGATGTTGCGGCGCGGGTACATGTGCGCCATGTTAGGGTTGGACTTGGCACGCCGGTGTTTGCTGGTGAAGAACGGGTCGGGTTCGGCGCCGGCACTTGTAGTGCTGCAGAGGTGGGCGTGATCGACGGGACCGGATCGACGGCGCATGCTCGACGGAATATCCGCCTTTGCAGCCTCCTGCTGCTGTTGAGCGTAGGGAACGCCAAACGAGTGCGTCTGGATGCGCTCGTTCAGCTGCGGCTGCTGCTGCGGCTCCTGCTGCTGCTGCAGCAGAGGAGAAACGCTGCCTCCGGGCTCGTGAAACGCCGGCCCCACACTGGCCGGCGAGGGCGTTAACATCGTCTCGGACATGACGCTGGGACGTGCGGCGCCGTTGGAGATTATCGAAGCGTTGCCGATGGACGGCCGGCCGGCCACGTTCGGCCGCCTCGTGGACTTTGACTGGAGAAGTGAGGTATTGGAGCCGCGGGGTTCCCGCATGCTGGAGTCCCCATTGGGCCGCCACATTCCGCTACCCCCGGACGGCGTGGGTGGAGGCGTTGCCTTGGTCGACGTCAGGCGGCTGCTCTCGCCAGTGGCGTTGGTGTCGTGAACGGAGCCGGTGTCGTGGAACGGCTTGCGCAGGTCGAACTCTCCGCGCCGCTTCTTCCACACCAGCACCATGCCGGTAGTGACAACGAAGCAGAGCAGGACCAGGATGATGATGATGATCACCGCCACAAGGCTAGTTTCATTCTTCAGCCATTCCACCAAGTCGAAGCTTGAGACCACTGCAGGAAGAACCATAAGGCCATCATTTTTTATATCTATGTTTCGCGTCAGTTCAACTTCCAGAACCATATGCGAGAGGTGGAAAAAATAAAAAGTTGCAAAATAATAAAAAGGCTCATCAGAGGTGTATGCACTGTACATAGCACAATAGCTCGTGCATGGTGTACATTCGAGAGAAAAATCGTACATCGAAGCACAACATCTGGGTTATCAGCATGAGTAAATATTCACTTTGGACAGAGGAGGCAACCGTTGGTGCCCATGCTTCGCTGGATTATTGTACTGAGACTTCAGCAGCGGTGCAAAGAGCTCCGGAACGACGCATCCTCTCAGCTTGAGGCGATCAATGCGGTCTGGTGTAAGCTCATAGAATATTGCTCCCAGATGCCGAACAAACGATTTACGAACGCTGGCCTAAAGGCCATTTCTGAATCCCAGCTTCGCCGTATCGCAACCAGTCCACACTGATGACTCGCACGATCGTACACTCACTGTGCATGTTCGATTTTTTTTATTTTTTTCCGAAAAAAGTCAAAACGTATGCGTGCGGACGACGCGAAACATAGCTATAAAAATGATGGCCTAAGAAGAAGAAGAATTTTCTCCTGGAATGAGTTGACAAGTTGGTAAGGTGAGGGGTAATAGGGACGTTTAGCAATGCGAAAATTCGAACTTTTGGTGGTGGCGATATTTCGCGAAAATCTATTTCGAAAAAGAAAACTTGTGAGGTTTAGCAATGCGAAACGACTTTTCTCGAAGCTATTTGAATCTTATAGTACCGTACCGTATATGCAGCTCAGTCTCAAGCAGGCGGCTGTAAACTTACTACTCCCTGTAGTGAAATGCGTACCGAGAAAAGAGAAAGTTACTTTCGCAAATCACTGCAACTTTGCGTCCAAGTTTTCGAAGTTTCGACCTTTGTTTCTGTACTCATTCCCAGACTCGAATTTTCTTTTGAACTTTCGCGTTGCTAAATGTCCTTAATTTATAACGTTAGTGGCGTATGTAATGGTGTCTATCTGGCAGTTGTAAGGGTTGGGTATTTCATGCTTCTTCATGCTTAGGGCCAATTTCCACTGCGGTACCGTAAGCGCCGTGCCGACGATCTGCTTGGATCACGTGCACCCCACGGTACGAGCTTGAAGCTGAGAGTGATTTACACCTGCGCGCAGTCAATCCGTGCATTCCGTCGGCAGGCCGGATCACCATTGTTATCAATTTCTGACTTTGGTCTGGAGGGAATGTAGCAGGGGAGATGACTAAAGAAAGCTAAAAAATCAACCAATCGAAAAGCCAAAAGCCAAGAAAAAACTTCGTACCACAAGTATCAATGAAATTTTTTTGACTTCAGGGAGTATCAGGGAGTAGTAAGATGCCTACTACTCAGTGCATTCGACCTCACGGCACGCTGTTTTTCCAAAGCCAGATTAAAACCACGCCCAACATACGCACACGCACACGCACGCACGCACACACTCCGACTCAGACATGCCCATCGCGGAAGCGACGATAGCGAACAGCTATGTAAGACATAGCAACTTGTGCTGGGATTGCACCATTCAACAGCTTGCAAGGCTGAAGAATTGACTGCCACTATTCAGCCTGGTCTACACCACACAGCTATGAAGTGACTTTTTCTGGCCAGTGAATCCCTACTTTTTGGTTTTGTTCATTTTTTAAATTTTTTCATGCCGGAGTGTGTGCGCGGGAAAGAAAAATGAAAAAGACCACACCCACACCCACACAGAGACACACCCACACACAGACACAGAGACACACCCACACACAGACACAGAGACACACCCACACACAGACACAGAGAGAGACACACACACACACACACACACATACAGAACCTGACAAATCACTGACAGGCCAGCTTACCTTTTTCCATGCATTGAGGATAAGGCAGCTGCCAAACCCCCCTCTGGTCACAGTGTAGAGTGGAATTGCCCGACAAGGTGAATTCACTTTCACAGAACACCGACCAGCGTGTGTTGGCTGCAATGGGTCCGTTGATGTTGCCCTGGACATAACCATTGCGGATGGCTGGAATGCTGGGACATTGCACCGGAGACGGAACTAGTATGGAGCAAGCAAGTGCATGCAGGCAGGCACACACACACACACACACACACACACACACACACACACACACACACACACACACACACACACACACACACACACACACACGCATAATACCGTACTATTCCTTAATTAACCTACATGTTGGTATTTTAAGGCACCATTGCCTCGTGCAGAGACTTCCAGTTATACAGTATACATGCGTACCTGTTGTTGTCACTCTTCGTTCACAGGCTGATTGAGCTACAGTCAATTCATCGGAAACTGGCCCGCTGGCTTTTGAAAGTCGGATTTGGGCCGAATTGAGGATCAAAAACCCACTTTTAATCTCACAAATCTGGGTTTCGGATCTGCTTCTCCATACAGTTTGCCATGGCATACCTGTCCTAATTTTGTAAAACCTGGCTGAATTTCTATTTCCCTCTTCTTGGACTTTTCTGGCCTCAAATGTGGCAAGGAGTAATTGCACGGGTCACACAGTGCAGGATGTACTGTTGTTTTCACGATATCTACGACTTTGTGAGAGAGACACCAAAAAGTTAGGGTGCCAGTTTCCAATGAATGGGCTGTAGGTTTCCTTTGTTTCCCCTTGTTTCCAGTCTTTGACTATAAACAGGTAACTCCGTGACCCACATAGGGGTTCAGCATGGACGTAGAGGAAAACACGTCAGTGTTATGGCAGTACGGGGCCGGGGAACTGTGCGATGCGGACAACAGGATCACGTTGATGTCTCCCAAGCCTCTGCTGTGATCAAAAGACTCGAAGACTATGATATAATGACCGGAGAACATGAAGTGAAAGAGGCCGGATTTTCATTTGTACCAAGCTCTGCACGCCGTGTATTGAGCACCGCGACTGGTAGTCAAGGTTCTTGTGCGAAGTGAAAGATTTGGTGGACGCTTTCCAAAAGAATGGGAAGGAGCTCAACCGTAAAAGTACTCTAGCAATCAACATACAGTAGACTCATACGCCCAAGAACGTCCAGGCTGGAAATCTCAGAACGCCCAAGCCTGGATTTAAGAACGAACTCCAAGATTTTTAACCCTTTATTACCGGATTACTTGCACAGCATGCACCAGAATTACGAATTTCAGCACAATTTCCAACTTCACCAGGTCATAACTTTGGTCTCCTTCACTTAATTTTCACAATCTAGGGCTCGTTGGAAAGCTCTTGGCGAGAGCAACGCCAGGGTACCAAGCTCCATTATCCAGTCGCCACAAATCAGGCGCGGTAACACAGCAAAGTCGTCTCCAAGCCTGATATGCAAGCAAATTCGTCCCATCAACGCCATTCCACTCTCCTTCATCGCAGAACGCTCAAATTTGTTCAAGACGATTCAAACTTCAGCCGACTACGTCATTATCATGTGCTTAGTCGCTCAAAGAGCACACGAAAAGGGATTTTCCCCAAAAACGGCGAAGTGATCGATCAAAAATTTGAATTTGCCGAGATGAGAATACGGCGCGCGATATCTCAGGCGTCCGACATCGTAACTCTTCGGCGATTGTTGCATTGGATAGCTTGGAGTTTCTGCTACCAAATAGACCTTTCGATTGTTGAATTCGCACAAGAAATGATGGAGTTACGAAGATATTACTGGCCTACAGACTTTCGATCATATATGATCGAAAGTCTGCAGGCCGGTAATAAAGGGTTAAGAACGCAAATTTTTTTGGTATTTCATGTTTCCGAGTACATGAAAAACAAGTCTGCAACCACAAAGTCTTGTCGGGTCCTCGCAAAAACATCACCCAGTGCAGCACTACATACTGCACGTGCATGTAAATTGTACAACCGGTACATGATGTAGAGCAAAGTGCATTGTATATGAGCGTCACGGGTCATGTTGGACGCGTAAGAACGCGAAATAAGAACGTAGCCTGGGGCGTTGAAAAATAAGAACTTTGCTAGGCTGGCCCTCTGAAACCGCATTCTTGGGCGCACGAGTCTGTCTACTGTAGGTGAGAAGGCAGTCTTGCCTGTTCATATGGTGAAGTAAAATAAAGAAACAACAACAACAACAACAACAACAACAACAACAACAACAACAACAACAACAACAACAACAACAACAACAACAACATAGAAATCTAGCAGCCTGATATCTTACAATGAAAGACACAGTGAAACCATTCTCTGAGAGGTGCTACGTTAGCTTTCCTTCAATTTACGGAATCCTTAAAAATGGACCACAACAGCGCACGCTCCAAAGCATGCACCGTGCTGCTCAATGAAATCTGGTCGCGTGAGTCAAGTCTGCGCCTTGCACCGTTTCCCAGCCCAGCGTTAGCGGGGCTAGGGCCGGCTGCGCAACGCCGGGCGCGTACTTGAGCGAGGGGACCGAATTCCATTGAGCAGTCCTGCAGCTTAGCTTTTGTAGGAAAGAAAAGGAGCAAGGAACTACAAGTTACGCTATAATGCTATGAAGTGAAGTGAAAGGATCAATAAGCTACTAGTTATGACTGACAGTCCACCAAGGTAACCAAGGTAACGAGTTATTATACAATCAGATAGTGTGACAACAGAGAGGTTCCGGAGTACGATTGTTCGTGTCAACATCCGTAGAAGATTTCTTATACGTCGTTTTCGAGCAGTGAAATGTTCCGGAGTACGGAATTTATGTGTTTGCTGTCATTGCCTAGGTTACGATTGCAAACACGTCATATTCCTGTGCTATGACTTTTTATTTTGAAAATTTGTACCGGAATCAAAACTTCCCGCGGAAAATCGATGTTTCTCGTACCACATTGGTACGCGAAAAATCTTTCTGCACTCCATGACGCAAAATCTCCATACGAACCATGGTTCGTGTGAAAGCCAGTCCACACGGATTCTCCTTGCCGAAAAATCGTATGAAGAACACGTGGAAAAATCCGTAGCGCTCATATGGATTTTGGCACGGAAAATCGTACCCCGGAACCTCTCTAGCAAGGCACAAACATAACGTACACAACTTATTGGTCCTTTCTCTTTACTTGTTAATACTATTGGCTCAACATCCGAGTCTATTCTTACCTTTTGTGCACGTCGTGAGTGGTGTAGGCCAGGTGCCCTGGCCGGAGCAGGTGAGAGTGCGGGCGCCACTCCGCGCAAACCCCGGCGAGCAGACGACAATGGCCGTGTAGCCCGGTGTGGCAGAGCCGGGCAAGGCGAGTACGGTGGCGTTCGGGATCACCAACGGCAACGGGCAACGGAGAAGGCCTGATCATGATGATAATGACAGTATCCAGAGGGAAAGGAGACGGTAGAAAAAAAAACATTTATTATTATTTATCCCTCACGTGTTTGTGACTATTGTAGTTTTCTATCACCAATAAAACAATGGTCATCGCATAGTTTGTCCTCTTACAAGTAGTTGAGATATTGAAATGATATCTACGAAACGCTTATTTACGAAAAAAAAAAGTGTTTACAATGAGAAGCGCAGGTAGCCAGGGACAGGGACCCACCCATGCCCCTAACAGCTCTCAATCTCGTCCTTCAAAGGCAGTACAGTCATCCCTCTGTCACCCGGCACATTACGAACCAGCACACTCTACGAACCAGCATCATTCCACACATTAAAGAGGTTTTGCATTCCGAATTTCGGAATTATTTTCGGAATGTGGCGGCCCGAGTCGAAAAAGTACTGTAAAAGCCATTATTCTAACGAGGCGCATATATAACAATTTCCCAAAATTGACTGGTTTACGTGTACCAAAGGTAACGATTCTCACTTATTCTCAACGCTCAATAGGACAGTATATGTATCGATTTCTGTATAACGATTTCTATTTTAACGACAGATTTCTCTTCGTTAACTCGTTAGAGTTAGCACTTCGTTATAATTATATTATGGCTTTTACAGTAGTCGAACTTTCGGAAGCGTGGTGGTGAAAGTGCTTGGTTTTCCGAAAATACATTTTCGGCTCTTTCCTGTTTGGGAGGGCATATCTGAATATTTTTCATTTAGGGGTCGGGTCGCACAGTGAAATCAAACACATTTTCCAGACCTTTTCCAGACTTTTTCCAGACTATTTTTTCAAAGTTCCAGACCACACGAAGTAGCAAATTCAATTGAAAACAGCAAAATAACGTCAATCGGCCCTCACTGCCTCAGTACACCGTAACACCTAGCAGCAGAATTAAAAATTGAAATAACGCATGCCATGAGGACTCGTGCCTCAGACATATTCACGACACAGCAAAGCATTTAAAAAGATAGGCCCCATTAGGAAGTCAACTGATTAATTTTCGAAATCAAGAAACAGACGGCAAAACACTAAGCCTGAAGATTCCACAAATTGTGACAATGTAAAATAAACAAACAGTCAACTCAAACACACCAAAGGCTGACACGACAGAGCACGAACGAAATGACCAAGGATTTTATGTATTTTTGTTTTCTGCTGTTCTCGCTGATCATATTAATGAAAAATTTCCACGTGTGTAGTTTTGATTTTTGCTGCTGTCGTTGATCTCGCCATGTTGACTAGATCTTCTCACATTTAACTCCATCTTCCTCTGCCATGGAGCCTACTGATAGTACAGGACTGTTCAGCTGTTGGATCACTCGATCCATCACTCAGTCCGTCCTCGTCTTCGAACCGCACCCAAATTCGGTTTGACCTGCACATGGATTTGATCCTGTTCAGGCAACTCCTATTTGTGCCCAACCTCTTTGTCCGCGGCTCTGTGGGATTCGAGGAGAATGCAAAACTTCTAGCCTCGTCTGAGCCAAAGTTTGCTGGCACATGTACATGCATCAGTAGGAAGTCCGTCAGAGACCACACGCTGCTGCTGTTGGACCAGCACGTCTCAAAACCGAATCTGCAAGATTCGGACGCAACACGTTTTCGGTTTTGGCGCCTACTAGTACTACGCTCTCCATTTTGTTTTTCATGGCAACCCTTGGAAACGAAGTCGAATCAGATTTTCGGAATGCAAAACACTGAAAATGACGTTTTCGGCTCGTCCCTTTTTCGGAAAAGCACAGCCGAAAAACATTCCGAAGTTCGGAATGCAAAACTTCTCTACTTTCCAGTAACCAAAATGTCCTCTTCATGCACAGTGCAGCAGTAGATCAGATTCCAGCGCCCTCCCTAATCCAGAAGACTTTCCGTAGATGGTGCTTACAATGGGACCACCGTGCAATCTTCGAGATGAAATACGGGCAAATATCAGTACAGTTATGGTACGCGACACTCAGCCCAAAGTGCATCTGTTGGCGCTCTGAACTTGCACTGCCCTCGACGCCCTGGAAGCGGCACAATTACTGCGACAGTACGTCCACATGTACCAGCGATGCAATGGGAACAGGTCCAGGGCACCGCCAGCTGTGCAGCTGGCTTAGTCCCACGCGAACTGTGCGTCGAGATGTACAGTGAGTTCAGGAAAAGATGAGTATCTTGCCTTTGGCAGTAAATAGGTCAACGGTTGACCATTTTTTTTCCGAATTGCTATTGCCATGCAGTGCGGAATGCGCTTCCAATTATGTTTTCCATGTTTGTTTCTCCAAACCAAACCATGGACCATATCGAAGCTAACTCGGCCGGGTTTAGCATCGACCATCGTGCAATCAGGCTGGTCCAAAACTCATTTCCGGCTGAATTAGAACAGGTTTTTGTGGATATACTGTAGGCGCGTATCAGCCATCGCTACTCACGAACACAGGCGGGGGGTTCTGGTGCCGGATGCCAGGCAAAGACAGTCGATGGATTCTCCCCAGAGCTCATGTTGATACATTGATACTGAGTGTTCTGCGTGCTTGCGAATGTAAAGTCAGGAAGACAGCGTGACAGAGCATAGCTGCGAAGCTCGCGTCCTGTCGGATATTCGACAAAGCTGTTTCTCGGAGCATCTATCAGCGGACAAGTTCTCTGACTGCCGTCATCTGTGGGCACGCAGAGATGCGGACAAACACACACAAACACATACACACGCATCCGCATATGCGCATACACACACCATAATTATGGAGTCACACACCTCACCTCAGACCTCAGACATGCCCATCGCGGAAGCGATGATAGCGAACAGCTATGTTAGACATAGCAACTTGTGCTGGGATTACACCATTCCACATCTTGCAAGGCTGATGAATTGACCGCCACTATTTTTAGCCTGGTATCCAACACACAGCTGTTTGAAGTGACTTTTTCTGGCCAGTGAATCCCGATTTTTCATTTTTCCATTTTTTTCTACACACACACACCACACCACATACTCCGGCATACACTGGCTGTTGGTAACCACCCAGGAGAATGAAAGGAAAGTCAGGAAGAGTCCGAGAAAGAGAAGAAAGACGTGTGCGACCATAATCGTCGGGAATTGTACCCGCAACCTCTCGATTGGAAATCGACTGCACATACCACTGCACCATATGGGACACACTCACACACTCTCACACACACACACACACACACACACACACACACACACACACACACACACACACACACACACACACACACACACACACACACACACACACACACACACACACACACACACACACACACACACACACACACACACACACACACACACACACACACACACACACACACACACACACACACACACACACACACACACACACACACACACACACACACACACACACACACACACACACACACACACACACACACACACACACACACACACACACACACACACACACACACACACACACACACACACACACACACACACACAAAGATTCCCATTCCCTTTGAAGTGGGAGCAGCAGCATCTACACTCGGACGTCTCTTATCTGGGCACTGCCCGTATCTCAGGATAACTCATCTACCATGTATGATATCATTTTTGAAGAAGTTTATTTGCACGTATTGCACATGTTGAGGATACAAAGGGAACCCATTGATAAAAATGTGTGGATTACATAGGTTGGCAGTGAAACATAAGCATTTCCACACACACGGAAAAAGTTCAAAACCCCCAAATTCGAAGCATTTGTGCTATAGGCCCTCAAGCTGAAGGTGCCCGGTAGAGAGACGTGCCCGTATCTGAGGCGTCCGGATAAGAGGCGTTTGAGTGTACTGGACATGGCACAACACTCGACGTACATCACGCTGGTTACTAAGGTTACCATGAGAGCAAAGAAACGGCACCCCTACCTGTGGCTGTTTCCCAGCAGACAAACTTGAGCTTGGCCGGACACGGCTGACCTAGCGGATTAGGATAGCAGTCAAACCCACTACTTTCGTTTTTTACCCATGTCTGACCCATACTCGGCGCGTATATGTGGTCCAGATAATTGCTCAAGCACTGCAGCTCCTCTGTGGTCATATTGCTGGCTGGAATGCTCTTGCCTGCGCTCATGCAGATATTGCTGGCCTCTTGGGCAAAAACGGAAGTAGGAAACACAATACTCAGCGCTGTTCTGGTACGGCCGTTGCCTCCGCAGTTCCAATGCGCTGTACAGGATGAAGAGGAGTGTTGTTTCAAGGCAAAGAAAGAGAGAGAGAGAAAGAGAGAGAGAGAGAGAGAGAGAGAGAGAGACAGAGACAGAGAGAGACAGAGAGTGAGAGAGAGAGAGAGAGAGAGAGAGAGATAGTGAGAGAGAGAGAGAGAGAGAAATAGAGAGAGAGAAATAGAGGGAGGGAGAGAGTAAATCAATGGGCATTGATCCTCTTTTTTTAAAACCATTTTCTATTACAAATACTTGACTGAAGTAACAAATTTCACAACTTGTGTGAGATCGAGTTGGACTGACTATTCTGCATCATATGAAACACCATCAATACTTCTTTGCCCAAATTCATCCGCTCCTAAAAATCATGCTAATTCAAGGGAATTTCTCAAACTCCGCCGCCATACGAGAAAAACTCCAGACTTCCGTTGGCCTTTTTAGGAGCTCTGGACTCATGTGACAGTGTGGGAGGGAATGAGTCTATTCACAGACATCACTGACAGCTAGACAAGAGAACACTGTGATATTCTCCACCTGCACTGCTCCCGTAGCTGAGATGTCACGTCAGACTGCAAGTAGTCCTCGTGCAATCTTCAACAACACGCTGGAGCTTCGGCTTTGAATGCTGGCCCGGCGGAACCCGGTCCGCTGTTGGTTCGGCCACGATCGGACCAACAGTTTTGCCACCGACGTGTGTTTACTGTTGAGGAGGTCTTGTGTACAGTGTGTCTACTACCCCTCCATATCATACACAAACTGTATGAAAGGGCAAGGGTACGGCCGGACCAATCCGAAACTGCTTCCGCCGGTCCTGGAATGTGACAAATGTCTTTTGCCTAATTCACTCCTAAAAACCCATAGCAATCAAGTGTGGGTGCAGCTCCTAACCACTGGGAACCCTGTGGATACGACCCACTACGAAGTCAAAGATTAAACATCTCACTTGAAGGGTGGTGGCGTTCCTACGGATGCGGAAAGCTCGGCCGCTAGCCGAGTCTGACGCGAACCGTGAATTTGTTTTGCTCATTTTTCTGCACCTATGCTATCCTTGTGACGGGCCACACGTTCCCGATCAGCTGTACATGACGCATGTCTCTGCTCAGTCGGCAGAATCTATCCTTCCGTTTCCAACAGTATCACGAGGACATTTCAGTAAAGCTGTGTCAGGTCGTGCATACTGGGTTCTATGACGTCGGAATCACTCTGCGGGTTGCACCGTGAGCAAGAACAACTACTGGCGAGCTCACACGACACTTTCACGTGCATGGTCACCATGCACACAAATATCAGGGAGTAAGTACTCCCTGGTGATATTCTCCGTGGAGAAATGAAAAATTCACGTGGATCGCGAACAAGTAATATTTTTGCTTCGTTGTGCAGAGGACGGCTCACAAGATGGATGACCGGCAGGTGGCATGCTGCAGCACTGGTGTTTTTGTTGTTTGTTGAGACTACTAAGTACATACTAGTATATCTCACGAGATGAAGGAGAGATCGACTCTGCTCCTCTCGTTCGTCGCGTTCGTCAGTGGCGTGCACAGTGATTTAATCTCGCTCACGCAACAGTCATGACAACATTCACTACTGAACCACGATGCTCGGCGGCAGGCGGTCCAAGTGTTTTAGACGTTGTTTGCTTCGGCGGATTCTACGTATTCCTGGACTACTCCACTACTCTGCGTCCTGTTCAACAATAAGCTGACTGGCACTCGAGCAGAAAAACAGTGAAACAGTCAAACAGTATGTGGTGTGCATCGTGCATCATGCATAAACGCTCAGTGATTATACTTTTATCTTTGATCACCCCCTCTCAAGGTCCCGCTCAAGCGCCTCTGTTTTTCTTGGTGCGATTATGGTTTTCGTGGCACGTGACCCAATCACCATGGTCACTTCCTTTGCGTGTCATTTTGCGCGTCGTGTGAGCACACACTTACTGGCCTGTCACGATTATGCCAATGGTATTGCTCCATAAAACTGCTATGTTTTTGGTTGAACATTGCACAGGTGACTCAGTGGATCAACGGAACTATAGAAACATGTAAATATTCGTGTGTGTGTGTCCAGCATGGCCAGCGTGTGTGAATTTTTACGCCGATATTGAACAAATATTTTCATTACTTACGAACGGGCTGAGGTTGCGTTTGTGCTCTGGTCTGCACACACGACAATGCCACAAGAAGGCAGACGAAAACGACTGGTGTTAGCCCACACAGGGCAACTTCCCGGCTGCGTCTTCCCAGCCCCATCCTCTACGGACCGGCAACAACTGACTGGTCTTCAATGCTGCTACAAAAGGCGTTCGCACTGCTCAAGTCAAGCCTTTGAATCTCTGCCTCAATTGCATGTCAGTGGAAATAGCAGATGGATAACTCCAAATGTCCACTCCAATCTCAGCCACCAGTTCACGTGCCACTCTTCACAGCAGACAAATAATTCTTCTACCAGTTCTCACCGAGTCAAGAATTTACACAACCGGAAGACGGATGACAACCTGGCTCGTCAGTTCTTTCAAACAAGAAACGCTGGTGAACTTTTAGTTTTCTACTAATTGATCTCTGCTAATTTTCCCTCTATGCAAACAACGACGTGGTGAGCTGCGTGCCGAAACCTTTCTTTTGGCACGAGGAAGGAGATCGATATGGCGTAGATAAAGTACAAGCCCCGTATACGCGCATACTCGCAGAGTCGTAGTCCTTGTTTGGGAGAACACGTCAAAATTTCACCCATTTGCGACGCATGAGCCCGGATGGAAAACTCAACCACGTGTGGCCAGGGCTGCATGCATGCATTATGCGCATAGGAGATGGATGTTCCATGATCGGTCAAAGGACCACATTTTGCTCGGGCTCGTCCCTAGGCTCAAGAGTACAAGCAAGAGTACATAACTACACACTGTGTAGTTATGTACTCTTGGTACAAGTAGTAGTACTAGTAGTACGAGTAGTAGTAGTAGTAGTAGTAGTCACATCCTTTATTGCTGAACCCACAAATAATTGTGATACAAATTGTAAACCATCCGAGGAAGAAGAGAAAGCCATTAAAAATAAAAAATAAAACAAAAAAGGTTATTGTACCATGCCAAACGGCTATTATTAAGTCATGTACCAATTGTAATACATGACGTAGTATAGTAGTCAAGCACCTACAAAATACTTTGCAGGATAGTATTTAAATTGCCTAGCATGCCTACAAATCCGCAGAGCATGCCAATGTTAAATAGGCCAACATATGAATACCGAAGGCGGTTACATGGACAGAAGGCGACATTGGTCGAGAAAAGATGGGCCTATTCTCTTCCTCAAGTAAGACGCTCTGCAACCACGGAGGCACGTGATTGACCACCTCAGCAAGACAAATGCAATTTTGCAGCGTAGCTGTGCCATCACAACAGCGTACTGGAGGTCACTATGCTAGTAGTAGTAGTAGTAGTAGTAGTAGTAGTAGTAGTAGTAGTAGTAGTAGTAGTAGTAGTAGTAGTAGTAGTAGTAGTAGTAGTAGTAGTAGTAGTAGTAGTAGTAGTAGTAGTAGTAGTAGTAGTAGTAGTAGTAGTAGTAGTAGTAGTAGTAGTAGTAGTAGTAGTAGTAGTAGTAGTAGTAGTAGTAGTAGTAGTAGTAGTAGTAGTAGTAGTAGTAGTAGTAGTAGTAGTAGTAGTAGTAGTAGTAGTAGTAGTAGTAGTAGTAGTAGTAGTAGTAGTAGTAGTAGTAGTAGTAGTAGTAGTAGTAGTAGTAGTAGTAGTAGTAGTAGTAGTAGTAGTAGTAGTAGTAGTAGTAGTAGTAGTAGTAGTAGTAGTAGTAGTAGTAGTAGTAGTAGTAGTAGTAGTAGTAGTAGTAGTAGTAGTAGTAGTAGTAGTAGTAGTAGTAGTAGTAGTAGTAGTAGTAGTAGTAGTAGTAGTAGTAGTAGTAGTAGTAGTAGTAGTAGTAGTAGTAGTAGTAGTAGTAGTAGTAGTAGTAGTAGTAGTAGTAGTAGTAGTAGTAGTAGTAGTAGTAGTAGTAGTAGTAGTAGTAGTAGTAGTAGTAGTAGTAGTAGTAGTAGTAGTAGTAGTAGTAGTAGTAGTAGTAGTAGTAGTAGTAGTAGTAGTAGTAGTAGTAGTAGTAGTAGTAGTAGTAGTAGTAGTAGTAGTAGTAGTAGTAGTAGTAGTAGTAGTAGTAGTAGTAGTAGTAGTAGTAGTAGTAGTAGTAGTAGTAGTAGTAGTAGTAGTAGTAGTAGTAGTAGTAGTAGTAGTAGTAGTAGTAGTAGTAGTAGTAGTAGTAGTAGTAGTAGTAGTAGTAGTAGTAGTAGTAGTAGTAGTAGTAGTAGTAGTAGTAGTAGTAGTAGTAGTAGTAGTAGTAGTAGTAGTAGTAGTAGTAGTAGTAGTAGTAGTAGTAGTAGTAGTAGTAGTAGTAGTAGTAGTAGTAGTAGTAGTAGTAGTAGTAGTAGTAGTAGTAGTAGTAGTAGTAGTAGTAGTAGTAGTAGTAGTAGTAGTAGTAGTAGTAGTAGTAGTAGTAGTAGTAGTAGTAGTAGTAGTAGTAGTAGTAGTAGTAGTAGTAGTAGTAGTAGTAGTAGTAGTAGTAGTAGTAGTAGTAGTAGTAGTAGTAGTAGTAGTAGTAGTAGTAGTAGTAGTAGTAGTAGTAGTAGTAGTAGTAGTAGTAGTAGTAGTAGTAGTAGTAGTAGTAGTAGTAGTAGTAGTAGTAGTAGTAGTAGTAGTAGTAGTAGTAGTAGTAGTAGTAGTAGTAGTAGTAGTAGTAGTAGTAGTAGTAGTAGTAGTAGTAGTAGTAGTAGTAGTAGTAGTAGTAGTAGTAGTAGTAGTAGTAGTAGTAGTAGTAGTAGTAGTAGTAGTAGTAGTAGTAGTAGTAGTAGTAGTAGTAGTAGTAGTAGTAGTAGTAGTAGTAGTAGTAGTAGTAGTAGTAGTAGTAGTAGTAGTAGTAGTAGTAGTAGTAGTAGTAGTAGTAGTAGTAGTAGTAGTAGTAGTAGTAGTAGTAGTAGTAGTAGTAGTAGTAGTAGTAGTAGTAGTAGTAACTCATCTGCAGATGAAGGGTTTTGGAGTCAGACTACTGATGAGACTGTGAGCATGTTCGATTCTGCATACCGTGAAGTCATCTCATGGAGAAGAAACGTGTTTATGGTCCCCTTCGGCTCGGAAGGCAAAGAGTTCGTCAAGGAGATTGCACGCCTCATTGGCTTATTTACGGATGGCTCGGGTGCTCGGGCCTTTGCGTGGTCGGCGGTGGTCGTCGCCTGTCATCTGTTGTTGCAGAAGCCGTTTCGTGGATCTGCGGCTAGCGACCACAAGACGTTTTTGGCCAAGCGGCTTGGGCTGTGGACTGCCGGAGATCTCTCTCCATTGCTACGGGAGTCCCGATGCATTCAGGCTCATCTCTCTGATGCAGCCGTGGGTGATTCGAGTCCACGTGCTTTGGACGATGTTCGCTTAGCGAACATGGTTTTCAATGACCGAGTTGGCAGTGCTGCCCAATACCTGGATGCTGATGGTGCTGGTGGCGTTCTTCCCCTGGATGAAGAGGTGAGTGGGAAGTCAGTTCTAGAGCACCTGCGGGATAAGCACCCTGCTCCCCAGCCGGCTGATCCAGACATCCTACTGGACTGTAGCCCCGACCCCCCGGATCCAGTTATGTTTGAGGCGATAACACCAGCAGCTATGAAGAAGACGATATTGGGAATGAAGGGAGCTGCTGGACCTTCGGCTTTGGATGCGGCTGCCTGGCGTCGGATGGTTGGCATGTTCAAGTCAGCTTCTGACGAGCTCTGTTCGGCCCTCTCTCGCGTGGCCAAATGCCTGTGCACGGAGAGGCTGGACGCTTTGCATCTGCGCCCGTTTCTGGCAGCGCGACTGATACCACTGGATAAGCGACCTGGCGTGCGGCCCATCGCTGTGGGTGAGGTGTTTCGGCGTGCAGTTGGCAAGGCAATCATGGCGGCGATTGAGAAGGATGTGGTGATTGCGACGGCGCCAACCCAGCTGTGCGTCGGGATACCATCGGCATGTGAAGTGGCTGTGGAGGCGCTGTCATCGGTATTTGCCAAGGAGGAGTCAGAGGCAATACTCCTCGTCGACGCCACTAACGCCTTTAATTCAGTGAACCGGGCAGCTGCACTGAACAACATACCACGCGTGTGCCCAGCTGCAGGGCGGGTATTTGTGAACACGTACCAAGCGGATATCCCCCTGTACCTGGATGGTGGCGAGACACTCTACTCAAGAGAGGGCACGTGCCAAGGAGATCCACTGGCCATGGCATTTTATGCTTTGGCTACCGTCCCTCTGGCCAAGCATCTGTCCACAACATGCAGTGGTTCCATGCAGGTGTGGTATGCTGACGACGATGCCGCTGTGGACCGCGTTGTGGCACTCGGTGAGTACTGGAACTGCATCTCGGCTGAGGGCCCGAAGTATGGCTACAAGCCTAATGCTGCCAAGACCGTGCTCCTCGTCAAGAGCCATCTGGTGTCAGACGCTGAGCGGGTATTTGCTGGCACTGGCATCCGGATTTGCTCTGATGGCGTCCGGTATCTCGGTGGAGTCATCGGCAACACTGAGTTCTGTGATGGGTTTGTGGGAAGCCGTGTGGGTGACTGGTGTGCTTTAACCAAGAGGCTGGCGAGTGTTGCAGAGACCCAGCCCCACGCGGCTTACCACTTATTCATCTCTGCCATTCAGTCTCGGTGGTCATACTTGCAGCGCGTTGCTAATGCTGACGGGGCACTCTACGCACCCCTGGATCGCGTCCTAAATGATCAGCTGCTGCCTGCATTCACGGGCCATTCTGTGCCGGTTGAGGGAGGTTTGCGAGCACTGCTTTCCCTTCCAGCAAAGCTTGGTGGTCTTGCGGTCCGTAGCAATGTGTCACGGGCGGCTGCTGAGCGCACCTTGTGCCGAGACGCCATTGCACCCATGGTGGAGTTGGTAGTCGGTGGCACCTCCACGCATGAGGTGTCGTCTGTGGTAGCAGCATGCAGGACATTGGCTGCAGGTGCTCGGGCGGCGCGCCGTGTTCAGCAGCGGAACTTGGCAGAGGAGATCCGATCCGGCCTCCCGCCCACGCAACGGCTACTGGTAGAGGTCGCAGGTGAAGATGGCGTCTCAAGTTGGTTGACGACTCCACCTGCGACTACAATGCCTGGGACCGTTTTCAGCAGGACGGATTTCCGTGATGCTGTGGGCCTACGATATGGCCTTCCCTTGGAAGGTTTGCCAGCATCATGCGTGTGTGGCAAAGACATGACAAGCCACCACGCTATGACATGCCCCTGTGGCGGGTACCCAACGCAACGTCACAACGAGGTTCGGGACCTGCTGGCTAGTGCCATGTCCGAGGTGGCGTATGATGTCGAGTTGGAGCCTGTTCTGCTGCCTCTCGATGGTGAGACGGTCTCAGGTATTAGAGCTGATGCCGCTCGTGCAGACATACGGGCTCGCGGTTTCTGGACGCGACAGCAAAACGCCTTCTTTGATGTTCGGGTTACCCACCCAAGGCCGTCTTTGCTGTCGCGTTCGGGAGTAGCGAGCCAGTTGTCTGACAACGAGAGGCAGAAGAAGCGCCAGTACTCGAGCCGGATCAACAACGTCGACCGCGGTTCGTTCACGCCGTTGGTTTTCGCCACCAATGGGC